AAATATCTTTAATGTTACAGCAAATTTGCCATTGAAATTTGCTAACCAAAAGTGGCACTTTAAGTGGCAGTTTAAACACATTTTTAAGATTTTCTCAAAAATGGCTGTAATGATTTTGTTTAAACTCGGTGTATGGATGTATAATTAAGTGATCTTAAATATCATTTATATCTTATCCCCATTGATGTCGGTTAACAGCGCTTAAATGCCCAAGTTCAAAATGTCTTAAATTTGGTTTATTTTAAGTAATTAACTATCTCTCATTGTTTGGAGTTATGAAAAAAGACTTAATGTAATTTTTGAAAGAATTTGTTTAATGATATATCATTAGACAGCAAAGGATTTTAGAAAAAACAATACCAAATGTAGAAAGTCCTAGAAGGTATTGGAAAATGACGGCAAAATTATAAACAATAATTTGTGAAAACATTGTTCGACAAAAATCACATGTTTTCTAGAAAATTAAATTAAATTTCATAACTAAATGTTTTTTTTGTTTTTTTAAACTTTATTTATTCACCCACACCTGTCATAAGCAATGACAATTAGCGGGGACTGCTGTCCGTAAGTGTACAGTTAGTGGCTTGATCGGCGTAATGGTAAGGAGTACTCAGCGGCATCCCTTCCTGTCTTGATTTTAGCATATTTTTAAGTGAGGAAATCCCTCATCCAGCTCCTTTAGAGCCTCCTGAATGTGATTTCGGGCATGTTAAATGTAGCTATGCCTTGTATAAGTGTGTTAGTATGTACATGTAAGTTATTGTGGAATCGCTTGTAGTGTGGCCGTATGTGATCGTTAACTGTTGGCATCTGAAGGTCTTTATGTAATGTAATGTTTGAGACGTAGCATGGAGCTTTGGTTATGGTTCTGAAAGTTTTAGACTGAAAAGTTTGTAGTTTTCGTATGTGGGTCGTTTTGGCTGTTCCGTAAATTTGTGAAGCGTAGGTCCATATGGGCTTAAGTAGATAATTGTAAGTGTTCAGTTTTTGTTTTAAGTTTAATTTTGAGCGTCTTGAGAGAAGTGAGTATAACAGTCGTAGTCTGAGGTTTAAAGTTTTTCTTTTTTTGTTGATATGTGGACCCCATGTCATTCTTCTGTTGAATATCAGTCCAAGATATTGTATTTCATCTGTTTGAGGAATTGGAACTAAATGTAAACTTTTAAAATTATTTAAGTTTGAAACAAAAGTATATAAAATCCAAAAAATTAAGGCAATGGCATAGTTTAAAAAACGATCTCGTACTTGTGTGAAACAAGAAGTGTAATCTAAAAATATTTCATGGATGTTTAAAACATATGTTTGTAATCATAAATACATTTACTGTAGTTTAATAACTGTGGATCTCATATTATATATTTAAATAATTAGGTATACATCGTCGATTTATTCCAAAAACAAATTTCCCTTTGTGAAATCACATTATCCACTTACAATTAGAGTGACGACTTTTGACCTATCGAAGTTGTATTTAAAAGCAAGTAACTGTATTTTGGTAAATTTTTCTAGGGTAAAAAATAATAATATATAGACATATTAAAAGTGATAGAGATTTAATAACTATAATTTTTAATATGTAGTACGATCATTACTTATTTATAATTAAATAAATGTTCTTTCAAATCTTTCTTAGTCTATAGAACTCAAGAGATTGGAATTATGTGATTCAAACAGACTGATGCAGTTATAAGGTTTATATTGTCTAAAATGGATATGATAAATAGAGTTTATGTTATTTTGATGGTCTTAATCAGTTTTAGTATTTATGAATATGACCTAAATTCAAAAAATATGTTGTTTAGGATTTAGCTGCATTAAACAAACTCAACAATTTCTTGTAATAGCTCAATTTTGCCAGACAAGGATTGCTTTTCAAAGTAGAACAGTAAGTTAAAATTGTTCGATGGCTGCCCCATATTTTTTTTATTTCAGGTTACAATGTGAAATGTAATGTATATAAATGATAAGTAACTTGCAACAACATTCTTAAAATTGTAGTGAAGTCACTCAAAAGTGCAGACATTAACCTCGTTTAGGTAATCAGATACAATATTTTGATGTGCGGCCAAGCATTATCCTGCATAAAAGAGAAACGAAGGCCGATAAACAGGCTAGAGGAACCACATATCCCTCCAGAATTTTAGAGATGTATGTGTGAGCACTGAGCGTCGGCCTTCGGATCATATGGAGTACTTAACTCTAAACAACTCTAAGGTTGAGTCCAGCAAGTATTCTCCTTACTGTGTGCGCACGGACATCAGCGTCAGAAGCAATATGCAATCGATGAAAAGTCCCAACTGAAGTCAGGTAGCGGTTTCTGAGAGACTGCTTAGTGTTGAGTTAATGCATGTTATCAGGCAGCACTAGCGAATCCAGGATTTAATGGGGGGGAGGGGGGGCTTCAGCTTTTTTTTCATAAAAATGAGGATAATTACTTTGGAAAAAAAGAAAGAAACTAACTATCTATATGAAACGGTGTTCAAGTGATTCCTTAAGTCTTTTTAAATGCAATTAAGTACAAAAGTACTTTAAGAGATAATTTTTTAATATTTTTTTCATAAAACATGGTTATATTTTACCATATTGAGGGTAGAGCCGTTCTTGTCAGGCAGCACCATATTTGTTGTAAACAAAGGAAGGTTGGCTTGGGTGAGATTACCCAGACAGCAATAGTCCTGTGTTCCTGGTAGTGTGATGTATTTGTAGAGCAATAAAGGTGTTTTGTGTAGTTGTGGTGCAAAAGTTTTCAACATAGCTTCATTTGAAGTGATTTCCTGACATCACAGCTTAGCAATGAAGCTTTTATCATCTGGATCTGTTCAGGGGTGCCCATTGACTTTCTCGAAAAGATTAATGTATGATAATCCCTTTGTCCTGTTAGTCCGTGGTACAGAACCATTTTTATCAAATTATTAACATCAGCCTGAAACTTCGTAAATGGCGCCATCTCATAGTAACCTGCAACTATTTTATTTAAGAAAATTCTTGGGATTGGGGCATTTTTACTTTCCTACCTATACTAGGTAAGGAAAGTATTGCAATCGGGTCAAATTTCCGATATGCAGTTTTCGATGGATCTATATGTTTCAGAGTCCCCTGAGTCCGAAAAACACATTTTTAGCCATTGGTCTGTCTGTCTGTCTGTGCCAAGATTTTCTCGAGAACTACTGAACCAATTTTGTTGCCCCGTTTTTTTATTTTGTGGGGTTTTGACTACTGATGCCTGTAACAGAAATTCGGTTGCGCGCAATAAATGAAAAACATGTTTTTTACGAGTTTTTAGTACCTAATTAAATAAACAAAGTTTGCCGATCACCAGATTGAAAACGCTCCAATTCCGAGAATTTTCGTCAATAAAATATTTGTAGGTTACGATGAGATAAAGCTACCACGGACTATCAAATCTACTTTGCATCAAATTAAATAAAAAGTGATACATGAGTATATGTTATAATAAGAGTTTATATTACACTATATGCAGCTGTACTCATTCTTTTAATTTGTAACACATGATAGCGTTTATTAATATTTTTTAAGTGAAACATATATATATTTGCATGAAAAATCTAGAAAGAACATAAAATATATGAAAAAAAAACAACGTGAAATGTGCTGAAATTTTTCGGAGGAGAATTACCGGGGATACACTGATGTTTTGGGAGATATTAAGGTCACTGAAAAATAATACAGGATTTCATATTGTTTTTATGTTAACACTCTATAAAAAAAATTAATTACGTTTTAGGGATTAATCTTTTGTAGGCTTGTAATCATATTAATCCATTTCCAAAAAGAATTTTTTTTTTATTTTCTGAATCATTTCACTTGTTGGAAATAATTTAGTCTTCGTTAAAATGTCAAAGTCTAATTTTAACTTATTAACGCATTTAACTATTTAACGCATTATTTCGTTATACGAATTTAAGCCATATTTTTTCTCGAATTCGCGATTAAATTATCTTACGATTCAAGTGGAAAGCAAATAAATATTCATGACTTATTAGCGCTTAATTAAATAGACAAAGTTTGCCGATCTTCAGATTGAAAACGCGCCAATTCCGAAATTTTTCGTAAATAATATAGTTTTAGTACGATAAGAAGAAGATATTCACCAAGTTATTATATTTTGATATAAAGGGGTCTTTAACACGGACTATGTCATATACCTGTTATTACTTCAATCTTAAAAATACTTCTTTCATATGCGGTTTTTATATAAATTTCAAGGTGCGTCCATTTTTTACTCACCATTTAATATGTAACTACTTCTTTCTTGTCTGCTATACTTCAACTATTAAAAAGAGATTAAACTGTGCTCATATTAGGCATTTATTGATAAAAAGTGTTTCTCTTTTTTCCCCTCCCAACTTTGAAATTTTCCAAAAAAGGGAACTTTTGCTCCAAAGTGGAAACCCTGTACCATGTTCCCGAATTGAATTTCTATGATCATAATAATTGAAGTCCAAGCTAAAAGTTTCAAGTTCGCAAGGAAATTACATACAAGAAACTTCATACTGAATCCACAATCTTGTTACGAGATTTCTTAAGAATTGCTGGAATGACCTATATTTGTTTTCTTTATAATGTGCTTATAAGTGTTTAAATAATTCATTTGAAGCAGCATGGATCATTTTAACCAATTAATAATTGAAGCATGAAAACAAAAAGTATCTATATGCCTTCAGAACTTTTTCATAATTTAAGTTTCGATTTGTGTAATCTAAAAGGTCTTACTTTAAAACAGTTTTTTTTTTTCTTGATTATATTTGTTTGTGTAAGTATTTAAATCATATATATATATATATATATATATATATAATATGGACTCGACACATAGAAGGTGCCTGTCATCTGTCTAAAAAAAAAAAGATAAAAGTTATTTAAATGTTTTAAGGAATTTTGGACCATTTTACATTTCCGCACTTCAATTAAAATATTATTACTTTGGTATTGGAATGGATGAAGTATAAAAGAGGGTAGAATGAAATAAAACAAATATTCTGTGTCCAACTAACCTTGTTTATTTCTAATAACCAGCTACATTTAGAATGTATTCCTGGGTCTTGCACCAATCTACCTAAGACTAAGACTACTATTTTTTTGGGTGTAAAACTTAAAACTAGTTGACTTGACTGTATCTAACTCACAAAATGTACCAGAGATTCGAACTTAACTTACATGATATGTACTTAATCATTTAATTAAAACTAAATTTGTCCTAGATGGATTATATATAACTGGACTATTGCAATCTAATCAAATTACATGTGTTTCATGTAACGGAACTGATTCGAAATCACTACTTAACTTAAACTACTTAACAATAATATTTTGTCGCCCAGTTTTAAAATGGAATACTATTAAACAGTGAATTTTTCTTAACTCATATAAAATCATTTTATATTTTCTTAAAAATATAAAATCAGAATTAATATGTTCAAAAATGTAAAAAAAAGTGTAATAAAAAAAGCGATTCATCCGTGCTGTGAGAGAATGGACGACAAAACAGTGCAAATAGAAAAGGTGATAGTGCTTAAAAGTTATTAAGAGAGATTAAAAATTACTTAAACTAAAAACTAAATGAATAAATGCGGCGTAGAGAGCTAAACCAGATTTATCACAATATAGCCAAAGTGCTATAGGTGCTCGAAATGGTGCTAGGACAAAAAAATGGAATGTCTAAAGCATAAGGACGGAATAGAGAATACTGAAAAGTTGTTCTCACATGCTTTCTAAAGGTTAAAAGCTAAGTTTATACTAATACATACCCTGCTCATATAATTTAAAAAAGCACTTAAAAAGACGGATATGTAGATAAAATTAATTATTATTGTCATTATAAATTATTATTGTCACTATTCATTATTATTGTCATTATTATTATTATTGTCTTTAGCCTTAAAATCTTATTTTAGAATAATAATAAGTAATTATAAATTACTTAAAATGTTTCACGATTTAAAGCTTGAAAGTTTCTAAACGTTTTAGAATGTATGGATGAACAGGGTATATAATTTCATATATTTCATATATAATTATATATATGAATTTAGTAACCTTTCCCCTATCGAGCTAATACATCTACATCGCCCTTACAGCAATGACTAAAAAATTCTAATAAATTACTAACAAATAAAAAAAACAACCATCCTTCCTTGCCTTATTTGATGACTGCTCGATTTCCAGGTCAATTCATTATTATTCATCATCATGACCCTGTTAACAAAAAAAAAAAAAAAAAAAAAAAATTAACAACTTAAAATATTGGGTATATCTGTATATTTTAAACAGGCCATGAATTTCATTGATAAGTATTATCAATGTGATGACATAAAAAGTTTTTTTTAAAATTCGTTACATTAGTTCAATGATAAGATCGAAGTAAAGACTATAAGCAAACTTAAAATATATAAATCAAACATTTAAAAATAAAAAATAAAAATTTATTTAAAATTATTAGTACAAATTGTTCATTTATGCGGCCAGATTTACATCAAAACTAAGGTGACCAGAGGTCCCGCTTTTGGCGGGTCAGTCTCGTTTTTAACAAAAATAAAAAACTCCCGAATATTGGAAACAATGCACAGCAAGCCTAGATAACGGCAGGAAAACGGGGAAAACGGCTTTCAGCTGCTATGTGGGTATCTTCCAAAAGTATGAGTTTTATATTTTTTTTTTTCAAAGTTTATAATTTCGCATTGTTGATTAGTTCTTAGAATTCAACCACCATTTTCTGTATTTAATAAACAACTCCAAAATGATCTTTCTGGTAAGGTATCGTTATTAAAAATATATATATTGATAAGGAAAAGGAAATCTTGCATATCAGCAAATTAACTTGATTTACTACTTCGATTAAGGAAATTTCGTCACCTTTAATAAGTTTTAGAATTTTGAAAAAGAGCTGCTTCATTGTGTACAAACTGCTGGCACAAAACATATTAACCTCATAACTCTGGACACGGCCTTTAACAGAGCTAAATCAAGGATAAGACTCTACAACTTAGTCTACAGCAGGAGTGCCAAGAAGGGGAATTTATGGCGCAAGTCGCGCCATCAAAATTAATGAGGGGGGGGGCACTTTTTGAACGGGTTATCACATTTTGAGGGTTGCACAATCCGACTGGGTTATGAATATTCAAAATGAGGAGTCTCAAATAAAAAGACATGTGGAATCATGGAATATAATCTTGGATGTAGAATGATACATAATCTACGAATACTCAAACTATTTTTTTGTTGGCACTGATTTCAAGAAGAAGAGAGGACTAAAATAGCTTAGGAGGGGTGGGGGAAGGTTTGTACGCTATCGGCCTTGGTGGTGAAGAGAGGGGGAGGGGGTTACCCCTCGTTTACAGGAACCTTAGGCAAACCCACCTTGGGCTCCCCCCCACCCACTTTCTTTCGTTCTATTATAGCAGACCCTACAGGGTAATTCATGAATGAACGTCACAAGAACTTCCAAGATTGCCCACGATCGCTTAGATCATGAAGACCCTTATACGTTCAATCATTACTGATCATTACTTATCGTTGCTGATACCAATTTAGCTCAGTTGTAAACAAAGAAACAGCATAGATATGCTTATTTGGGCATTGCCATTTATAATATTGGGCATCAAGAGAAAAACATAGATATAATAATTACTTCCTAGTGCCTGAAAATCGTTTAGACCAAAGTTAGAAAAATATAAGTCAGCTACATACAAAAATCTAGGAAAAGTATTGCGAAAATAATCAATTTGTTAAGAAAAATTGAAAAATTAATGGCAAATAAACACAACAGTTAAAGATTTTTTTTCTATAAGTAAATTGTGAAGTTTCCACTTTTTTTTCTCTTAAATTTATTGTCTACTTGACTATTTAAAGAAAAAATAGTTGAAAATGGTTAATAATAATATAGACTAGGGATATAAACAACTATTTACTTAATAACGAGACCTAGGTAAACTAACCTATCTAGTAGTAGTCTCATAGAAAATCGTTTTGACACAAGTTAGTAAAATATAAGTCTACTACTTACAAAAATTAAGGAAAGTTATTGCAAAAATAATAATAAATTTGTCGAGGAAAATGGGAAAAGAACTGATAAATATACACAACGTTAAAGTTTTTTTTTTTTTTTTCCTAAAGTAAATTGGGAAGTTTCCTATTTTTTTTGTTTTAATTTGTTGCCCACTTGACTCTTTAAAAGAAATAGTTGAAGATGGTTTAAAATTATTTACAAGGGATATGAAAAATTATTTAACTATTTACATATAATGAAAATCAGAAATTTATAATAGTTGTGAGGCCTAGGTAACCTGACCTATCCAGCAGTATGGTTAGTCTCCCCACTATTTTTACTTCATATTTACGCCCAATAATATTATTAAATTTATTTTATAGTTTTTTTTTTTTTTTTTTGCTTTTTCATTTATTGATATTTTCAACTGTATATACAATACAATAACCAAATCTGCTAAAACATGGTAAAAACTTGTAAAGAAACTACCAATTGGTAGCACTTAAAAAATTAAATTAAATTTTCTTCAAGAATATATATATTTTTTTTTTACTATTTTATCTTCAACGATTCCACTAGCGGATCCAAGATTTAATTTTGGGGGGGACTTCAGCGCGAAAGCTTTTTTTTCCTAAAAATAACGATAATTACTTTGGAACAGAAAGAAACTACCTATATGAAATGGTGTTTAAGTGATTCCTCAAGTCTTTTTAAATGTGAATTACACGAACAATAATACTTTAAGAGGTATTTTTTTCCCATAAAACATGGTTATATTTTATCATTTTGGGGGAGGGGGTTTCAGCCCGAAAGCCCCCTCCCCGTAGATCCGCCCGTGAACGATTCAAAAGTTGGATCAATTATAACCTTATATGTCAATTCCCAAAATTGGATGAAAAAATAATTTTTATAATATACATTATTGTATATTTGTGTATGTATTTATATACATATAGAAATTTAAATGAATAGAGAACTAGAGAAATATAATAATAAGGAATATTATAAAAATTAATTTTTTCTGCAAATTCATAGAGTTGACATATAAAGTTATAATAGATCTAACTTTTGAACCGTTGGAGAAAAACTAGTAACATAATATATATTCTTGAAGAAAATTTAATTATTAAAAACTTTCTTCTCTACGACTTATTTTTTTTATTTTTTTATAATTTTATTGAAATTTACAACTGTATTACATTAAAAATACAACAGGTAATGTGACATTGGTAACATGACATGTAAAATATGAAGAGAAACTACCCATTGGTAGAACTCAAATTAAAGTTCTATACTAGAAGATCCCGAGGCCATCTTCTTTTCAGACGCCTCGGAGGGTTATCAGGGATAGAGGAGGAAGCAATGTTTGAAACAAGAGGGTTCGGATGGTTCTGCAGTTTGTTATGGAAGGATAGGTATCTGGATTGGGCCAGATCGGAAACATAAGAAACATTAAGGTCTTTATGGATGATTTTGTTAGTGACAAAGTAAGGAGCGTTGAGGATTTTACGAAGGATTTTGGATTGGATACGAGAGGAATTCGATAGCTTAGTGGAGCCCCAGAGCTCAATTCCGTAGGTCCAAATAGGTCTTATTATTGTCATATATATGAGTCGTTTGTAATTGAGTGAAAGCTTAGAGCGTTTGTCTAGTAAGTGTTGGAGTAGTCGGAAACGTTGAGCGGTTTCTTGTCGTTTCAGTCTTGTATGAGGATTCCATGTGAGTCGTTTGTCGAGGTGGAGTCCTTTTTAACGAATTTGTTCAACTGGTATAAGTGGGGAATTGTTAAAGAATACTGTAGGACAGGAGGTCTCTCTACGACTTAAACGTAGAAAGAATCGATCAAGTGTTAGCTAGTTGAACACAGTAAAAAAGCACGAAGTAAAATTTTTTTTTCCACAAAAGCAATAGTTGAGGACGGATATCTCGGAAACTAAGCTAGAAAGCGATAAAAGGTATTGCATTAATTATATAGCAAATTTTATCAAGTTTAATTTTGAATAGAACGTCTTTGACGATGCGATGGATGGTGATATAAGTGAAACCCACAAAAAAGTGATCTTCTAGGTGTCACCTGTCACCCCTCTCACACCTGGCTCATCACCTAGGAGTGGGGACTTTTAGTATGTTTACCTCCTTACTAGCCCAAACAATTTACCGAAGTCAAAAAGATCCCAAGTCCGCCATTCCCTTCTATGATCATTAATTGACTGGAATAATAAGATGATACATTTCTGAGATTTATTCATATTAACAAATTTACTTAAGATTACTAAGTTAACTTCAAGATAAACAAGATATAAGTGAAAATAAATTATCTTACCACAAATCAGCGCAGAAGAATGTCCGAAACCTTTATATTACTCTTCGGTTTCTTCGTTGTGTTCTGGGAGAGGAGGAAGTCTCCTCGCCCTACTGGAAATTCGGCGACGTCTACGGGTTGGAACTTGTCTTATCGGGACGCAAAAAGCGTACGGATCTACCTGAAGATAGAAAGAAAGATTGTATATTACATTAAAGTCATCCTGGGATAGAGTGCATGATTGATTGTTACTATATCTTTTTTTTTTTTTTTTTTTGTATCTGTTTATTGAGTAATAATACATTTTGACACACTTAAGGGCACTGAATACTAAGGCTGAGTGAGGCACATTCATACCATATATACAATACCATAAAAAAAAATATACATATATATAAAAATCTATATAACAAAGGCAAAAACTATAATAAACCAAGGAAATGAAATACAGAAATTCGTAGCAAAATTAAATAAATTATAAGTAATAGAAATAAATAGAAAAACATTCATACTTAAATACAATATTTACAATTAGGTAAGAGATCTCCGAGTCCAGCCCTTTCTCCCACGTGTGAAGGACAAAGCGAGAATCTAAGAGATCCCAGCACTTCTCTCTCAACCGCGTCGCCGGCATTACCAGTCCGGTGGAGACTGAGAGAGAGCACTAAAACCACAAACGCTCATGACTTGAGTGGAGAAGCTGGCCATTGACAGAACTCCAGTGACGTCTTTACAAGAGATCTCGAGGCCACTGCCGTTTCAACCTTCGAGGAGGGTTGTAGGGATGACTGGAGCTAGATAAGGATTGTGCTAAAGGGTTAGGATGGTGGATTAGGTTCATGTGAAAATTTGAGAATCGGGATGGAATAACGTCAAGGATATAAGGGATGTAAAGGTCATGATGTAGGGTTTTGTTTGTAACGTAATAAGGAGCATTGACTATTATACGGAGGACTTTAGACTGAAAGGATTGGATGCGTTTGATGTTCGAAAATTTAGTTGTCCCCCACAGTTCAAGTCCGTAGGTCCAGATGGGTTTGAGTATGGTCTTGTATATTAATAGTTTGTTTTCTATTGATAGATTGGATTCTCTGTTAAGTAGTCAGTATAGCTGGCCAAATCGTCGGTTAAGTTCTTGTCTTTTAAGTCTAGTATGTGGGTTCCAAGTTACTTTTGTCTAAAAGGAATCCAAGATACCGAACTGTGTCTGAGACGGGGAGAGGTACAGAGTTTAAAAGGATATGTGGACAGGATCTGCGTCGGAGGCTAAAGGTGACATGCTTGCATTTGGATTCATTGATCTTAATGCGCCAATTGTTGCACCATTGCTCAATTAAGGATATGTGTCTTTGTAAATTTAAGGATGCAGTTTCAGGATCTAGGTGGGATGACAGGATGGCGGTATCGTCCGCGAAAGTCGCTAGAAGGGTATCGGGATTGGTTGGAATGTCAGCGGTGAATAGGATGAAGAGGACTGGGTCCAAGAAACTGCCTTGTGGAAAATCAGTCTCAATTGGATAATAGTTGGAGAATTCAGTGCCGCAGCGGACTTGAAAGGAACGATTTGAGAGGTAGGATTTGAGGACTAGGTACAAGGATTGGGGTAAGTGAGTTTTGAGCTTGAAAAGCAAGCCATCATGCCACACCCGGTCGAAAGCTTGCGCTACGTCCAGGAAGGCACCGGTGCAATATTGCCTGTTTTCAAGCGCAGAGGATATATGGTCAACAACGCGAAGGCCTTGTTGAACAGTGGAATGTCTTGAGCGGAATGCAAACTGATAGGATGGGATATTGTGGGTTTCGAGTATGAGTAGGATGCGTTTGAAAAGGATTTTTTCAAAGATTTTGGAGAGGATTGGGATCAAGCTTATTGGTCTATAGCATGAGGTATTATTTACAGGTTTACCTGGTTTTGGGAAGAGGATGATTATGGAGTGTTTCCATGTCAGAGGAAAATGAGTTGTGCGGAGGATATGTGAGTTGTGAGGAGTTATTACCTCCCACCCCTATTCACTATTTTTTTCCGCACGCTATTTCATTATCGTCTTGCAGAATAACGCATTTTCTGTTAACAATCTGGCCTCTTTTCAATTAATGATTGATTTACACGATCCAATTGTCCACGATAAAGGTATGGACTCACAGTTTGACCAGGTTTCAGCTCTTCAAAATGAACAACGCCGCGGATATTCAATTTCCGATGATCAAGCAATAAAAAAACGCTTCTATATTGTTCTGTTGCATGTTAAGTTGCATGTGGTGGATAGGTGCACTAGCGGATCCAGGATTTAATTTTTTTTTGGGGGGGGGAGGGGGAGAGGGGGGCTTCAGCCCGAAAGCCTCTCCCCCCCCCTAGATCCGCCCGTGGATCGGTGGATGGTCGAAAAAGGTTGGTTAAGACAGTTTGACAACTCCTCGATTGGGGGGCGGGGTGGCCGAATAGGCTAAAGCGTGTGTAACAGCACCGCTAGTTGCCTGGCAACCGGATAACAGAGATTTGAGATGATATGAAAAGTACGAGTTCGCGTCCCGGTGCCGGAGGGGATTTTAAATTTCCCCGCCCTCACCCCCCGGCCCGGGAAAATCCCGTATAGCCTAAAAGGCGAGGAAGGGAAGAACAAAAAAAAAAAAAAAAAAAAAAAAACCTCGATTGCCTGATATAGATTTGCTTTGATTTCCACCCTTAACACGTCATTGTCTAACGTTGTTGGTCTTCCTGACCGACACGAGTCGGATAGATCAAAATTGCCGGATTTGAACTTGAAAATCCAACTTTGGCATTTACGAACGTCCAACGCATTTGGAGAAACTTATGTTCTTATAATGCAACTGTTGCGTTACAACTCTTGCGAAACTCATAAAACATGCGATATGTACGTCTTCTGGCATTTAGCTGGTAATCCCGCCAAAAATTGAAAAAAAAGAAAATTAATTTAATTATTTGCAACTAAAGATGTCACTATAACGTTATAATATCATTGCTACAACATAGATTTACACAATGAGCTAACAAATGAAATAAAATAGTGACATCCCTAGAAACATTACTTATCACTCCCCCTTAAATAAAGTTGTATTGGGGTATGCAGAAAGAGATTTTAGTTACAACTAATTTTCGATATTTTTATCACAGCTTTGAAAATTTATGTTTAAGAATTTTTTGTAGCTGACGGAAAATTATAATGCTGAAATATATGATATCAGCAGATTCTTTATTAAATTTCTGGCAAATGAATACATTTTTAAAGTTCTTCTTCCTTAGATATTGGTTTTGCACGGAGAAACCAAACAGCTCAAAATTTCTTCCCAACTTCAAATATTTCAAAAGTTTAAATACCTTTAATTCTGAAATTAATAGTCGGAATTGGGTGAAAATTTGCATTTTTGCTTAATTTTGTGTTTTCTAAATATTTAAGAATTTTTGTAAAGATCTGAGGAGGGGGGGAGGGAGATGTCGAATTGAACTTTCGTCAGATGATTTGGTATGGAATGGCCCACTACGATTTCATAGATATAAAATTAATTTTGTTAAATTTAAAATTTTATTAAATTCAGTTGGTTACTTAGTATTATATGGATCAATTTTTTAAATAAGCATTATTTTTTTAATAAATAATAAATGTATTTTCATAATTAATTTACTAAAATGTCAAGGAAAAGAAGGAATTACAACTTTGTGATAATTTATTGGTTGTAATTTTTACTGAAAATACAGAAAATCTGAAGTGACAAAATATTAAATCAAATCATTTCCTCACAAATAGAGGGGATCCTCAACTCTATTCAAAAACAAATCTGAAATAAATTGATTGTAATTAAAGAATTTAAAATAATGAAGTTTTTATAAAAGTAGGGTATCTGTAGGATGAGAAAAAAAAGTATATATATCAACCTTGCAGATCTTCATAGATTTCATGAAGACCTGAAAGGTGGGTCGAAACATCGGCGTAATAATTAAAAATACTATGTTTTTAAATTTAGTATTTATTTGACCGCAATCCTTCTCATATTATATCACGGCCAATCATCTCTACATCATGATCTTTATTTTAATTGTTAAATGGACTTTTCATAAATAGTTATGAAATTAACTTTTGAAGAAGGTGAGGATAAGATAATGATATAAAAAGTGGGCTTACAAATGGGCAAAGTTAACCTAAAACGTAATCAAAACGAATAAAAATAAAAATGAATTGAAGCATTGAGGGGAGGTGAAAGGATTCATAATGTCATTTTCTTAAAATTATTAATTTTAATAAGCAATACTTTTTTTTTTCTTTTTCAAATTACTAATTATGAATCAAATTTTATTAGGAATCATCTATTATTTCTTTTTCATTATGTTACTAGGAGGGTAATGTTACGTTAGATGTATAATTTTTTGGAAATAATAAGAAATTGTGAAATAATTTGCAGCGTTTTAAATTTGTTTTTGTTAATTTATTTTTTTTCAAATCATCATGAGCTGGAGTAGAACATGGGGACCACGATGAAAAGAAAAAAATTACATGTGATTTAAGTTCTCTTACAGTTAAAGATAAAAAAAAAAAAACTTACTGTTGATTCTATTGGAGTGGTAGGATCCCGAGTTAATCGGTTTAGATAGTCTTCCAATTTTTCAGGGTTATCCCCCTCAAAATCACCGACTTGAGTCTGAAACCAAAAGTTTGACAATGAAATTATATTTTACAAAATACTTAATTATAAATTCGTATAAGTTCTCTTTCACTACTCTAAGATGGCACATAACACACTGTTCCTAGGTTCCCAAAAATATCCAATAGAAAAGTAATCAAAAATTATGATTCTAACGTTCCCTAACTATCGATTATAAATTACCCACCAATTTAAAAAAAATACTCAATTATAGTAGCCAATAATAAATATTAAAAAACTGAAATAAATTAAATCTAACAATAATTGATATACTATAAATCTTCGCAGCGATCAAAATTTTCTCTGTATCATATTATTTTATTATGCAATATGGTTTATTATATGCATTTTTTTCGCTACCTCGCTTCGTTGCCGAAACACCCGTCCTTACCTATGGCTAATTTTGAAAAAAAAGAAATTAATAAACACAAGACAATTTTTTTTTAAAAGAAATTACGGGTAGTAGAGGACGGATATTTTGGAAACTAAGCGAGATATCAAAAAAAGTACGTTTAATCATACTGCAGCTTCAATTTTGTATTGGACGTTTTTGTCGATGCGATGAATAGTTTTCCTAATATAAGCGAAAACTCAAAAAAATGAAATAAACACAAGGCAATTTTTTTTTTCTTCAAAATTAGTCATAGTTGATTACGGATATCTTCGAAAATAAGCGAGATAGCGTAAAAAGGTTATATAATCGAAAAATTATCATTTCCTAAGTTCGGATGAAGGAGACGTTTCCTACTACAATTTATCAGAGATTTTTCAAAATGTCGATTTAAATTATAAGTATAATTTTGTCCAAGTACATAAAAAAAGAAAGGAATTTTTATTGAAATGTTTGCCCTCGTGTGAAATTATCAATCTTGATGAATATAAATGTCCTCGAATTGATAAAATGCAAAGTATACAAATAGCCTCATGTATAACGAAGAAGCATCATGATTAATCATCTCGTCATGAATTTCAACATCAGAGGCCTCTTCCAGAAGCAGGCTGAAATCGAGCACCTTCTTCAGCAGCATAGACCTTCAGTGGTGGCGTTGACAGACACCATGCTTCACACTCGTCCATACTTCCAGGGGTACACTATATACCGAGAGGTGTGTGTACCAGGGTCTCGAGAGGGAATAGCCATCCTGGTCAGAAAGGATGTACCTTCGAGATCCGTCCCGAACCCAGTGGAACCAACCGAGGGAACTCACTTACTCACAGTTGACGTACGACTTAAGAGCCGGTTCACATTCACCTGTGTCTATAGGAGACCCTGGGCTGGACTGACATCTGTTAAGCTGCTGCTACAACATGCCCAGGTGACGGGTCGGCATGTAGTCCTTGGGGACTTCAATGCTCGACACACTTCCTGGCTGTGTGGTAGCGACAATCCACTGGGGAAGTGCATCACCAAGACTAGGTTGGCCGTCTTTCACCCAGATGTACACACTTTCCGGCATTCAGCCCGACCTGATTGGACATCAACGCTGGACCTGCTATTAACCAGGGATCTGCACACCATTACCGATTGCCAAGCGCTTCCGTATGGACCGTCGGATCACCGGCCTGTGCTTTACACAATCGAGGGCACACCCGCCAAACCACAGGCGCGTAAATATTTACTCCACAAGGCCGACTGGAAAGGATACAGGTCTAGCGTTGAATCCACTTTACCGGCGGTAACGCCGTGCCAGACAGTAGAAGAGGTAAACGAGGCGGTGGATGTCATCACCACCACTGTCCAGGACTCAGCCAACCTGAACATCCCTAGGTTCGCTCCGCAGCCCTACGCCATCAGGAGACCACCACGTCACATCCTCGCTCTGATCAGTCAGAGGAACAACCTGAGGAACATCTTTCAGCGCACGCGTGACTACAGCTTGAAACCGGCCATCAATGCAATGACCCGGCAGATAACCAGCCTCATGCGAGACTGGAAGACCTCACTTTGGCATGACCAGCTCCGGGGGACTCATGATGACCACCGCCAGTTCTGGAGACTGGTCCGAACGTTCGTTAACAAGAAGAGGACTGTCCACCTGACGTCGGGGAATGAGCTGCTGACACCTAAGGAACAGGCTGAACTCCTGGCCAAAAGCTATGAAGCGAGGGATGCTGAGCGGACGAGAAATGCACCACCAATACCGGAAGGAGCACTGCCCAGTCCCAACGAAGAACCCGTCTTCTCTACCTTCAACCAGCTGGAGTCGACACTACAACGCACCAAAGGAAACAAAGCGTCTGGATTGGATGAGATTCCGTACGTACTGCTGAAGATGCTCCCTAGGAAAGGTAAAGCCTTTCTACTGAACATATTCAACTCATGTCTTCGAATCTCATACTTTCCTACCGCATGGAAACAAGCGATCGTTGTACCGTTACTCAAGCCGGCGAAGAACGGGGACTCAGCTGAGCACTATCGTCCGATCAGCCTCCTCTCGCAGATCAGCAAGATTTTCGAGAGGCTAATCCACCATCAGCATATGAAGCACTGCTGGAAAGAGAGCATCATACCACCAGAGCAGATTGGGATCCAGAGAGGGGTCGCGTGTGAACACCACCTAGCTAAACTTCAGGCCCACACAATAGATGAAATGAGTCTCAACAGAGCTACGGCGTTCATCTCTTTGGACTGCAGCCAGGCTTTTGACTGCGTGTCACACACGCATCTACTTCGCCGTCTGGAAGAGTTCAGGTTTCCTACCACTCTATGCCGACTGATCCGAAGCTACCTCAGTGGAAGATCTCTCGTCGTACAAGTTGGTACAGACTACTCAAACCCAGTCGATACCACCTGCGGAGTTCCTCAAGGTTCTGTGTTGGGGCCAATACTGTTCGTCGTTTTCAGTATATCGCCAGTAGTGGCACTCAAGCATCCAAAGGCGGTGGTAGTAGCCTATGCGGACGACATTGGCATATATGCTTCCAGCATCAACGCGGAGACTGCACTCACTCTGGCACAGAATGCTTCAGCCACAATTGTTGAAGAGCTAGAAGAGATCGGTATCAGAGTGAATCCTGCGAAGACTGATGCTATTGTCATGTCGTTTCAGAAGGGAAAGAAGCATCTACCCACACAATTCACCGTTGGAGGAGCTTATCATAAAATCTCTACCTCGATTGTCTACCTCGGCGTCACGCTAGATAGACATTTGACCTTCTCCAATCACGTTAGGCAGAGGATCAAGCTGGCACGAAAGAATTCGCACCGGCTCTACCACCTACTGACGTCGCCGCAGCTCTCGCTGAGACTCAAGCTCCAAATTTATAAAGCTATTATAAGACCAACACTGCTCCACTGGGCCCCTCTCCTGCGATACCTATATAAATCCACGCTTACGAGTCTACAGGGCTTCCAGAACTCTATCCTTCGGCGAATCGTTCGTGACACCACCCTACAAAGGGCTAAGAATCAAACAATACGCGAGGAGCTCCAGCTCCCCTCGGTACCTGAGTTCATAGGCCGGAGGCACATAAAATTTTTTGATGGGCTGAAGGCCTGTGCAAACCCACTGTTCAATGAGATCCCACCACCACACAGACCTGGGAGGTGGCAAGGTAAACTCCCTTTGGTGGACATACTCGCCGAAGGATGTGGTCTGGTCTCTGCGGTCCAAACTCATTAATTTGTATATATTGTAAATAATAAAAATTAGCAGAACGGTCCTTCCCCGTTCAATGTCAAAGTCACAAGGCCTTCTGCCACATATGTAACCCTTAGCTATAACCTATCCTTAAAATGCTCTCGGGCAGTGGAAGAAATTTATTACATGTATATATTGTATTATTGTATACTATATATGTAATTTTTTCAATAAACATTTTGGAGGGTAAGAAAAAAAAAAAAAAAAAAAAGCCTCATGTATAATACTTTCACATGTTTCCACTTAAACGTCTTAAGGAACATATATAAATCATTTATTTACTCTAGTTATTTTCTTTTATTCTTAATTTTTTTTTATTTTATTTTTTTATTATATTGTAACACTAAAGCTGGTAACCTATAAAACTTATTTAGCATTTCTTTCCAATTTTATTTAGTTATAAGTATGTTGTTGTTTTTTGTACCAATATTATAATATTGTAACCGCTTTACCCATCTGTTTTCCTTAATATACCCTCCAAAACTATGTATATATTCATTTTATCACTTAGATTGTATTTACTCTTTATTATAATTATTCATCTGGCCAGATTTATTGTCAATCGGTTTAAACAATATTGTTATTCTCAAGGGACCTAGTCCTAGAATAAAGATGAATTTCTATTTCTAAGTAAAGGGGTTCATTGTAATTTATTCTCAGTTTTCATAATTTCATCAAACGGTGCGGTTGTGGAACTTCAATGCTTCGTAGATGGTTGAAATAATTATGTAGTTAAAGAATTATCGATTTTTAATTTAAAATATTATGCAGCCAACAACTGGATTTTCAAACCACCATCTCATCCGGTTGTTACCAATCATAAAAGCACGAGAACGAACCGCTGGCTTTCGAAAAATTATCATTCCTAAGTTGGGATGAAGGAAATGTTTCCTACCACAATTTATCATCGATTTTTCAAAATGCCAATTTAAATTATAAATATATTTTTGTTAAAGGACATAAAAAAAAAGAAGGAATTTTTGTTGAAATATTTGCCCTCGTGTGAAATTATCAATCTTCAGAAATATAAATGTCCTCGAATTGATTATATGCAAAGTATATAAATAGCCCTACTTATTACTCATAGAGACTTGAAATTAATGTGTTCATATTATCGTTCGCATATACTAGCAGAATTTCAAATTTTTGTAACTTTTGATTAATGTTTCTATAATTTGATAATAAAAAAATTAAATAAAAAAATATTATTTTTTTTTACTTTCACTTACGTATTTATGTAATATATAGTAAGTGTATGTATTGCGATCAAGAAAATTACTGAATCTGAGTTTTCAACGGAAATAGATGTTTTGAGGTACCCTGAGTCGAAATGACCAAGTCCCGAAAAATGGTCTGTGTGTCGGTGTGTCTGTGTGTTTGTATGTTAGCAGTCTAGCTCAAAAATGAAAAGTCCTACGAAACTGATATTACGTATTTAAGATAGGTATATGCCTTCGATGTGATGGCAACTTTTCCCTTAAAATCGGCCAACCGGAAGTGCCACTTTATATCAACGCTGAAAGACACTTTCACAATTTTCTCAACAGCTCTAACGATTTTGATTAAACTCAGTGTATCATGGTATAATTAAGTCGTATTTAATATCAGTTAGGTCTTATCCCCATTGATGTCACTTTACAGGGCTTAAATGCCTAATGTTCATATACGTTTTCCTCTAAAGTACCTTAAATATGGTTTATTTTAAAAAGTTAATCATTTCACATTATTCAAAGTAATGAAAAAAAATGCTAAATATAACTTTTGAAAGAATTTGATAAGTTAATAAAGGAGAAAAAAAATGCAGAAAAACCTGCGTTGCTATAGACTGTAACGAATAAACGGATGCATCGATTTCAATGAAACTTCGCTAAAGTCATTTTCTCGACACCCTTTAAATTTATTTATATTACATACTTCAACGAAAAGAAACTCGAAAAAAAGTTACGAGGGATAGTAAAATTAATTCTGACGTATATGAACATTAGGCATTTAAGCCCTGTAAAGTGACATCAATGGGGATAAGACCTAACTGATGTTAAAGACCACTTAATTATACAATGATACACTGAGTTTAATCAAAATCGTTAGAGCTCTTTTATAGAAAATTGTGAAAATGTCTTTCAGCGTTGATATAAAGTGGCACTTCCGGTTAGCCGATTTTAAGGTAAAAGTTGCCGTCACATCTAAGGTATATACCTATCTTAAAGTCATTTTCTCGACACCCTTTAAATTTATTTGTATTACATACTTCAACGAAAAGAAGCTCGAAAAAAAAAGTTACGAGGGATAGTAAAATTAAATTCCGAATAAATATAAAAGTGTACGCTTGGTTTTTTAAAAGTTTATGGAATTTGCTAAAAAAACAAAAAAAAAAATCGTTAAGATCGGACAACTAGGAGGAAAGATATGGTCTCTAGTTTCTTTTCCCTGAAGAGGCGAAAATTTGGATAAATTTAAAATATACTATTTTAATTGTTGAGACTAAAAAAACTTTTTTTCTGCAGATATGCATACCTTTATTTTCAGTTCTATATTTTAACACTGCAATCACCACCTCCGGAATCAACTTACTCATATTCTGCATAGATAACTTTTTCAACTAAAAATATCACTAAAATGACATCACTTAAAAATATTGAGATTGGAGTTAGTCATTCTGAAGTTTATAAAAGCAAAGAAAGTTGTGTGGTTTATAAAAGCAGATGGAGTGACTAGATTTTTATAGCCTGTTGTCGATATATTAAATAGACATTTTGTAATTATAATGATCTTAATGAATTGTTATCTGTAAGCTTTAAGCTTTAGCTCCGTTTAAAATGCACTTCAAAAAAATTTATTATAGCCCAGCATTGTCAGAAAATAATTTCTATTCTTAGTAGATCGGTAAGTGAAAGTTGTGTGTTGCGCGCACCAGATTTTTAAATATAACTATGTCAAATATTAAAAATCTAGAAATTTGAATTATAACACCTCGAAAACTTTTGCAGCTGTCAGACCACTGTGCGCTGCTCGAATGTTAACAGACTCGTTAATTTTCGGCTACTTTCGGCATTCATCGGAAATCTGGGAAAAGCATGCTCTGATTGATGTTGAAACCAGCCACCATCTTCGGAGAGAATTACTGCCATAATTTTAATAGTTATAAAGAAAAAATTGATTACCATGTTATAAAAGAAGTGAAAAGTGGGGACGTTTCGGACATGTTCTGGTACCAACTGTGGAGTCACATGGACGGTTACACGGAGGAAGTGGACTTGAGGAAAGAGCACAGCGAAACGGTTAACGATCGGGTCGATCAATTCGCACGGTAAGGCCCTGCAACATGTTAATATATTATAAATAAATAAATATATTATTCATAGATTATAAATAATAATCATTATAATCAATTATTTATATTGAAATATCTATATATATATATATATATATATATATATATATATATATATATATAATAAAAGATTTTGTCTGTACATTGAATAGAATTCAACCGATTTTAGGATATATTTTCGTTTCATACATTGCAGACACCAAATCCACTTTTAAAAAAAATTTTGTCTGTCTGTGTGTCCGCTTTAAAACGAAATTTTGTCAGGGGTAAGCTCAGTAATGGCTTATTGTAGACTTTTGAAATTTTAACATTATATTAAGGTTTGCTTGACTTAAAGCATAGGCTTTAATGAATGAAAACAAAATATTGAGTAGAACCAAAGTTATGAACTCTTGAGTAATTTGTTTAGAGATCTCGGTTAGGCAGTTACTTCGATTCTAATCCCAACCTACTCTACCACGAACCAAATTTAAAAGTTATACTACTCAACTGATGGAATAATTATCATAACGCAACAAAAAAAATATGGAATACCGAACATCTGTAACGCGTTGTCACATACAACGGGTAAAACACACACATTTTTCAAATTTGTTCGATCTTCTCGTTCAAGGTGCCATTCAAATCAACTTCCCGAGCCTAACAAATATTCTCCTATACATTTTTAGGATTAACCAAACGGATTAGCCGAAAATCAGGAAGAAAAAACTTAGAATACAGCAGAGTTTAAAGAAGTGGAGGGACTACAACTCTTTTTGATTAATTAATCGATTCCACAATCACCTCGCTTCATCATAAATGAAAATGAAACACTTGAAAAATTTTGATGGATCGGTATTCGTTGGTTTAGTTTTGTGGTACCTAAACAAATAGCCGAATAACAAAGCTTTTGTTATGACTATTGCGAAACCTTGACTTCCATAAGCCCCGCCATAAAAAATTTCAAAACAACCCCCATCCTCCCTCTCGACCCAATTTTATGAAATTAAATTTAGGACCCTCCTACCTCTATAATACAAAATCCATCCAAAAAAAGATTCTCAACGATTAACTATACACCCGTCAACGATGGGTACATCATCTAGTATAATCTAAATTAAATTTAATATCATAGTAGAAATCCAGTTTCCAGTTCTCATGAGCGATGGACAAATGAATGAATGAATATTTTATTTGTTTTTAGGGAATGGCCTATACAGATAGAGTCGGTCACAATATTGAACAGTGATCATAAAAAGTTAATATCAAAAATTAAAAAAAGTTATATAAAATAATTCATTGTGCTGCAATGACAACATCCTGTCCTGCATGCATTTCTTAATATTAACAATGAGCTATAATACAATACCGCATATAATACAATATACACTACAATAGTAAGTAATAAAATAACGAGTAGTAATAAATAGTACATATAAATATCAGCATACTAGCTGATGTAGACGTCGTTTACGGGTGTCTAGTTAAAATTTGAGAATCTTTTTTTGAGATAGATTTTGTACAGGGGGGAAAGGAGGATCGAAATTTAATTTTATAAAATTGGCTGGGGAGGAGGAGTTGTTTTGAAATTGTTTATGGGGAGCTTATGGAAGTCAAGGTTTCGCAATAGTCATAATAAAAACTTTGTTATTCGGTTATTTGTTTAGGTGTCATACAACTAAATCGACCACCACCGATCCATTACAATTTTTCAAGAGTTTAATTTTCATTTATAATGAATCGAGGAGATTGTGGAGTCGATTGAAATAATCAAAAAGAGTTGTGATCTCTCCAGTTATTTAAACTCTGCTGAGTTAGCGCTGGCAAAGTAACATTGGATATTGAGTCACCTTAATCAAATTTAAAATTAGAACTTGATCTGAATATTGTGGAGGGCGAGGTAAAATTTTTGGGAGTTTGTTTTCCCGATTTCCGGTTAACCTGTTTGGTTAATCCTAAAAATGTATACGATGACATTTGTTAGGCTCGGCAAGTTAAATCGAATGACACCTTGAACGGGAATATCGGACAAAGTTGGGGATTTCGGATTTTTCCCGTTGAGTTGTGATCATTTTTTCCATCAGCTGAATAGAACAACTTTTGAATTTGGCTAGCGGTAGAGTAGGTTGAAATGAAAATCGAAGTTTGTTTTCATTTCAAGCCTGTTTTAAGTCAAACGAACCTAAATATAATGTAAAAATTTCAAAAGTCTACCACAAGCCATTGCTGAGCTCATCCCTGACAATATTTCGTTGGACAATGCGGACATACCGACAGACAAAAAAAAATTTAAAAGTGGATTTGTTGTCTGTAATATATGAAAGGAGTTGATTCTATTCAATGTACAGACAAAACATTTATGTTATTTATATAGGTGATAAATAGAAATGATAATAAACAATAGATGATACAATAAATTATAATATGAATTCGATAAAAATATTTGTCATGCAGAGATAATAAGTACGAAATACAGGATAAATAATAGTTTTGGAAACAATTTTTTGTACACAGATCGGTAATGTTATCATTCATTAGGAATAACCTCATCTACAACGTTGTAGTCAATTAACACACCTCTTTTTATCTAATTATTAACATCTGCCTGAAACTTCGTGATTAGCTTCATTTCATCTTAACCTATAACTATTTTATTTAAAAAACTCTTGGAATTGGGGCGTTTCCAATCTGGAGATCGCCAAACTTTGTATACTTAATTAGGTACTAAAAACTCGTAAATACCCATTTGCTTCCCACTTGAATCGAAACATAATTTGATCCCCAAAATCGAGAGAAAGGGTGGCATGACCTATACCCTCAATATGTCAAAATAACTAGGTATATAGGCTAAACGGTTCAATATTTTTGTAGGCCACCTTTGTTTCCACAGTCTAACTAATTATGTTAAAATGTTAATGAAAATATTTATTTATACTTATAATTGTAAAAATATTTTTCCAAATTTGTCGTTGAAAATTCATAAGAAAATCGCGTGGAAATGGGGATGTATATATGAGAGGTAAATGAATCATAAGATCCTAGGAAATGTTTCTATATAATCATTCCTCAAAATAGATGAAAATTTAAATGATAGCAATATTTAGGTCGTGATAAAATAGTTACGTACCTAAGTCTAGCCAGTTAGCCGATCTTTTTAATCGATTTTAGTTTAAATATTTTATTCATTCATGTATTTTATTTGTTATCAGTTTTATTTTTTTTTACTTGAAATTGTTTGGGGAAGGGGAAGGTGCTTCTCGTCCCTTCAAAATTTTTATTTGGAGGAGGTCGTCATTTTCGCCTCCTTATTTAAGACTCTTATAAGGCTAAATTTAATTGTAATGTCGACAAAGTAACAACTATTAGTATTTGGGTAACAACTATTAGTAGGGGTGTCCATCCTCCCCATTAAATCGGGAAAAGTTTGTTTGTAAGTGTTCTGTTTATTTTGTCAAAGATACCTATGAGCCTTTCTGGTAAATTCGTTACGGACTCTGTACTATCTTTGAAGATACGTAATACCTTTGATATTAACTATTAAATATTTATATACTGCTTATAACTAGCTCCTACATCTCGTAACGTGAAAATATCATAAAGCATGTAATAAAAAGAGAAAACGTTCGAACACAAAAAAGTTAAACGGGCAGCACAAGCGAATCATTCAATTAAAACTGCGATTTCGATTATAAGTTAGATAAGCCATCAATAATTAATAAGGCAAATTAATTAATTATTTTTTCAAAATTCATCTTTTAAGAACGTTTTATAATTATTAATATGGACAGTGCATTACTATATGATACAAATATAATTATATAAATAATAAGCAGTGTGTTCAAAATCCTTTAGGACATTTCTAGTAAAGTATAATGAATAATTTTTTTTTATAAAAAATCAAGTTTTTTTTTGGTTTATTTTTTTTTATCCACACCTGTCATAATGGTAATGACAACCGGTGAATGTGAGGTTGATTGGGAGCAAAAATAATGTCATGAAAGGCATTACGAGGACCAGTGCCCAGCGGCACCTCACTCGGCGTGATATCTAATTAGGCGAGGAGGTCCCTCATCGAGCTCCTCTTCAGTCTCCTACAGACGTTACCTGGCATATTCGTAGTGGCCATGTCATTTATAAGTGTATTAGGATGTCCTTGTAAGTTGTCATGGAATCGTTTGTAATGAGTTCGTATGTGTTCGTTAACAGTCGGCATATGGAGGTCATTATGTAAGGTTATGTTGCTAACGTAGCAAGGTGCTTTTGTAATTGTTCTGAATGTTTTTGCTTCAAAGGTTTGAAGTTTGTTTAAGTAAGTCTTTTTAGCAGTTCCAAATATTTGTGATGCGTAAGTCCAAATAGGTTTTAGTAAGTAATTGTATGTGTTAAATTTCTGTCTAAGTTTTAATTTTGAATTTTTCGAAAGAAGTGAGTTCAGAATTCTGAACCTTTGATATAGCGTTTTACGTTTCTTGATTATATGTGGGTCCCACGTAATTTTTCTGTCAAATGTCAGACACAAAAAAAGTTAAACGAACAACACAAGCGAATCATACAATTAAAACTGCGATTTCGATTATAAGTTAGATAAGCCATAAATAATTAATAAAGCAAATTAATTAATTATTTTTTCAAAATTCATCTTTTAAGAACGTTTTATAATTATTAATATGGACAGTGCATTACTATATGATACAAATATAATTATATAAATAATAAGCAGTGTGTTCAAAATCCTTTAGGACATTTCTAGTAAAGTAGAATTAAGTAAGAGTCTTAAGTAAGGAAGCAAAAATGACGACCTCCCCCAAATAAAAATTTTGAGGGGTGAGAAGCATCTCCCCCTCCCCAAAATAATTTCAAGTAAAAAAAAATTAAAACTGATAACAAATAAAATACATGAATGAATTAAAAAAAGTTATATTCGCTTTTAATGTTCATAAAATTATTAAATATGAATGTTTATAGAAATTTAAAAAATACAATTTAAAATATGTAATAAATCCTCATGATTTTGTTCAAATTCAACGTTCATACAACCACTGGATAGTTGAACTGATACTCTTCCAAATTTTAGATAACTTTTTAAACAACTTTTATTCCTTAAAAGGTAGAAACAAAGAAAAACTCAAACGTTTTTATTTTGTATCTATGGTTCTAATTGGTTTATGGAGTTCGGGCCTGTTATATATATTGGTTCAGTATATATAGTCCTAAATTAAGATGACCAAATTTTAACATTGATAATGCAGTACACTATTGACCCGGGGAGGGGGAGAGAGGATGTTCTTGATTAAAATTTTGATTCATTGACTGCAAATAATAGTTCAAATTTGTTTTTAGAATAATTCATTTTACATTATGATAATCTAGTGCAAATTTTAATTAGGTAACATAGTGTTCAGCTAAAATAAGTTTGAAAATTTAGTTCAAAAGGCGTTTTTTTGAGGACGAATAATTTGATGATGTATTTGTCGTCTAATTTATGACTTCAACAATGACGCAGTTTTTAAGAGTTATGTGTTTTGTGCCAGCAGTTTATACACAATCGAATAGCTGTTTTTCAAAATACTTACTATTTATTGAATGTGACAATATTTCGATAATCGAAGTAGTAATAATAATAACTAGCTGATGCCCAAGATTTAACTTTTTTCTTATAAATATATTTTTACTTTCCTACCTATATACTAGGTTCCTTAAAAAAATATTTACTTCCATATTGCTACATCGCAAACTGGGACTGATTGGCCGATCTAGGAGGACAAAAACAACTTTTAAAATATGACAAATATAATATTATATCCTTTTTATAGATAGTTGGTGACCTAGAAAGTGGCCTAGTAAAATTTCAAAGTTCGTACCCAACTCTCACAGTAGGGTACAGAAGATGTAATGTTTGGGCGAGAGGGCGTCTAGTCCCACCAGTTGGCAAATAGTTCCAGTATTACTTTATTTATAATATAAATAAATATGTGTGTGCGTTATTGCTTGACACTGCTTTTGATAGTTCAGTTATCTATTTTTCTTTTTCACAGCATTAATTTACGTTTAACTATTTTGATGTTGGTTAGAATGTTATTTAACAAACGGCTACGATCAAACCTTGGAAATACACAAACAAAAAATATATATTCTATAAAATACACTTCCCGGTATTCTGGCGCTACAATTTTTTTTCATTTTATAGAATTTTTATATTATTTCAAAAAATAATCATCAAATTTTGCTCAGCTTTGCGCTGAGCACTGTTTTTGTATTGTATCAGAAAACGTAAACAAAAGTTCTGGGATGAATTTTTTTTTAATCTTATGAAATAATTATGAATAATAAAACTTATACAAGTTTGAATAACAATGTAGCCCCATTTGCATACGAAACAAATGAGTGTTAAAAAAAACTCAGAAAATCATATTTTTTTAGCATATTTTCTACAACTTCGATGTTTCGAGGAACAGGATGATCGAATAATGTTTTTCTGATTGCTTCGAAAAAACTAATGTGCTGAAACTACAGGATATGATACAGTAATCGTATCCAGAAGGTAGTGTTGCCCAAAGACGAGTCTTGGGTCTTGCAAACTCAGTCATGGTAATGGTCTTGGTCTTCCGCAAGAGTCTCGCAACAGTCTTGCAGTTACTTATTAGCTTATTACTATAGAGATATTACCATAATTTTTTAGATAGGAAAAGCCTAACTAAGCCCGAATGAAAAATTAGAGAATTTAAATGCAAAAGTATCTTGGTCATACCAATTAACGTATAGTAACTAAGATTGTCAAGTATTATTAACTCTTTTGCCTTCATTTTATTAGAAAAATCGATTTTTTTTACCAGTCCTGGTCTTGGTCTTGCAACAGTTAGGCGGCCATGGGCGATTTTGGGCAACACTACCAGGAGGGTATAATCCAGAAAATGGCGCCAACAAAATTTTGAGAGAGCACATTTTTACGGGGTTCTGGATTTTTGAAGGAGGCAAATATTTGCAGACTGTATTAAACAAGAAATGAAAAAAAAAAAAAACGATGTAAATAAAAAGGCAAATATAAATTACAGTAAGGAAGCGATTATGAAGAGGTTTAGTCAGAGAGTTAGGTTTCTAATGATGTTGATTATAAGATTGAGGAAATAGATTAAATAAATTTAAATACTTCTATACTAGTTTACTTTTAATTAATATTATTATTAATTCTTTGAAATTATGATTTTAAATTTAAATTTTCTTAAAAATTAAATTTTCACCATAAATTAAACTTATATTGACCTAATTAAGACTACAAAAGTTTTCATTAGAGACAACTGCGTGATATTTATTCGAAAATTAGGTAAAATGAATTTTTTTCTCCTAGATAGTGAGTCTGTCTTACCCAATTTGTCTTTATCTCGAATCATTAAAAATATTGAAAAAAATGTCTACACGAGTACATGAAAGGAAAGACAGGTTTCTTCTGTAAAAGTGTGTGAAAACTACTTGACTAAATAACAATGAAATAAATAATTCTAGAAAACACGATGTTAAAAAAGTTATAACTAGTGTTGCCCAAATTCAGTTTTGAGCATGGTCTAAGTCTCGTAACAGTCTTGCAGTTTCTTATTAGCTTATTACTACAGAGATATTACTGTAATTTTTTAGATAGGAGAAACCTAACTATGCCCGAATGAAAAATTAGAGGAGTTAAATGCAAAAGTATATTGGTTATACCAGTTATTAAAGTATAGTTACTAAGATTGTCAAGTATTTGTAACTATTTTGCCTTAATTTTTATTTAAAAAATCGATTTTTTTTATCAGTCCTGGTCTTGGTCTTGCAAAGTGCACGTGCAAAACCGATCTTGGGCAATACTAATTATAACACATAGTTAATATCACTAACTCCATTGGCTTCTAATACTAGTGATGCGGCTGGAAAAGTGGCGCTGGGATCTTCCGGAGTCTTGCTTCGCCTTCCACGTGTGGGGGAAAAAGCCTGGCTCGGAGATTCTTGGGCGAATGTATATATTGTATATAGGTATGATTGTGTTTAGAAGTTTTTATTTTATTTTATTTGTTTATTTTATTTTTATTTAACTTCTTCACCAGTATTATTTATTTACTTATTATATTTATATTTATTTCTTTATTATTTGTATATATTATATGAATGAGAACTTGTAGCCCTAATGCTTATAGCCCTCCAGCAGTGGCTGATTGTATTATTATTCAATAAACAGATTAAAAAAAAAATATCACTAAGAATTGGGCATTATTTCAAATACATTAATAATATGTCTTAAAATACATTCTTTGCATTTCTCATTTTAATAAGTAAAATATAAAATAGATTGCAACTGTATTTTCTTTTTAAAATACAAAAAAAAAAGTATTTGTATTTTATACAAAAAAAAAGTATTTATATTTTATTTCCAAGGTACTAAAATACAAAAATACATTTTATTTTGTATTTTAAATACATAAAATAAATTATCGTCTGATCGTCCACCAGTAAGTATTTAGTATTTGTATTTTATTTTGTGATAAAAATATAAAATACTTTTGAAAGGATGAAATATGGTCAGGATGTGATAAAAAAAGTGTGTTAATTGAGTTTGCCGACGTTTCGACCCTAAGATGTGGTGGCTTATCATCAGAGCAATTGTTTCAAGAGCAGACACAAACAATGCAAATTCTGACCATTTTTCATCCTCATAATGGTATTCATCCTTCATTACAACATTCTACTATATAACCATCTCCAAAATACTTTTGGTATTTTATACTTTAATACGTTTTTTAAAAAAAATATATTTTTTAATTAAAAAATACTGAATTTGATAACAAAAAAAAAAGTTTTGCCTAGGTCTGACATCGCTAAGCCACTAAAAGTTAAAACAATACTAATTTTTGACACGAAATTCTAAATATAAATTATTCAGAAGCACTGTAAATTTATTTTTCTCTTACAATATATATATATATCTGAAATGGACAATAAATAAATTATTAGTTCAATTTTCTCGAAGTTATTTATATAGTGGGCGAAGCCGTTCATTTACCAGCTATCTTCTATAGTAAAATATACATGTAAAAAAAAAAAAAATGAATTAATAATTACCAAGTTGCACAAAAGTAAACGCATAGAAGCCGGTTGCATGATTGATACACAATTCTTCCGAATTGTTCACCGTCTGCGATTTCGATCAAAACCATCTCAACTGAAGCCCAAGGAAGAAAGGGAAGAGTTGAGGGTACGAATTTAAAATTACACCTCGTATTTATTAATGTATTTAGGATTAAGAAAATCATTTGTTTATGTCGTAGAAGCTAAGTCCAAGTTTTAAAGTAATGTTATCTTATCTATGAGCTTCTTTCTCGATAGGATTTTGTACAAAGGTTGATCTCATATGATCCCGAACCGTGTTTTGTAATCTACAAGAGGTCCAAAAGACGAAGTAAGGTAGGGGAGAAAAAAATAAAATTAAAAAAAATATATATATATGTATAATACTATGTATAAAATATATATATATGTATACTTTTTTTTTTTGTTTTCTTTTTTGTTATGGATATATTTTGTTAAAAATCAATTGAATATACTATATATGTTTCTATTTATTTTTACAATGCTCTAATGCTTCAAATATACCAAGAGAAATGATATAAAATCATCAAGTAAAAATGGAAAGGTTAGCACGAATTAATCATAAAACCCTAAGATATGTTGCTACATATAATTTATCTTTAAATATAAACTAAAATTTCAACAATAGGAATATAAGGCGTTGTAAAATACTTGCGTACCTACTTCCAGTCCTTAGTTTAGCTATCTAGTCAACTTTTCCTATTTATTTAAATGATTTTAGTTTGCATATTTTACTCATTTATGTAGATTAATTGTTATTGATTTTGATTTTATTTGTGTTTTTCGAAATGTTGCGGGGGAGAGGGGGGAGGCGAAACGATATTCTAGCCTTATCTCAATTTTTATTGGGGGAGGGGGCGATCGCCCCTCCCCCCAAGCACCTATGCATCACACAACTTTCAATTACCTACCCAATCAGATTTTATTTATTTATTCCAAACAATCGGGCTTTTATAACACTTACGGATCGTTTTAGCCTTTATACAATCTAAAAATTAACAATGAACTTGTAAATAAAAACATTAAAATTAACGACAAGTAATCATACAATAACAAATTAAATTAAATTTGACAACATATTTTATTTATAATCCAAATAATAATAATTAAATTTCTACTGAAATAGTGTTATTTAATTCTATTAACGCAACTAAAATAATTAAAATTTATTACGATGAAGAATGAAGAGAAGAATAGTTGGGGTGGCCAGTCAAAAAAGAAGGCAAAAATAAAAGATAATATTTATTTTTTACATATGCCGACCTTTCGACCTGAAGTTCAGGCCTTCATCAGGGCTAAGAAAATAACCAGATAACAAGGTATGAGAAACATAAGTAGTGATGGTAAAAGAAAAAAATAAAAGAAAATAAATAAATAAATAAAATGTATTACAATTACTATATTATATTATTATTATTACAATTATATTATTATACAATATTATTATTATTATTACAATTATTATTATTTATTACAATAAATAAATAAAATTTATTACAATAGATTAAGGAAGGAGATAGTTCGGAGTGCTGGTCATAAAAAATTTAAAAAATTTTATTTTAAGCCAAAGTGGCAGTTTCACACTGAACTCTAATCCGAGCATACCCCTAATGAAAATAGTTGGGTCGAAACGTTGCCTTAAAATAAAATATTTTTTCAATAATTTAAGTTTTTTATGTCCGCCAACTCGAAATATCTCTTCCCTCTACATTATATCACGGTCAACCATCGATTACTCATTATTACAATATATTTTATAAATACGTAAACACAGCTTGAAATATTTTCAGAAAAATGAACTTCTTCACAAAAGTATGATGAATCGATCGGATAGTTTTAAAAAACAATTAGATGCATTTTACACATTTGATTAATCCAGCTTAAAAATAATTATAGCCGCAGACTTTCCATATTTATTGATTAGTGGAGAGGAAAAGAAAAAAGATTATTGTAGTTCATATTATATGTACAAATATAACGTAATTATTGTGAAGATTAACGTGATTATTTTTTTTTTATATGCTTAAATAATATCTGAACAAAATAATTATTTATATTATAATTTGTAAAACATAAAGCATGAGAAGTGGAGCAGCCCCCATAACATAGGTACATTTCTTGAATTAAATACTTTAGATTTCTTAGTATGTACAGCCTGTGAATAAAAATAAAATCGTCTATAAAAACATTCTCTATAAAATATATTTATACTTGCACTTATTAAACATATTTTTCCAACTTAATTGTAGAAAATCACGGGAAAATAGAGGAGTCCACACGAAAAGTGAATGAATCATGCAATCCAACGATATGTTTCTTTATTATCCTCTGTATTATTTCTAAAATGTGTTTTTTTTTTTTTTTTTTTTGTTGCTACCCGATAACTTCGTAAATTCTTCATCAAATCCAATGATTGACCACTCATTTTAAAGATATTCTTCTCCTACACATGGGAAAAATAGTCCACCCTTCTCCCCTCTCCCCCTCGAAATTTTTGGGAAAAAAGTTATGGGAGAAAAGAAGCTTTATTTGCGAATAACTCAAAAAGCATACATTTTTTCTTGAAGGATAATAAATAGAAAGATTACTAAATTACCTATAAAACAAAAAAGAAATCGTAAAAATCAAACTATTATTAACAAAGATACAGTCCATTAGTTTTGGTATACTTACATAATGTCTTCCTGTTTGAAGATATTGCATTTAGGAGTAGAATAGTCTACTTCATTTTTTTTCCTGGCTGATTTATTAACTTTATAATTTCTTAAAGACATTTAGGTATCCTTACATTTTATTTTTTTTTAATAATTTAGAATATCCCATGATTGAGTCATTATTTTGTCTTCATTACTTTTATTATCTTTCCAGTAGCTTTTAAAAACAGGTCCTAGCGAAGCAATTTGTACAAATATTTCGGTCTATTATGTTTAATGAAATATTGTAAAAATATTAATTCCTTCCTTACATAATACATAGTAACTACTTAATTCCTTATTGTTTTGCTATTTCTTCACTAAACAAAATTTTCTGGGAATTTTTCGCAGGGGCCAACTAGTTATTTCTTAATATGAATGAGAATTGAAATAATATGAATATTTAGGTCGTGATAAAATAGTGACGTACCTACTTATAGGTCTTAGCTAGTCGGCTTTTCTTATTTTCTTCATGGTTTTTAAATGAGCTTATGGAAATAAATTAAAAATTTTCCGCTCATTTTAATGTTTTCATTTAGTTTCCAAGGAAACATTTTGTTTCCATTAAAGAACATTAGTTTTCAGAAATTATGATTAATATTTTTTTTCAAAACTGAATTACCTTCTACAACTTTAGTATTCAGACGCAGTGGCGAATTCATGATTTAGTTCTGGGGAGCTCAAGTCCGATATTATTTTTTTATAAATTTTTGTATACATTGGAAGAAAAAAAGCAAAAAAACTACCAATATAAAATGATTCTTGAAGCCGTATTAAAAATAATAAAAAGAAAAAATGTAATTACACGAACAATGATACTTTTAGTATCATTTTTAAAATATATTTTTCATAAGACATGGTTATCACATTATTTCCTCTTTTTAAATTAATACGAGATGTCATGTGTGTCATGAAAAAACAAAAAAAAAAATGTATCTAAAAGCATAATGTTCCTGTAATTACTTTCTTTTTAACAGACCTACATGGGCCACAATATTTTAAATTTATCCAAATTTTCGCCTCTTCAGGGAAACAAACTAGAGACCATATCAAAATAAACCATATTAAATTTATTTATATTACATACTTCAACGAAAAGAAGCTCGAAAAAAAGTTACGAGGGGTAGTAAAATTAAATTCTGACGTATATAAACATTAGGCATTTAAGCCCTGTAAAGTGACATCAATGGAGATAAGACCTAATTGATATTAAAGAACACTTAATTATACAATGATACATCGAGTTTAATCAAAATCGTTAGAGCCGTTTTTGAGAAAATTGTGAAAATGTGTTTCAGCGTTGATATAAAGTGGCACTTCCGGTTAGTCGATTTTAAGGAAAAAGTTGCCGTCACATCTAAGGCATATACCTATCTCAAATACGTAATATCAGTTTCGTAGAACTTTTCTTTTTTGAGCTTGACTGCTAACATACAAACACACAGACACAGACCATTTTTCGAGACTTGGTTATTTTGACTCATGGTACCTAAAAACATGTATTTCCCTTGAAAACTCAGATTCAAAAATTTTCTCGATCGCAATACTTACCCTTACTATACATTACATATATTCATAAGTGAAAGTAAAAAAAAAAAATTGCTTTAATCTTCCAAGCGTATAAATACTTTCGATGTGTAATTTCAGTTCCGTAAGACTTTTTATTTCTGAACTAGACTGATCAAACACACATTTTGAGCGACTTATTTATTTGGGTTTAGGCGATCTCAAAACGTTTATTTTCCTAGAAAACTCGGATTCAAAATTTTTTAATTGAAATCTGAGTTCATTGATAGCATTGGATTCGCCTCAAAATTGAACGAAACGATTCCATCGATGGATTTTTTTGCACGATTCGTTGAAAAATACTTAAACTTCTATAAAATTGCGGTGATTTTCGTTACTTTCTTGTGCTATAAAAATTAGAAAAAATTGAATAGCTTTTTAGAGAAAAATAAGTACATTTTTTTAAAAACATTAGTAAAAAGTATATTAAGAGGTACATTTACTGATCTTTATGTTTTTTTTTTATCATTAAGAACATTTTTTCATTTCTACATTGCAAGGTAGAAACACAGAATTTAGGAGGAGGGGATTTCGGGCTGAAGCCCCCCCAAAATGGTAAAATGTAACCATGTTTTATGGTAAAAAATATTAAAAAATTAAAAAAAATATGTCTTAAAGTATTATTGATCGTTTAATTACATTTAATAGGACATTAAGAATTACTTAAGCACCATTTCATACAGGTAGTTAGTATCTTTCTGTTTTTCCAAAGTAATTATCGTTATATATATAATAAAAAACTTCCGGGCTGAAGCTCCCCCCAAAATTAAATCCTGGATCCGCTAGTGGGTAGAAATGAAGCAGGGGGGCACATCCCTCCAAGGTCGATGGCACTACCCTCCCCTCCTCCTCACCTTCCCAAGATATTTTATTGCTCACTTTTCTTAAAAACAGAGCAAGCTAAGGTTAAACTAGAAAAATCGCAGATCATATACATTCCACTTTCTTCTTTTCTTCATTACTTGTTTCATATTTTCTTCTTGTCCTTTAGTTTAAAAATTAACAACCTCATAGAAATTTGTTCCCCTCGAAATTCCAAAAACTTGTCAAAATATGCCTCCATCAACAATTGAAGACGCAACTTGAAGCCATGAACCACCTTCAGGGCACCCCTGGGTAGAATAGATCATCAAATGGAAAGAAGAACTTTGCTAATAGTAATTTGATTTCAATGATTTATTTATTGATTCAATAGAGAATATATTTATCATTCGAATGATTCTAGATATATTTTAATATCAAATGTATACTTTTAGCATTAAGCCCAAAAAAAATGTTCTTTTAATTAATGTAATAAGTAAATATACAAAACTGTTACAAGGAAGTTACATTTACCAAATTCACCTGTAAAAATTAATATAATTTTAAGCTAGGTACAATAGAGAAAAAGTTGTAAAATCAGCCATTACTAAAACCAGTTTAATAAAAATAATCAACTATACATAATACAATGTTGGGAGACTTCAGCCTGAAAGCTTTATATATACATAACGTTAATTTCTTTGGAAGAAAAATAAAGAAACTAACTACCTATATGAAATGGTGTTTAAAATATTCTTGCAGTTCTTTTAAATGTAATTACATGAACAATTTTACTTTAGAGATCATTTTTTCATAGTACATGGTTATATTTAACCATTTGTTGGAGGGGAAGGGAGGGATGCTTCAGGCAGTACAGGTTCATTTCTGACTATCAAAAGTAATAGATTTAAAAAAAAAAATTGCGAATAGAATGGGAATTTCAAGGACAAGTGTTGAATACCAATTTGGATTTATAAATTTGTACTACAACTTCTATGAAAGTCATTGAAAATAATCCCTAAGTACCAAGGGATACTTAACAAATATTGTAGAATTTTATAAAATTTAAATATTGCTATTTATTGTAGCCTATAGCACTAATGTATCTAAGGTTGGGAGAAAGGGCTTTCAGGCTAAAGCTCTACCAGAGAGAGAAATACTTTATTGAAACCCTACTACATAGGGTTGCTTTACATACAGTATACAGATCAATCCATTCGGACATAATTTATACATTACATTACTCTATTATTACATATATATATATCTTTCCTTCCTCATTATAATACTAGTATTACAAAATATAAACTAATAACTACATCAAGCCCAATAAACTACACTGAGCCATCAACATTACATAACATACACATCAAAAAAAAAAATCTGAAAGCTAAGAATCCAACACTAAATCGCACACACATATATCCACAACTATAGACAAAAGACAAGACAATGGCAACAATTTAAAATGGAATAAATAAATGATAAAAGACATCCTCAATTCATGGTAAATTACTATATAAGTGATGGTGAATGATTCCCAGGAAGTCCAGGATAATATTCTCGGCCAATATCGCAAGTTCCCCAACATCAACACCTAGTTCCTCGAGGGCGTTCCTTGTTCTTTTTGGAATTGTTCCGCGAGACCCAAACCAGAGCCCTCTCGCGGTGAACTCTCTCTTTCCTAAGGTCTCGCGGATTTTCTCTTTTAGGAAAGAGATACATGATTTAAGATAAATAAAAGATTTAATTTTTTTCATTGGTCCATATTCTTTTGTGTGTATGATTAAAATTAAAAATCACAATATATTCTATCTGTAAATTATAATTCATATATGGCTATTAAGCATTAAAAGCATTTAATTAAAGCTATTAAATTAAGCACCTGTGAAGAAAAAAAAGTAATAAATTTATCTCTAAAAACATCAATGTCCCTGTAATAGTTTTTTTTACCTTCAATGAATACTTACATTATTTCATACAGGTAGTTTTTTTTCTTTTTCTTTCAGATTATATACATTAATACTTTATATATATATATATATATCTTCAGTAACATGGTCCATTTTTGAAGAAAAATTAATTTCCTTTCAGATATATATATATATATCTCCAATTTTCTTAAATGGACTCTTAAATAGTATTTAATATTTAAAATTTGCTACTAGTGGGTAGTTTCCCAATTAGTGTTTCCATGTCATTATATTCCTATTTACAAATTTATAAGTATATCTGTATTTATAAACTGATACACTTAATAATAGAAATATATAATATAAATATCATGAATAAATAAATAAAATATTTATAATAATTATTCTATCAGGTAATAGATCAAATATATATATTTAAATAAACTACAACTCCTTTGTTTATTCTGTGATGGGAGGCAGTGCTATAGTTCTCAGCATGTTCCAGATTTAGAGTATCGATGCTCAATTAAAAAAATTCTGTAGAGGGTCCCATTATTTATTTAAGATAAACGGGATCTAAACATTGAATAAAAATAATAAACAGATATGTTATTGTAGTTTATCAAAATATATCTAAGGGGCCTATGGCCCAATTACAATAATTTTTAAAATTTAATTAATTAAATTGAATATTTAATTAATGTTTATATGAGTTGTTTCAGGGCTATAACAGGATTTAAAATTAAAAATAATGTTTTATTTTTTATAATGCTGCATATATAAAAGGAACCGATACTCTACAAATTACAGTACATCTCAAAATCTAATTTTTTTTTTTTTTATTTGGGAGAGGCTTCGTACTAAAAGCCCCTTCCCCTTTGAATCTCTTCAATCTAGAATCATCTCTCAGAGTTTGGCCATTGAGAACTGAGACACACTATATAGGCAAGTGAAAGTAAAAATTGTCTAAATCTTCAGTAACACGGTCCATTTTTGAAGAAAAATTAATTTCCTTTCAGATGATTAACGATAAATATATAATTTTGTATAATACATCACAAGATCTCTACTGGCCGTTTGTTTATCTCCCATCTCTATCACTAACAGAGATGAGCCACTTCAGAGCAGAAAATATCTGATCACACTAACAACAGATAGCAAAATAAACATTCAACACCACTTGTTAACTTTCAAAAAGTTTGTTTCATTCATTGGTTGTTTAATAAGATATATTTATATTTATATATATTTTAAAAAAACTATATCAATATATCAACATTTTTCCAACAACCCTAGAAGTAAGAATAACTCAGTTTGTTTATTTTTTTGTTGTTAATTTCAATAATAAATAAATAAAGTGGCTGTTTGAGGCAGATGAACATTTATAGCCATTGAGAGAAGAAGAAGAAGAAGTCTTTTTATTAAATAAAATTACACAATATAAATTACAAGTTAATATAAAATAATATTTTTGGATTTAAAACCGAAAATCAGACATGCTACATGGTCTGTTGACCGTCAGAGGAGTCTGTGTTTTATAACAAAATTAGATTTCAATCTATTTATATACAAATAATGAATAAGAAAATAAGAACAATTATATTTACAATGTAAAACTTATACAAATATTTTAATTATAAAAAGAGTGGTACCAAAATTCTCCAATTTATTAATTGTTAAATTCTTTGGTGAGTATTATTCTGTAGGAGAAAGCATACTTGCAGTAATTTACCAATGCTATCCAATTTTTTCCATTTATTAAATCTATTACTTGATCCCGAGATAAATTTCTAGATTTCAACCATTTAATTCTAAATTCAAAGAGTAGCCAGAAAGTTCTGTTTCTTTCTTATTACACATGGTACAAATATTATTTGTTAGCTTGAAGTGTTTATAATTTAAATTCAACATCAGCTCTAATTTTAATTACCCATCTGATCACCTTCAATTTAGGAAGTTAACTGAGAATAAAAAGTGAGAGTTTTAGAATTCTGAACTATAATTTCATATTAATTATATATGTCTTTCTGAATTTGAGTTCTTAATAAATATAAATTAGCTTTTCATAGTTTAACATCATCACAGTTAGATCGATTTAAGTTGAAAGTTAATCCATGCAGTTCTATCAGATTAAGTAAGTCCTTAAACCATGTGATTTCTTTTTTAATTATCTGTAGAGCTAATATTTTTGGATATCTATTTGGTGGAAGATTCAAAATTTTTATAATATAATCGAAATGGAGTTTAATTGTGAAGATAAATAACAGATCTATTTTAGTCTCAAAATGGATAAAATGTGTTGGAGTATACTTTGGTAATTTAAACATTTTTTTAAGAAAGAATCTTGGTAGTCTTTCCACGGCTTCATAACTTACCCCACCTCAGATTTGTGCTCTATAGGACATCACTGTCCAACTAACGGAATTAAATACTTGCAACTTTTTGGATAGAGCTATTTCTCTGTTTTCCATACACCGGGGCCAAATCCAATTCAACCCCCAGGTGTTTGGACATTGAGAGAGTAGGCGTGAGAACTATTCCTAAGTTATAGCCATTGAAAAACCAACAATTATGATTATTACGATTGAGTGTAGAATAATGCAAAGCACTGCAATAGATTTACTCCCAAAATTGGGGCCTTTTAGCTCTCTTAATGTGACATCACTCAGACTATGACATCATGGCAGACCAGATATGTATTTTTAGCTGGCTAATACAGAGACAGACTACTGGATGTGACGAACCATATAGACTCAACTGTACACACAATCAGAAACGAACATCTATTGAGTAAAAATTAGCCTATAACTGTCTAATGAAGTTCAATAAATTTATAAAACAGGGTTAAAGAAATTTGGAATCACTTTAAATTTCTACAATAAATAGTTTTTATTTATATAAAAATAAGTACATATAAGTATTTACATCATTTACAAATTTAAACATTCTATAAAATTTTATTACCAGATCACTCATAATTTAAATTTACCAGATTAAGATATTTCAATCAAATGAATATTCTAGTCAAATTCAATTTTCAAATCTTTAAATATTGCCCTAATCAGCTCAGCAGCAGCCACTTGTTCGTTTTTAATAGCCAACTTGAAAGGATTTAGACCTTTATCATTTTTAACATTTACATCTGCATTGTACTTGTGAAGTAACGTTATCATGTCCAAATGAGAGTTTAAAACAGCTCTGTGCAAAGGAGACCAGTTATTTTTAGTTTTAGCATTTGGGTTGGCCTTTCTATTAAGAAGGATCTCAGCAGTTCTTGTATGGCCTTGAGAAACAGCTAAATTCAAAGGAGTAATGCCCCATGGCCCAGGCTCATCTACATTCATTTTTCCATAATCAAGAATACACAGAACAGCCCTCTCATTGCCTTCTGCAGCTGCAATGTGCAACATTGAGAAACCCTCATTTTTAATGTTGATGTTGCCATTATTTTCTACCAAAAATTTCAACATCTCACATTTCCCTGACAATGCAGCTTTATTAACTGGTGTTTCACCATTGCTGTTGATTTGATTAATAGATAAACCATACTTTCCAGCCAACAGGAATTTGATAATTCCAATTTTGCCCATTTCAGCAGCATGATGAAGTATCGTATCACCGGAATCTGTTTGAGACTTTACATCAGCTCCAGATTTTATTAATAAATTCAAAACATCTGTATTCTCGACTCTAGCTGTTTGGTGAAGGGGAGTTTCACCGTAAATGTTTTTAGCATTGATAGAGATTCCCGACTTTATGAGAAATTTTACACAATTGAGAAATCCTTTTGATGCAGCAATGTGTAGTAAGTTTTCTCCTACACTATTAGTAGCAATCAATAAAGCTTTTTTTATACTTTCATCATTTGTAAACACTTCCAATATTTTAACATTATCTGTTTTCACAGCCAAGAATAGAGGTAAATCACCTTTTTCATCTTTGATATTCAATGGTACATTTAAGTTCAGAAGTTTTTTTACAGTCTCAATGTGACCTTTTACCACTGCTAATGCTAATAATGGTTCACTAACTATATCAGCTCCCTTAGCAACCAGTTGTTCAACAACTATATGCTTATTCATCTCTACTGCTCTATATAAAGGTGATCTCCCAGCAATATCTTTTGAATTGATATTAGCACCGAATTTCGAAAGCAAAAAGGATATTGTATCATCAAAACCACATCGAGAAGCAACATGTAAGACAGTTTCATTATTTTTAAAACGTTCATTGATAATAGAAAGTGGAAAATTATCCACTTTGATTTGGCGATATTTCATTAGCAATTCTATGAGTTTAACATTACCATCTATCCACAAGGTTTCGATAATGGCACTATTCAATATTTTTCCTTCCCACTTTTCATGTTCTAAAAACCATTTCACAACATCGATATCCTTCATAGCTATAGATTTTTCAAATGCTTTATATGTGTTATTGAAGTAAAAAATCATTTGTAAAGTTGTTGGAGGAACAAAAGGATTTTCAACAACAATAAACTTGATTATTTCATAAATTAGTTCTTCAGGCAATTCAAAGTTTGTAGAAATAAAAGACTCCAATTCTTTCAAAGCTTTGGGCGGCTTATTAAACGATGGCTGTTTTGAAACATATCCTAAGAAATCTGTCAAGTTAGTGCTCTTGAGTTGAAAAGAATGTAAAAACTGCCAAAATATCAATTGTTCCGACGTGATTCTTGAAAGGAGAACAGGCGGGGAGCTTGTACTATATTGTAATAAAAACCTGTAAGTACTGTTTAACTTATTAGAAATGAGTTCTTTAACCTTGGAATTGTAACTGTTGTATGACGAATAGCCTAAAATATTGTGGGGTATGTTGTCCTTTCCCCTCACAATCAACTGCTGGCAAACCTGTAAAAATAACAATAAATATGTATAAGAATATTTCTACAATTTTTTATATATAATCTACGAGGCAGAGTTATATTGGTTCTTAGGTTTTTATAATTGAAGGTACCTCTTCCATTGGTAAATATTTATTTATGTTTCCCTGGAATATTTATATATGTATAACAAAAAAAACGTTCTCAACATGGTGCCTTCAATTATAAAAATATTTCTACATTAATTAAGCAAGTATAAAGTTATTAACAAAACAAAGTTTCATGATATTTAATCAGAAGATGCCCACTGACAAGCATTCCTCTCCATTGTTCTATTTTTACTGCCTTATGTTTCTACAGCTCATTTTCAAATTCATAAGTAGGTCATTTTAAAATTTTTTTCAGATTTGGGCTTTATTTTTTGACAGAAAAATGGGAGAAATAGCATGTTTTCCACTTATCAGCATGTTACTAATATTAACATAATCATCAACATAACCAAATATCACTTTGAAAAAATAAATCAATTTTCCAGGTAGTGAAAAAATGCTGAAGTTTTTAAATTTTACAAGAAAAAAGTAGTTTCATAAAAATAAATAAAGTTAAAATTATAACATGTGGTAAATAATTAGGTTTACAAATGTTAATATAGTTGTTTTATGTCAATTCAAACTTCACTATTTTATATTTTTTTTCTTAAACTTTGGCACAGGTCTACTATTCTTATGAACTTGGAAAAATATCAAATTTTACAGAGTTAAGTCAACTCATTTTTGAATTACAAAACTGCAATTAACTTCTTATAATTGGCCCCAAAAAGCAGGTGACAAGTTTTGGAATCACCGTAGTTTTCTTAATCTAGACAAGGATTTTTTTAGAAATGTGAAATTTTAATTAGTTAAATAAGTAATAGTTTATCAAACAATTATTTCCTTACCACTGCAGAAAAAAAAATAAACAAAATTATGGTGCAGAAATTCATTTTTTAACTCGTGTAATTGTTGGAATATCACTGAGTCATTTATGTAGTGTAGAATTTCTTTCTTAAAGCAATCTGCTCCTGCCTTGAACAAAAGAGGTAAGGATACCTACAAAAACACTTAGTTATAATCATCATGCAATTAAAAATATGAATATTTCAATTTTTAGATAACATAAAAGTTTTAATAAATCCATAAAGCTTTTAATGTTATTGAATGTAAGTTGTAATTGTAGAAACTGTCATTGCTCAAAAGACATTGCTTAAATTTGTAACATATAAGACATTAATTGATAATGGCCTAGACTAAAGAGAAAACACATTATCTTCAATCACCTCACATTCTTGGAAGGAAAAATTGTTTTGAAGCAAAATTCCAAATATAAAAAAATTGTTAGTATATTTTGGTAAAGGAAAATAAAAATGGAAACAAATTTGATTTCATAAAAACAAAAATCAATATCATTTTTACTTTTATATTTTCATTCCTACAACTATTAAGTTAATTATTAAATGTTGACAAATTTGTTCTTTGCAACCGATGACTTTTTTAAGTTAATACTACTATCATTCTATATTGTCTCGTAATCATTACTGATGACAAACCTTTTTATGTTTATAAGATTATTCAAATTTGTAACGTATTATATGTAGTAAGGTTTAAAAAAAAAATCTTCACATCACATCACAATCATATTCCTCTTTACTGCCACGCAGTATGAGGTTGCTTCTTGTAGAGCTTGGACCAGGTGGACCTTTCCAGTACCAGCTTTTGTCTTCTGTTTCATTCTAAACCTCGCTTCTGGAATGCATCTCGCACGCCTTTTTCCCAGGAGATTCTGGGTCTTCTTCCCTACTCTGCACGCGAGTCTCATATGTCTTCCTTGCAACTCTGTTCCAATCCAAATGGAGAAGGTGCCCAAACCGTCTCAACTTGTGTTCTTCTATTATGCTTTGGCGTCGAGATTGGCCCGGATTGTAGTATTGCGAATTCTGTCTCGTCTAGTCTTTTCCTCCACCTTTCGCAGGTATCCCATCTCTAAAGCCTGGATCTGGGTCCTGTGTTTCGAAGTAAGTGTCCAGGACTCGGAAGAATACGTCAGCATAGGAAGGAATACTGATCTGTAGACCGTCATCTTTGTTTCCTTGGTCACCTCTTTGCGGTTCAGGAAGCCTTTCCTAACCGAGCCGAACATTCTTCCAGCAGCTCCTATTCTCTGCCTTACCTCCACGTCAATATATCCATTTTCGTTGAGTTGAGCACCCAAGTATTTGAAACTTTCCACCTGCTCTAAAATCTCAACGTCGACCCTCAATATCCTCATAACCCTGTAAGGTTTTCTTCCAATGCACATGCATTTTGTCTTCTCTGGGTTAATTTCCATATTGATTTCTCTCAAATCTTCCTTTAGGATATTAATGTTGTTCTGGAGATCACGGTCATTCTGGGCCAATATGACGAGGTCATCCGCAAACGCTAGCAGAGAGTATAGAGTAGGAAAAAAAAAAAAAATCTTAATTCTATATAAAATTATTATGAGCAAAATGGGAAACAACTTCAGTTCTGATTTTATTATTAAATAAGACAAATAGCAAAGAAAAGCTGTCAAACACTTGAAAGTGACAATTGGAATACATAAACATACACAATAATAATTCAAGAAACTCACACAATTTAGAAAAGCATACCTAACCTATTACAATTCAGAGTAACAAGGTAAGTTGGTAGACTAAACCCAGAAAAAGATTGGATTGGAAATACAATCCAATATATTCACCATAGAAGCAGGCCAACAAACATCTAATATGGATAACATATGGAAAAAGAGCGTTACAGAATAAATTGTATCTAGCACTAACGGATCCAGGATTTAATTTTTGGGGGGCTTCAGCCCGAAAGATTTTTTTTCATATATATAACGATAATTAATTTGAAAAAGATAAAAGAAAGAAATGAACTACCTATACGAAATGGTGTTTAAGTGGTTCTTGAAGTCCTATTGAATGTAATTACACGAACAATCTTACTTTAAGATATAGTTTTAGTATTTTTTTTTATAAAACATGGTTCTATTTTATCCTTTTGGGGGGGGGGGGGGCTTCATCCCAAAAGCTCCTCCCGTAAATCCGCCTGTGGTATCTAGTAATCACTAAAGCTATCGATATCAGCGTCAAACTTGAAGCTTGATCCAGATTTTTTGTTTATTAAAAAATTAAATAAGAATCATTAATATAATTGAGAATATCCATTCCCAAATGTGTTTTCCATTTTCATTGCCAAATATGTTTTACGGAATAAATCTCATAATTATGATCTGGAAAAAGAAATAACAGACACCCAAATAATTAGTCTAAAAGCAAGATTTTACATACCTAGATTTATTATAACATGAATTAGAAACTGACGATGGGGCACATTAGTTTTAAGCCATGTATCCACATGATCATTGGGATTGTGGTTCTGAAGATGGTAGTAAATATCCCGAAACGTAAACTTGTAAACATGCAATTTTGATAATACAACAAATAAATTAAATTGTTGTTAATTGGAAGTAATCATTGCCAAATAATAAAGAATATCATACAACTTCTCAGAAAAAAGAAGAAATAAATAAGAAAATAAATTAGTCGAATTTGAAATTATGAAAGAATTTAGGTAAAAGCCCTACTAATTTTAAGAAAATTTATGGAATCTTGTTAAAGTCCATATTGTTTATTTAATTAAATATATTTAGAAATAAAACGTACTGATATCTTATCTCTAAAAATGTGTAAGTACATAAAAACAAATTCTAAACAATAGAACAATAACAATATTTGTATTAGAGAAAAGTAAAAACTTTGCTAATTTTTTTCTTTCTTTATATTGAAGAACCATTAAAATTGTTTAAAACATACCATAGATAATAAGAATAACAGTAAATCAATGAAAATTAGTTACAATATATTTTAAAAAATCAAATAATATATAACGTATAACAGTTTTTATATAATTTTTTTTCTCTTAAATTCATTGCCTAGAATTCCTGTAATTCAGAAAGAAATAAGTTAAGTGTCTGATGAGCTTCCTTCGAACATTAAGCAATTATTTCATCGACAATATAATTTTAATTTTCACATGTTCATATAACCTTAATTATGTATAAATATCAAAGTGTGATATAATCGTATTTCATCTATTTTATTGTACTGTCAGCAGGAGGTATCACTGATAGATAATTAGTTATTTTCAACACTAAAGTAAATGATGGGTTCCAATTGGAAATCTATTGTCATTTGAAAATTCTAAGAATATTCAGTTTCAACATGAATGAATTAATGAAAAAAAATTTGAATGAGATAATAAGGGAAAGGATGAATGAAACCAACCCAGAAGGGGAAACACACAAACTGCCTTGATCAACTATGTGCATTAATCCAGTAAATGCATGGAGATTCTATTTTAAATAAGAAATAAATAAAAGAATCAATGAACATACCTCAATTATCGTAAATATAACTCACATGTCGAACTGAGACGTTGTAATGTTGATGTTTTGAAGTAAGATGATCTCACAAAACAGCATTCTACAAGGCTGAGTTGACCTCAGGGTTATCACTGCTAAACAGGTCCACTAATAAACCAGGAAAAGTGGCTCTACTCTTCTACAGTACGCTAATACATATCTTACCATTTTATTTTATGAAGGAATAGTTACAAGATAAAATTGAAAAAAAAAAATTGTTTTTATTAGAATTTTTTATTCAAGACCACTCTTACCCGGTATAATAAAAGAATTTCCAGGAAACATGTCGAAATTTCAACAATGTAAGTGCCTACTTACTACATGGCTTCTTCAACTAATTATAATTTTAATCATCTAATTTCTATTGAAAAACAAGGAAATTTACTAAATTTATTAAATACAAACCATTTCAGTTATATTTTTTTAGGATGAATTTCCAAATAAGGTATTTATAATTTTCTGTTTTGTTCTGTAAATTGTGAATAGTTCTTAACCAAATTTCGCAACACAACCTTAAGCTGCGTATAGACATTTTACAAATATATATTCAATTTTACAAAACACGCTAGAATAATTAACATTTAATTGATTTATTTTTTAAAGGAGGGAGTTGTTCATGACGTCGTTGCTAAGGCAACTATACTGTCAAAAAAATACGATTGAGTATAACTGATATGAAAGATAGCCGAGGTCAGAAAATGACCAACATTATTCAGTAATTTCACTACGACCTTGAATGCCCGAAATTAGAATGTAGTCTCTCATTTCCAGGCAGGAAATACCTACCTTTCATGATACAAACACTGGAATGCACTAGCGGATCCAGGATTTAATTTTGGGGGGGGGGCTTCAGCCCGGAAGCTTTTTTTTCATATATATAACGATAATTACTTTAGAAAAACAGAAAGCTAATAACTATCTATATGAAATGGTTTTTAAGTGATTCTTTCAGCCCTATTATATGTAATTAAACGAGCAATAAGACTATTATATGTAATTAAGCAATACTTTAAGACATAATTTTTTTATGTTTTTTACCATAAAACATGGTTACATTTTATCATTTTGGGGGGGAGCTTCAGCCTAACCCCCCCCCCCCGCACTAGCGGATCCAGGATTTAATTTTGGGGGGAAGGCTTGAGCCCGAAACCTTTTTTTTTCATAAAAATAACGATAATTACTTTGGAAAAACAGAAAGAAACTAACTACCTATATGAAATGGTGTTTAAGTTATTCCTTAAGTACTATTAAATGTAATTACACCAAGAATAATACTTTAAGAGGTATTTTTAAAAAAAAATTTCTCATAAAACATGGTTATATTTTTCCATTTTGGAGGGAGCTTCAGCCAGAAAGCTCCCCCCCCCCGTAGATCCGCCCGTGCCCCTTCCCCTCCCCGTAAATCCGCCTGTGCTGGATTGTAACTTGAAATCCAGTCCACAAGAATAGTATTACTTCAAGATCCTGTGTACAAAAATTGGTTAACTAACATAATTTTTTTTTATCTATATAGCTCAAAAAATGGCATAAAGATATTTCTGATTGATTTTTATTTAATTCGTTTCAACTAAACTACCTTTTTTTTTTTTTTGGTTTGTTGAGGATTCTGTTATTTGTTGATACACATAAAAAATAAACAAGGATTTTTTATTTTTAATAAATTATTAACTAAAGGACATAATGATATCCTAATTTCCCTTTTAAATGCCGTCTCTGTCTAATTTATTTGTGTTCAGTTTTATTCATGTTATTTCCATTATTTACCTTTTTTATTATTTCTTAGACATAAATTATTCAAAATATTTATTATATTATATTGTGTTGTTATTTATCAGCCATTCATATATATGCAGTAGTTATAAGGTCTTTATTTGTACTGTACATGTAAACATAACATTTCCGCCAGACGAGTAATCATGCCGTATAAATGTTCTTTGTATTTTGGAAATTAGAATTTATACATATTTAATAAAGCATTTCTCATTCATTCTAAACATTTTCGTTGAAAATGTAGGCTATTTTAGGTGACAGGATATCAAACCACATAATTTATTTACACAGCTTCAGATGAATCTTAATTATTATGGACTTAAAGATAATTAAACAAGAATATTGCTTCAAAAAATGAGGTATTTTTTGTATAGTTGGAGGATGATAAAAAAATCTCCAATGATTCATAATTTAGAAAAAAAAAACTCAAGGGAGTTTATCTGAAGGTTGAACGCCTTCCTGAAATTGAATATTTTCCAGCTGCACCCCTAAATGGTTTTTTTTTATCTTCTCTCCTCTATGTCCAAAAAACATTTTTACAGACAATTTTTCTATTGGCTGATTCCATTTTGGGGCAGAGCACTGGATTTCCCCTCTAGTTCTTTGTACTGCTCTCATGAGGCTTTTTCCATTTCCTTTGTAATCTTGCCTGTAAATATATGTTATCTTTACAACTCGTTAAGATGTTTGGCGGTCTTTTATTAGACGAAACTTCTGGTAAAGTGAAAAATATGTCAAGCAAATCTGGTGCACCAGGTACCACGCGTATTTCCCATTTTTTTTTTTATATTTCATATATTTGTTTGTTGGGAACTTCTTTTTTATTTAATAAATGGGTTAAAACTGATTTTCATAATTTATTTTAAATCTTACGAGTTTTAGCCAAAGATATTAAGACCGAAGTTTTTTAGGTCGTTCATCGCGGCGATGAACTTAATAAATAAATGCACTATTGTTTCAAAAATGTATACAGGGTTTTGTTTCGTTTTTCTTTTCGCCAGTAGTCTTGCCATTGGTTGTATAATATTTACTTCAAATCTGAGTAATACTCGGCTGTATTCATGAGATATTTCATTATTTTATCTAATTTTTTCACATCCTGTACTCAATTTAAATGGGCAGCTAAAGGCGCGTCGACTAGAACTTATTTAACTCAGTCTGTCACTACAAAACAATGGAAGACTGCATTTTTATTTAATATCTAATTTACCAGCTATTATCAAATAGGGAAATTTTACTTTTTCAATTTAAGTCTGCCAGATGGGCGCGACCTAACATAGGCAGACTACATTTTTATTAAACAATTAATAGTCTGTGGGCAAGAACCCCCTACTCCCTCACATCCCTGTACATTGCATATCGCTGTGTTCCTTGTAACTATTTATTGAAAAAAATGAACGCACTGCCCCAAAATGCCGTCCAAACATGGCGGACTGACGACTTTGAGTTTAGTTAGTTTTTTGGTCACTGAGAATCAGCATTTGGCTTAATTTCGTTGTAGTTGGTCTTTTATTAAAGTTGGATAGTCAGAAAATCAAGCAATGGATTCAGAAGACCACAAGGGATAACTTTTTACATAAAAAAGAAAGATTTTTTTTTTCACCTATAACTCCTAAACGATGCATTAAAGCGAAAAATGTATTTTATTTTTATGGCAAATTAAATTTTGCCTCAAACGAGTACATAAACTTTATAATTTGGTTAAGCGGTAAGGTATAAAACCAAGGTCAACCAACGCTGTTTTAACCAAATTTGTTGACAACTGAGACAAATTACTATAAATAGCCCTGTAACTTGGAAATGAGTACCATTAGAGGAAAAACCCATAGAATCAAAGTTGAAGAGCTTCAAATTTTGCGTCAACTGAGTACTGACAATTTTATTATAGGCGAATTATATATCTCGGGATTCTTTATTCCTTTATAAAATTCCGTATCTTGCGTTCCGTTCACCAAAATCCTTTGCTGCTGAGAGGTGGAAAAGAGGTTTATACTGCATGTAACAGACTCTAAACAAAAATAACTCAGTAGAATCGACACCTATACTGTTGAACTATTGAAAAACACGTTTACCTTCATTACCAATTTTTAACCATCGGGAGATTACCGATATTGTTCGTAGTAAGTAACCTACATTAAATTAGTTGGTACTCAGTTGACGCAAAATTTGATGCTCTACAACTTTGATTCTATGGGTTTTTCCTTATTTCCTTCATTTCCAAGCTGCAGGACCATTTATAGTAATATCTCTCAGTTTTTGACAAATTTGGTAAACATCAGCGTTGATTGACTGTGGTTTTATACCTTAGCGCCTAACCAAATTATAAAGTTTATTTACTGGTTTGACGCGAAATTTAACGTTCTTTAATTTATTAAAGGGTACATTTTTCGCTTTGATGCATCGTTTAGGAGTTATAGATGAAAAAACAAAGCATATCGAAAAAATCTGACTTTTTTGGGTGTAAAAAGTTTTCCCTTGGTGGCTAGTGTTAGTAATTTTATTTTTTACATATCCAAACGCATAAATAAAAGTAAAAAAAACAACTTTTCTCACATTTTTCCCGTTTAGATCGATTATTGGCCTACTATTCTTAAACTCAGCGGCCATTTTTTAAAGCAGCGGCTCTGGAACGGCAGGCAAGGAATGATGTACACTTTCTTAATTTACAATGAAACCTTCGCCTGCGGTCAGGTCGATTTTTGGTCCTCGGCTCCAAGGCTATTTCTGCCGCTTACGTGCATTTTCTACAGAACTACTTCAAATATTTTAAAAAGTAATCAGTGTTTCAGAAAGAGAAATATATTCTCCAGATGTTTTATTTTAGTATATTTTGCGTTATTTTGGCCATTTAATAACTTTATTTTCAACTTGAAAATTGATTTGTTAAACAAATTGACTTTACTGTTGTTTTTTATTGCCTAAGGCAACAATTTTTTAAATATATTTTCATGTTTTATTATTTTCAGGTTATCCAACTTTAATAAAAGACTATGACGAAATTAAGCCAAATGCTGATTCTCAGTAACCAAAAAAACTAACGAAAGTCAAAGTCGTCAGTCCACCATATTTGGAGCAGTGAGTTCACTTTTTTTTGTTGGAACATTGCCTTTTTTTTTTTAAAGAAATAGTTACAAGGAATACAGCGATATGCAATGTACAGGGATATGATGAGAGGAGGGGGGTCTGGCCCACTGTGTACAGCACAATGTTCGTAGCGACTTTATTCATTTTAGAAAGAAAAACAAAAGCAGAGAGTACGATTCGCTAATCCCACGTGAAATTCTGAATCCAACGGTACCTCCTTATGGCATTTCAGCATGACAGGAGTATAGCATTGTTCTGTTGACCACATTACAACAGAAACGTGGTTTGACTGTCTATTTGATTTTTCCCTCTGATATCCAGTATATAATTCATAACTCCTCAGGATTTACTCCTAATTCAAAATTTCTGTGATCGTTGCAAAGCTGAGTTATTCTCTTTAACACCATAGCAATAACTTTTAGATTTGACTCATTTAAAAAAAATATATATAGAAAAACTCCTCAAATGTTTTTGGTTTAAATCTTTAGTTCTATTATATTTACAGGGGTCTGGTTTGTGTAATTTCGTGTAACTATAAGCCACTTGTGCAAATTTTGTGGGATAATGAGCATTTTTATGTTATCCCACTTTTTGTGATTTTCGAATGAAAAGAAAAGAAAAGGCTTGGTTCCGATTTGATTCAAACATTTTTTTTTTAACTTCCATGAAAATGAATGTGGGTCGGATCATGAATTATTAATCATGAAACTTCGACAAAAATCTAACAAATACAAGAGAAAAGAAAACCGTTTCGATATATAGAATTTTAATTTGGAAAAATTAAATAATCCGTCAATTAGAACTCAAATGGAGTTAGATGTTAAAAATAGGTTTAAAGCTTTAGAACCTTCTGAAGAGGACCGCGATGATATAGACAAGTTATGGATAGGAATTAGGGATAATATTAAAGTGGTAGGTAAATCGTGTGATAAAAGAAAAGATGCTAAATTAGAAGCTCTAAATAAGCCTAGGGAAGACTATCTCGAATACTTCCGAAACCTTGAATGAAACAACTAAATTGTTGAAAAATAAAGAGTATCTTGAAAAAAAGAAAGAAATAGAATTAAAAATAATGTAACAGACATAGAAATAGGATATCATCTTTATTCTACACATACAAAGATATAAACAGTTCATGTAAATATTTAGAGCCCATCATGTCTGGAATTAGGGATGAAAAAAGCTATATTCTGACCAATCCAGTAAAGATATTAAATAAGTTTAAAAAATACATTGAAAATTGGCCATTTTTAATATGGTGAATAATGGTCTGTGTCCTCCTCCTGAGTACTCGAGTGCTGAACCATTAATAGAAGAAACAAGTAAAGAGGAAGTTAAAGTGGCTATCAGAAATTTTTTTTTTTATTATGATATTTACAACTGTATTCGTGTAAATACATCAAGTATATGTGCACAGAGGAATATAATCACATGAAAACGTTTGTTGAGAAACTACCATTGGTAGAACTCTAATATGTCTACATGAGATCATGAGGCCATCTTCTTTTGAGATGTCTGAGAGGGTTATCAGGAATCGAAAAGGAAGCAAGGTTAGAAACAAGAGGATTTCGGATGGTTATGAAGTTTATTATGGAAGGATAGGTATATAGATTGGGCCCAAATCGGAAACGTATGGAACATTAAGGTCTTTATGGATTATTTTATTTGTGACAAAATAAGGAGCATTGAGGATTTTACCTGAAGAATGAAAAGAATCTATTCATATTCCACTTCATAAAAAGGCCTCGAGGACGGATTGTAACAACTATCGAGGAATTTCACTCTTTCCGGTATGTTATAAAATATTCACATTAACCGTTAAATTGTCCTATCGACAATAAAGTACATAATGGTGTTAATCAGAAAAATTAAAAGATAGATTCTTGATTAAATAATGGGATATTTCTCCTAAAAAAGTAACAATAAGAATAACTTTCCTTATAAGTTTTACATGTTTGGTAGCGATGATTTAAAAAAAAAATGAATTTAGGAAACAAAAACATAAAAATTACAAGAAACAAAAAACGAACTTTAATTTTAAACAAACATAACATTTATATAAAAATAGTCAAATAAAATTTCTTTCAGTCAGATTAAAATTAAATTTGTAAATCACAGAAATGTATCAAATATTGATCATTAATAATAATGAAAAATCATTAAAATATTCACAAACAATGAAAATAACTAATAAAACTACCGCAACAAAGAAATATCAAATGCTACGTCTAATAATACAAAAATAAAAGAATAGTTACATTTCAGTGTGATATATATTTGTATACATGTACAAGTACATACATAAAACATTTAAAGCTACACAATATCCAAATGTAATATTATTTTCAGTAATAGTCGTAAATATAAAGTGAAAATAATGGTAGCAACAAAAAATTTCCTTCAAAAGAAGAAATATAAAATAAAACACTTATAGGAACCTTTATTAACCATAATGCCTTCAATAAAATATTAAAAATGTTCAACAATATATAAAAATTAGAATATTAAATCTAAAATTTATAAATCACATTAAATTTAAAATGGCTACTGGACAAATTGACTTATCAACTTGAGCCATTTTTTTTTGGTTGTGTCAATTCTTTTTTCCACCTTTCATGCTTTCCTTGAAATCAGCTAGCTTCAGTGTGTGCAATGTCGTAGTAAGGTGCAACCTTAGTTCTTGCAACGTTTGGTTATATACCTGGCATAACTCGCATTGAACAGCATTCTTGAAAGTCTCTTTCCTGTAAAAATATAATAAATACATGAAAATAAAAAGTGTTGAAAGAATGTGTAACCACATAATAAATTATAATTGTAAAAATTTGGTGCTGTGTGTGCATCACACAACTTTCACTTACCAACCTTAGAGTAGATAGACATTCTCATATATAGGTATGTCAAAATGAAAACGACAGTATAACTTCATTACAACAATTAATTACCATGTTTTCTCAACCACTGAATCTATTCAAATTATACGCTTGCATCACTTTCCATTTACTTTTATGACTGTGTGTAGTATACAAAATACTAATGAATGTAGAAAAAAATGGATCATTTGAAAAAAATGTGAGTTTTTTTGGAAACATTTATCACGAAACTGTTTGACAAAATAACTTAATGTTACTAAATATTGTATATTATTAGATCCTCAACATTTCACATGAAAACCATTTAAAAAAAAATTATGGATAAATAATACATAAAAGTTAACTAACAATATGAAAGTTTCCATGAGTGTAGGTTTGGGATCAGCAAATGTCGGACACTCTCGTCTGTATCTGTACAGCTTCCAACCCTTATTTCTTCTTTAGTTATCAATAAATTTTCTTAATTTATTATATTTAATTTTTTTTTAAATGTTTAAATTTATTAAACATTTACATTTAAAATGTTTAAATATATTTAAACATTTAAAAAAAAGTTTAAATAATTTTTTATTAAAATAAAATAAATATACTTTAGAGGAAGAAATTTAGAAAATCCGGAATTTTAAATATATTAAAGAACATCAATGAGAATAAGCAATACTCACATTATCTTTTACACTGATATAATGAATTTGGTAAAAATGTATAAAATTGACAATATAAAGTGGCATTTCCGGTTAGTCTATTTTGGTAAAAAGGTTGCTGTAACATCCCAAGTATATACAAACATGATAAAATCTTAAATTCAGTTCTGTACAATTTATCATTTTTGAGCTAAATTGTTCATACACACACGCACAAACATTATTTATTTGGACTCAAGGCATGTATTTCAGTTGAAAACTCAGAATCGGAAATTTTCACGATCGCAATACTTTCTCTTACAAGAGAGTTTTTCAGCGTTAAGTGGCCAAACTGAAAATTTGAATTAAGGACCTCAAGACAAGAAAAAAAATTCCTTTGTAGGTATACCCGTAAACGCTTTGTTTAGGATATATTCCTAACTAAGGATTTTTATTGGTATGAATTATTTACGTTATATTAAATAAACAAAGCTTATTTTTATGTTCCAAATACTTTATTAATTAAACGTAAACATTAAATTCATATTAAATGTTGTTCGAGCGGTCCAACGACATTTCGCTTATTCACAATTACGACTCTACACGAGCATGAATTATGTGAAGCTGCCAGCATTCGCCTTCAGTTAACCAACAAATACATATAACGAATACTTACAGATAGTAAATAGTATTGTTTTCTTTCTTAAAAAAAACATTACTTTTTTTAATAGGAATAGCTTTCTTACATGTTCTACAATGAGCATCTATCTATGATTTTCTATCAAACCTGATTGATTTTTCACAGGGCCTACAGGTGACACTTTTACCATGAAATTTTGAGTCAAAATAATTTGATATTAAGAATTTTTGACGAGAGATTAGATCATACTTTCAGCATTACTAATTTTTTAAAAATTATAAATTATAATAAAATTACTACAATTCACTTCAAAGTCTGACGTACATGAATACTAAAGGGCTGAGAAATGAATGAGAATTCAAGTCAAAACAACAATGAATGCATTTCTAACAAAATAGGTTATTCTAAGAATATTCCTCACTTGTGTTTACTTCTTCCATTTGTAACATTATAATCAAACCATTGGAATAGAGCTGGGCAAAAAGTACTAGGAATAAAAATTACAAATTACAAAGTATTTTACTTAAATACTCATGGGGTACAATTATCGAGTGCTTTAATCACTACTCAACTTGATGATTGACGAGTATAAAAACTACTCAGCTGTTCTTGTGAGTACTTTCCATTTTCACATTTACACAGGATATTTTACTTTGAGTACTTTTCAAAATAACATCGTGAGTACTTTCTATACTTAACTAACGTATGATAAATGCTGCGTGAGTACTCTCAGTACTCATCGAGGTCAGGCCGAGTACAGAAACTACTCGCTCATTTTCCTAATAAAAGTACTCAAACCATGAAAGTAATCGAGTACTACAGATATTTACATTGGTAGTCACAGAATTATTTACCTTCCTCATATTTTTCTTTCTAAAATTAAAAATATAATACGGACATATTAAATATTAAAACACATACATACATATGTATTTATAAATCATTTAATCCAACTCAAAAAGTGCAAATATATGTAACTTGATGCAACAAACATCAAAATTGTGTAATTTATGTCAAAAAAAGCAAAACATGCAATATCAAATTTAAATATGTTCTTCAACAGATTGTGAAACAGATAGATAATAAGGTTTGAAGTTTTTACAAGCAAGTAAATAAAATGTGCAATGACATGGAAATTAGGCCTCTGATTATAATTATCTAATAACTTGATAGGTATATTTACAAATAAATAAATATTTGTACACACACCTAATTATTTTATCAGTATTTATTTGTTATCTGGTCTTAGCTTAGCTCCGATGAAGACCTTAAACATAGACTGAAAAGTCAACACAAAGAAAACAATTTTTTTTTGTGTGTACTTCTTAGAACTGCAATCCCCAACCAACTTCTCCTATATTATTCAAAATATCAATAATTTAACTATTATTGCAACTATTTAATGATTAATTAAATATATCAATATTTTTTCCAACACTGCTTGTGGAAATAATGAAACAAAAATAAAACTATAACATAGAAATAGATCTAAATCTTACCCGTTAGCGATCATTTTAAGTGTTTCCAATCTTGAAAGTATAGCGTTGTCCCTAGAACCTTCACCGACGAGCGATACGCCCCAGATGAGAGGATATAGGCTGGTAGCGCTTCCCTGAGGGTCGAGGAGCTCATCGGGTTCCAACTGGTCCCACTCATATGGGTGTGTGACAGGCTGAGGTGTAATGCAAGGGCGTTTCTTGAATAGCAAACTGCAAATTTGGTTAAAAAATTATGAATATTGAAGCTGGTTAAACATTCAAAAAGATATGTTAGTTTTTTAAAAACTAATAATCTATTGAAAAAGTAGATGGAGAAGAATAGCTCCATGTTCCCTTGGGCACTTCAGATAATATAGAAAGAAACTTTTTGATATATTTAATAATATAAGAAATATGAAGAATGAGCATGGAAAAGTGGTCATGGAGGATAAAGTCATTCTGCAGGCTGGCGTAAGCATTACAATAAGCCATTAGATTGTAAGCTTGGGACGATATGTATCCAGTGAAACCAGAAGAACAATGGAATGACACTGAGTTTCACAAGATGGTAGAAGAAGAGGAAATAGACAGAGCTATCTCGAGAATGAAGAATAGGAAAGCACCAGGATGAGATAATGTAATGGCAGGGTTTATGAAGGAAGGTGGCTCTGAGTAAGTGAAGGCACTACAAGTTCTCTATCAAAAACCCTGAGACAAGAGGATCCCAACTGATTAGGGATACAATTGATAATACCCATTCACAAGAAAAGGTTCCAGGCTGAATGTTGCAACTATCACCCTCTATGACTCTCACCAGTAATATACACGCTATGTATATATATATATTTTAGGAGCCACAGTTTTTGAAAATGATCTCTATTTTAAGATTATGCCACTGCATTGTGGCATATTTGAGTTTTTTAGTTTTCTCCCATATGAGGGCTATTTATAAGTTTTCGGAGCCGTGACTTTGGAAAATGATCTCCATTGTTGAGTTCACAAATAAACACTACAGTTCCATTGTAAAATGTAGTAAAATTTGAGGTCCTTTACTTTTTTTCTGATATACATGATGATCTAACTGTATTAAATAAATACCCAGTTATAATTTTTTTTTTATAGTAAACTATACACCATTCCCATCCTTAACACCAGTTGAATGACATTTTTCTTAAATTAAATTATGCATTTTCCTAATTCTTAACTTATGCAACAATATCAGATCTACCAGAAAGTAATAAAGTGATAAGACTATTTGAAATGGGAGTGGTTTTAAAATGAATATGACATCTTCAGATATATTAAAAAATGTGAATTAATTGATTTTTCATTTTTGTATAAAAATTACAACAATGATTTCTATGTTTAACCCTTTGACTGCGGAGGGTCCCCAGTAACCAATTAAGAGTTGGGTCACTGGTGCGGCCGGGATATATACCTTCCCGCCTGAGCGGTCGCCACTTAAACAGGTAAGGGATGTTCCACCTTCACCATTTGACTTGGGGACAAATTGATGCATTCATTAGTCCCCTGTAGCTAACTCAGTGCAGTCGTTCCGGATTCTGACCATTAGAAAGCTATCAGCTACAGATTTATTCTGAACCCAAGGTATGTCCTTTCTCTGTTATTTGTATCATATCCATGATCTTATTTATATTATATTTAAATGTTTTATACATCAAATTAATGTTAATAAGTTAATTTTATATTTTCTTTTTTAATTTTGGTTTTGACTGAATGCTGATTTTGGCACATACATAAGTTTCCTACATTTCATATACATACATACATACATACATAAACATACATGCATACATGACATACATATATATATATATATATATATTGTAATGTCAACATTACATGGCATTTAAATAGTGGCGCGAAAGTGATAACAACACGAACTACGGGAAGCAAGTGGTGGGGGAAGCAAGCCTCATGTAACTCAGAATGTGACAGGCCGCCAAGAGAGAAGGTACTAGCCAGCAAGCTGAGAAAATAGAAAGAGCCACAAAGTTTAGACTGGGACAATCAAGGTTTTTGAAAACAATAATAAATTTTATATGTATATTTAGTGTATTTAGTAATTAGTAAATTAGTGTTTTATTGTTGAATGAGTGTTCAGTTGTCAGAACCCAACCTGAGATTTATGTTATGTGTTAAAATAAATAATATATTGAAAAAGGAAACTCGTTGTTTGGATTTTGTTCACAAAGGGAACGTTACAATATATATATATATATATATATATATATATATATATATATATATAAAACTAAAAATTTCTTGTGAAGATATGTCTGCAAACGCTTTGTTTAGCAGATATTCACACCTAAAGATTTTTGTTGTTATGTATTATTTACGTTATATGAAATAAATAAAACCTATTTATTTGTTCTTTATTACTTGTTCCACACAGTTTCAGTGCAATGTGTGGTTGGTGATAATAGAAAATATTTTAATAGATCCACATTTCATGACGCCTCGACTCAATGAGGGCACATTTCTGAAATTTCTTAATAATGATTACTATGATTTAGTTTAACATATTCCACTACAACTGAGAAGGGACATGTGGCTTCTATTAGATGGTTGTCCTGCACATTACGGAAGAGGTCCATTACAATGGCTAAATGTTAACTATCCCAATCAAAGGATTGGCTGTGCAGGAACAGTGGCTAGGCTTGCACGACATTAAACAAAAAATGGACATGCAAGTCTGGTCAATGACCTTAATTTCTTAAGAAGAAAGATAATTGAATCTTACGAAACAATAACAAATATCCAGTGCTGCTGTTGAAGAAAGATGCCGAGTCTGTTTTAATGCTCAAGGAAATCACTTGAACAACATTTAATATGAAGTTAATGTTAATGTTTAATTAATAAAGTAGTTGGAACAAATAAATAAGTTTTATTTACTTAATATAACATAAATAATTCATAACAATGAAAATCTTTAGGTGGGAATATCTCCTAAACAAAGCGTTTGCCGACATACCTTCACAGGAATATTTTTTCTTGTTTTGAGATCCTTAATTCATATTTTCAGTTTGTGCACTTAACCCTGAAACAATCAGTATATAATTAAATTAAAATGATGCTTTAGTTGTTTTATCATTTTTCCATTCACTTAAAAACTGTATATATATTTTATATAATATAAAAGTGTTTGAAACTCAAAATAAATGTAAATACAGTCATAAAATTTATAACTGCGTTATTTTCAATATGTAACTTTTTTAGATAAGAAATAAGTTTGTAAATACAAAGAAATATATAATTCTAATCCCGCCGTCGGTGTCCTTTTTATTAGAGATAATATAATTTAATTTTTATGATCACTTACAGTTATTTTTGTGATAATTTTCAGTTATTTTGCGATTCAGAAATGAGCAAATATGCAAGAAAGTGAAGTATTGAGAGATTGCCGCTTTAATTTTGCATTGCTATGTGCATCCAGGAAGGCGTATATCCTGTTTTTTTAAAGTTGGATAAAAACGTTAAAATGCATTTTTGAAAGCTATGATCTTGCAGGGTGACTCAAAATAACATTTTAAACAAATTTATGCAAACAAAAAGAATCCGTTTTTTAGAAGTCTTTGTGGAATTCAGGACGCTTAACGTATGGTAGAAACTCACAAATGGGCTTCCGCAATCAAAGGATTAAAATTTCTTTTCATGTTTAATTATTTTATTTAACGTTTGTAAATATATTTTAAACAAGCTACTGTAAATATCAAATATTGGAATTATTTTATAAAATCTTTTTCTTTATTTAATATCAGACATTTTTTTAAAAATAAAATGATATAATTTTTAAATCAAATTATAACAAATTCCTCTCCAAAAAATGTACGTGAAAATAAATTTAACCTAAGTTGTTAAGTAAATTCTAACAAACATTTTAAGTAATCTTATAATGGAGATCATTTTAAAAATTAAACATCCTTAAAAACACTTATAACTTTGTGATATTCTCAACCACTGGTTATAAATTTAATTTTAGTTTTTTAAAATATTTGTATATACATTTTAAACCTCCATTTTCTAGATATTATGAATAAAAAAAACTCAGATTTGACCGCCTAATTTTGTACCATTAAAATAATGCAAACATTTAAAAGATACATACTCTGTGATGTAACTTTTAATTCTCTCCTGTGACTTTATAATTCCAGGCCTTGAGAGTTCACTGTGTGGTCCCTCTCCCCCTCCCATGATATAGTCCATCCAAAACCTCAACTTATTAACCTAAAAAAAAAAAAATAGTTATAATCTCTTAAACAATCAACATAAAATGTTAAGTTGTATATTGAACAATAAAGTTTTTGGGTACATCAATTTTTCTACAATTACTAAATACTAATATTCTATTCTGAAATGCTACTCATATTTTTAAAAATTAGGAATACTAAGATAACCACAAAAAATAAATAAATGTTTAAAATTGTTTAATAAAAAATCTGGTGTGCACAACACACAACTTTCACTTACCGCTCAACTTTGAATAGAAATTATTTTCTGGCAATGTTGGGCTATTATAAAATTTTTGAATTGCATTTTAAACTGAGCTAAAGCTGAAAAATTACAGCTTACAAATCATAAACACCATTAAAATAACAAAATTTGTATTTATTATATCATCGGTTGATTATGGATTGTACGATCCGTTGATTATGGATTGCACGAACCATTGATTATGGATTGTACGACTATTAGTTATTAAACTGATATTTTCAATTGCAAAGTTTATTAAAACGGAATTATGAGATTTGCATTGTCTGTCATAGAGAGGTCACAAGTTGTCACACTAATACAAAATGGATACTGTTGGAATATCACAAAAGGAAATTTCACCATACTATTCACTAATTTAATTTTATAGAAGGTTACATGATGATTTTTTGGAATAAACTGACAATAGATTCTTAAATATTAAAATATAATATCAGATATAGAGTTATTAAACTACAGTAAATATATTTAAGGTTATAAACGTATCTATGAAATATTTTTATATTTCATACAAGTAGTACAATGAAATAGCAGGGGGTACTGTTGGAATATTACAAAGGGAAGATTCATCAAATTATTCACTAATTTAATTTTCTAAAAAGTTACATGACAATATTTAGGAATAAACAGACGTTGATGCCTAATTATTTAAATATAATATTAGATCTATCGGAAAGATTGCCTAGGTCACTTTTTTCGTGTTTTCACTTATATCAGGAAAAGTATCCAGTGCATCGACAAAAACGTTCTATACAAAATTAAAGCTGATAAAATTTGCAATGTGATTAATTATATATATTTCGCTACCACACTTGGCTTCCAAGATATCCACCCTCAACTATGGCTAATTTTGAAGAAAAACAATTTGCCTCATGTTTGTTACTGTTTTTTTGGGTTTTCGCTTATATCAGGAAAGCTATCTACATTGACAAAGACATCTTATACAAAATTAAAGCAGATAAAATTTGCAAAATCATTGATTATAAACCTTTTTTCAGTATCTCGATTAGTTTCCGAGATATCCATCTCCAACTATCGCTAATGTGGAAATAATATTTTTTTACTGTATTTGACAAGCTAACTCTGGATTGCTTGATTCTATAATTAATTCATGGGAAAGAAAGTTTTTAATAATTAAATTTTCTTCAAGTATATATATATATATATATATATATATATATATATATATATATATATATATTATTTTATGAGTTTATCTTTAACAGTTCAAAAGTTATATCAATTATACCATTATATGTCAATTCTGAGAATTTTCAGAAGAAATTAATTTTCATAACATACATTATTGTACGTATATAAATACATAGAGATTTAAATTTATAGAGAGTTAGAGCAATATAATTTTTTTTTTTTTTTTTAAATTCTCGGAATTGACATATAAAGTTATAATTGATATAAATTTTGGACTGTAAAAGATAAACTCATAAAATAATACATATTCTTGAAGAAAATTTAATTATTAAAAACTTTCTTTCCCATGAATTAATCGTAGAACCAAGCAATCAAGAGTTAGCTAGTCAAATACAGTAAAAATCATGAGGTAAAAAAATTTATTTCCACATAAACGATAGTTGTAGATGGATATTTCGGAAACTAATGGAGATAGTGAAAAAAGGTTTATAATCAATAATATTGCAAATTTTATCAAGTTTAATTTTGTATAAGATGTCTTTGTCGATGCGGTGAATAGTTTTCCTGATATAAGCGAAAGCCAAAAAAACAGCAATAAACATGAGAAAAAAATTTTCTCTTCAAAATTAGCCATAGTGGGAGAAAGATATCTCGGAAACTAGGTATATAATAACAGAAAAAAAAGGTATATTATCAATCATATTGCAAATTTTATCAGCTTTAATTTTGTATAGAACGTTTTTGTCAATGAGATGGATAGTTTTCCTGATATAATCGAAAACCCGAAAAAAGTTACCTTCTAGGTGCCTCCCCACCTAGGAGTGGGGAATTTAAGTATGTTTACCTCCTTACTAGTCCAAACAATATCCCAAAATCAAAAATGTTGTTCCCGCCATTTCCTTTTATATCCTCTTTTCGAGCATTCATTGACTGGACTAAGATTGGATATCATTCTTTTTCATAGTGAGTTGAAGGATTTTCTTCTTGGGACCAGTGAATTTAAATGAATTATCAGAATTCCAATATATGTCTCGTTATTTTAAAAACTTCAAGTTTTCCAAAAATGCACATGATTATGAATATTTATTTAATTAATTTCTATATATTCTTTTTCAACATATCCCTATGTTATTTTTGTTTAACGCTAAGTATAGATAAAATTAAATACATAAATAAATGATAATCACCACTTCTAAATCCATAAGAGTAAGCTTTGTATCAAACAACACTTCGAGATCATTTTCTGGGAAAAAAGCTGCTCCAGATTCTGGTTCAAAGCCAAGTCCACACAGAGCTCCAGTCAATTGTCGTCTTTCCTGGTCCACCCTAAGATAACAAAGTAATTTAGTCTAAAACTTATCATTTTATACTTTACTATAGGAAGTGATTTACACATTAATTATTAGTGAATAGACATATGATATATACCTCAGTTCTACCCTAGGAGCGAAGATAAGGCATACCAAAGAGCTTAATCCATGGATGTTAGGCATAATTGTTGTGTTCCTCAAGGTTAACCGATTTGTGCCAGTGTTCTGTGTCACTGAAGCTGCAACGACAAGTCTGAAATCCGAAAAATCATCAATCATGACTGGAATATAGAGCTATTCTTGATGAAAATGTATTTTTGATTTTCTCACTCATTTTTAGAGTGAGAAAATTATAATTAGACTCTTTTTTATTTATTTTTAAACTGTTATCATATTCAATATATATATATATATATATATATATACAGGGTGTCCCGTAAGTAGAGAGAAATTTTTATAGGACTGATAGCAGACCTTAAGAGCTACAAAAAAGTTCTTATAAACAATGAATAATTTTCAGCAGAAATGTAGCAAATTCAAATTTTGTGTTTTTTTAAGTGAGTCATGATTTTTATTGAATCAAAAACAATAATTAAAGAAATATTTAATTTAAGTAATTAATAATTGCTTCATTGTAAACAAGATGAAATTTACTTTAAATGAACATAGAGTATCTCATTGTTAAAACCATTTACAGAGGACTTTTGAGTGGCAGAACTAAGCTAAATTCTGTTTTTAGTAAAATCATAAATTATTCGTGATTTTTTTTTTATCATCATCCAACAATACTACAGTTTCTCCACTTTTACAAAAACTTCTTTGCTCAGTAAGCTTTAAGATGATATTAATTAAGTTGAAATTTATAAGGGAAAAATTGGAGATTCAGCTAAGTTCCCCCATTTTTAACAAAAAGAACTACAATTAATAGGTGCAAAGCTTTTATATCTAGTCTTTCTGTGATCTGGGATGAATTTTAAGAAACCCAATTGCCTAAATACACATTTCATTGATAAAAAAAAATTAATTAGAAAAATACTGATTTTTCAAATATTTCTCTGGTAAATCGGTTATAAACTGTGTTTTTCATCCAGATCACTATTTTAGTTTTTCTCACTGAAATAATTAATTTAAAGAGGTAATAAAAACTAATAAATACCCAATTGATTTCCACTTGAATCATGAGATAATTCGATCACAAAATAGAGATAAACAATGGCATATAAAAATATTGGGCTGTTTGTCATATATAACCTCATTATTTTGACATGTTGGGACTGGAGATCATGCCAAATGAACTAATATTTTTATAGGCATCACTTTTTCTTAATTTTTTTAAATCAAATTATCTAATGATTCAAGGGAAAAGCAAATGGATGTTCATGAGTTCTCGTAAGTAGTACCTCATTTTCACCTATTATAAATTACTAAGGTTACTGATTTTCATATTCAAAATGCCTTATTTCTGAGATAAAACAGTGGTGAGTAACAACAAGAATAAACCATTAACGAAGTTTTAGAGGGAGAAATACAACATTGTATGGCTGCTCAACTATGTTAAGTTGGTAAACAACACAGCATATTCATCAATCGATAGATAATACTGTAAAAACTATAAGAGAGAGTTATGTTGAACCATTGGAATACATATCAGAGATGCCAATAACAGTTTATAAAATTAAATAAACGAGGCCTAGATCAATATATGTGGTGATGGAGGATTCCCGAGTCGAAAATAATAGTTTCTGCCATTGTCTGCGTCTGCTCCCTTCCAACACTGAGCTTCTGCAAGAAATTACTTGAATTAAGAGGGATGCTTCCCCTGGTTCCGAACAATAGCCCTTTAACCAAGAATTACCTCTGTACTTTTCCTTCAGGTAAGGTATGCATTTCATATAAATTTCCTCTTTCTCTGTCTGTACATTGAAGTCCTGGTTCTGATTTTTGGTTTCAAATCTGATCGTGGGATCCACAATGAGTGCCTCCTTTTCAGTTGCATTGAATGCCAAAATGTCTTGTTGAGCCTAGGCAATAAACTATGACGAAACATTCATAGTTCTTCATTTCAAGGAATTCGGCTATACCATGCTTTATATATTTTATATTATTTATTTATTATTATTAATAATTTATATTTTATAAATTATTAACACATTTTACAGTCATTTATCAGAAAAATAATAATAAAATCTACCTGCTGTGCGGGTCTATAGAGTAAATATCGAAGAGAACAGAGTTAACGGAACTCCATTCAATTATTATTTCTTTACGTTGACCCACACCACTACAACCCATGAAGGGTCTTGGGTTCAGTACTTTTTTTTTTTTATTGTTCTTTCCTACCTCGCCTTTTAGGCTAAACGGGATTTTCCTGGGCCGGAGGGTAAGGGCAAACTCATACTTTTTAAACCTTCTCAAATCTTTTATCCGGTTGCCAGGCAACTCGCGGTGCAGTGTACACGCTTTAGCCCATTCGGCCACCCCGCCCCCTTGGGTTCAGTACTATTTAGTGAAAGTACTGGTTCAAGGCCAACTGTTGTGAATAGAGGAGATCGGGTCAGGATCACGCTCAACTACAAGGTTTTCTCCCTTAGTGGCGGTGTGGCCGAATGGCGTGTGTACAGCACCGCGAGTAGCCCGGCAACCAGATAACCGAAGTTATGAGATCAAAAAAAGTAAGAGTTCGCGTCCCGGTGTCAGAGAGGATTTTAAATTCCCCACCCTTACCCTTCGGCTCGGGAAAATTCCATATAGCCTAAAAGGCGAGGTAGGGAAGAACAATAAAAAAAAAAAGAAAAAAAAAGTTGTCCCTCTTAATCAATTATTTAATTAAGGGTATCCACTTTGTAGAGGCTGGGTGTGCCACAGGAGGGTCTCTCTACCCCAGGGTCGCCCCACGACCAATAAAATAGAATAAAAATAAAGAATACTGTACAGACCTCCTCCCTTTTTATCAAATTATTAAAGTGTCAAGGTAAACAATTATTTATGTTTTCTTTATCTTGACACTTTAATAATTTGATAAAAAGAAGGGGGAGAGGTCTGTACAGTGGTCTAAAACATCAAATAAAATATTTTTTTTTAACATTTTAATGCAATAAACGTGTATTTTCTATATGACAATTTTGCTTTCATATTTACACACCTGGTATAAAAGTAAAATAAATGAACATAAAAAATTTAAAAGCAATATCATAAGTATTACATGGGAATATCTGAACCAAGCAACTCCCCTCAATTACAGGAAAAGACAGTAAAGTTGGAGATTTCAGAACTTTTAATACGATGAAAACTTATTAATCCATTATTTTATAAATTATTAACACATTTTATCAGGAAAATAATAATAAAATCTACCTTTCGTGCGGGTCCATAGGGTAAGTATCCAAGAGAACAGAATTAACGGAATTCCATTCAATTATTATTTCTTTACCTTGACACTTCTTGGGAAGAGAATACAGGTTCATTTCCAAAGGTGAACGGGGACCTTTCAAAGTTACCTATAAAACAAAAAATGAATATTTAAGATACAATTAAAAACTTCAATGCATTCCTATTAGAGATGGACTGAGTATGAACTGATTAATATAGCTATTCAGGCTAAGATTTCTTTAAATAAATTATATTCAGAAACAAAAGCAGTAGCATGGACACAAAATGGTTTCTCAAGCAAATTTGTTATATGAAAGGACAACATGCAATAATAAACTATTTATTTATTTTAATATTCCATGCAATTAGCTTAGTAATCCGTGGTACAGTCCTCATTTTATCGAATTATTGACATCCGCCTGAAACTTTGTTAACAGTTTCATCTCATCGTAACCTAAAACTATTTTATTTACCAAAACTCTTGAAATTGTGATGTTTTAATATGAAGGAGGGGTGCAAACTTTGTCTATTTAATTACATACTAAAAACTTGTGAATACCCATTTGCTTTCTACTTGGATCATAAGATAATTTGATTACAAAATCGAGAAAAAAGGTGGACTTCAGAAATATTGAGCCATTTGGCATGACCTACACTCCCAAATTTTCAAAATAATGACGCTATCTGGACAAGAACCAAATTTGATCCTTGATTTCTGAAACGTAAAACGCGAGTGGAAATTTTTGATTCTAAGCACTAATTTTTTTTTTTAACCTCTCGCACGAACACAATGCTTCCCTACTTTCGGTAGTGAGGAAGCAATATTCACAATGACTGCGTCCTGACTATTTACCAACCATAATAACGATAACATAGTTAGGAAGTTATGAAATAAACAATAATAAAATAACAGTGATCACATCATGAAATTAGCAAAAAGAAATATTTCCTAGATTTTTAACATTATGTTATATATCCTAACTTTGTTTGAGCTACTTTCTATTCCCAACTTTGTTAGCCTTATAATATATTTTCTTTATTTATAAATCATATAAATATTAATGTTAATTTTATTCTTCCTACATGCTATTACACTATACCTTTTACCTACATATTATTATTTTTTACTATTTACTAGTTTCTCATATCTATTGTCATCGTGTCTTTTCTTAGCCCTGATGAAGGTCTGCACCTTGGCCCGAAATCTTGGAAAATATAAAAATAAATATTATTTATTTATTTTTACTTGTGACTGAACACCCCAACCATCATCTCCTCTTTAATATATCCATGACAGTCAATTATTAATCCACTATCATAATATAAGTGTTTTTTTTAATTCGAGCCTCCTACTTACCATTTTTGCGGACTTCTCTGATAAAAACATACTTTTTTTTAATTTCTATAAATTTATACACAAAAAAATAAGAAATTTAAGAAAAAATGATGGAATTTAACTCACCTTACTTCTACATTCTTCAGGTTTGGGAGGAGCAAAATTAATATCAGACAAATTATCATTAAACAAATCATCATTTGATTTATCATAACAGTTTTGTGACGAATCTACTGCAGCTTCTCGCAGCATATGGTTTTCCTGTGAAATAATAAATAGAATTAATTCTAATTCAAAGTAATATATATGTTTGCCAGAGGTCTATGGTTTAGAACACTCAGCTATCGTGAGGGGTTATCTCTCTTTATTAGTCTCTCCATTACCTTCTACAACTTTCTATATTAGATATTGTTTTTCTAAAATTCTTCGCTTTCCAACAATATATTATGTGTATACCTTCTGACTAGTATTTCCGGAGATTCATTTTCGACCTGGATAAGCATTTTTATTTTTTCCGCCTTTATTCAATTATCAAATTCTTTCAAAAGTTATATTTAGCATTTTTTCGTAACGAGAGATAGTTAATTATTTAAAACAAACCATATTGAAGGTACTTTAGAGGAAGGCCTGTATGAACATTGAGTATTTAAGCCCTGTAAAGTGACATCAATGGGGATAAGACCTAAATAATATTAAAGACCACTTAATTATGCAATGATACACGGTGTTTAATCAAAATCTTTAGAGCCGTTTTTGAGAAAATTATAAAAATATGTTTTACCGTTGATATAAAGTGGCACTTCCAGTTAGCCGATTTTAACAAAAAAAGTTGCTGTAAGATTTGAGGCAAGTAAAAACCTTCAATATGAAATTTCACTATTGTATGATTTTCCATTTTTGAGCAAGACTGCTAACAAACACACACAGACCATTTTGCGGGACTTGTTCATTTGGACTCAGGAGACCTCAAAACTCAGATTCGAATATTTTCACGATCGCAATACTTACCTTTACTATATATTTCATATATAGGTGTGTGAAAGTAAAAAAAAAAAGATAAAAAAAGCTCTGGTTTTTTTGGCTCTAAAAAGTTTCCCTAGGTAGACCGTGTTAGCAATTTTGTTTTTTTACATGTTTAAACAGACATATACAAGTAAAAAAAAAAACTTTTTCAACATTTTTCGCATTAAATTTTCCGTTTCAATCCTGAAGTTACAGGCATAATTTTTTTTAAACCAGCCGCCATTTTTATAAGAAGCACACGATCCGACTTGTACTCTCATTTTTAAAAAATATAAATGTTATAAATATTAAAAAAACTACTTTCAATATTTTCTTCAGATAATGCCAATTTGTTTGCACGGCCTCGTGGACTAGTCTGCAAAGAAGATGGCTTCGTGATCTCCTAATTTAGAAATTTAATAAGAGAGTTACTCTACAAATCTTTTCATTCCATTGCATTATTCTTTATCACATTTAATATATATATATTGTTATTTTTATACAATTGTAAATTTCATGAATAAAATAAAAACTTTATAATTTATAGTCTGTAGACATTACAGGATGACTATCAGAAAGTCAAAGTTAATAATAAAGTTAAAGTGCTAGCCAACCAGATCTTGACCCAGATACATATATCACTAATAGTAAATAGTATTGGTATATTTTTATTTTCAAAAAAGCACTATTTTAAGTTCATTTTGTTTAAATTACATTCATTGCCCTTGTTTGATTTCAATATTATGGCTAGCGCTGTATTTGAGTCTAAGGTGGATGAATATTGACTGTAGTTGTTTATAACGACAATATCAACTGTACATTTATTCCCAATTTGAAAAAAAATATTTATGTACTAAAAAAATTCCCTGACTTGTCCCTGTTTTGAAAAATTCTCCGACTTTTTGAAATTTTTTCAGATTTTCCAGGTGAGTCGCCACTCTGCATTAGTACAGACTGTAAAGGTTGATCACTTTCAACTAATCAAAGTTTTATTGTAATATTTAAACATAATTTCTTCATCTAATTCTGCATATATATATAATTAACATGTAACATAAACAAAATATTCTAAATATACTCACTCTTGAAAGATAAGGTTCATCAATTGCTTCTGCAAAACCATTCTTAATAAGGTAGTAATTAAACGATAATTCAAAACGTAAATCAGTAAGTGTTTTTTTTCCCATTAACTCTGATGAAAACAATGTTATTGCCATAACATTATTGACAACAGAAAATATCTAAAAAAAAAAAAAAAGATTAAAAGTTACCTTAAAAAATTAAACATATATTTAGAATTCTCAAAATACATTTGATATTGAACAAAAATGATATCATAATTTAGGAGATATGTTATATTACTTACTTTAGCTATACCAGTATTATCTTTTAGAAATTTAGAAAATTCCTTGATATTCTCTGAGGACCAGCCCCCCCGTGGGTTTTTAGAGAAGGCTGGTCCAATTTCGGCAAGACTTGCTTCGAGTGCTAAATCTGGCTCCTTTTTTACGTTAGTTAAAGATGTAGGATAGTCTCTCAGTTCGTTTGCGTGGACAGATTCTTGGTTACCATAATCAATAAAGTAAACCTAAAAATAAAATTATTACATTTATAAATAATATTATATTACCAGACTCAATTTTTATACAATATCATGCTTGTTTACTATTTTTTTAAATGTTTTGATTGCACATACTAACAAAGAATATCAATTGGAACACATACTTAAAATTTTGTAAATTTGTGCTTATTTTTATCCAAAGTCGATTATAACGGTTTGTTCCCAATAATAAACAAGAACATGAGTACAAGACACAATTGGCTATCCTAGGTTTTAGGTATATAATTATATATATATATATATATATATATATATTATGAAATATTTTCTCTCCCATATAATCTTACGTTTCAGGTTTTTCACCACCCATTTTATTGAGTTTATTAAAGAAAATATAAACATAAAATAAATTATCCATGATGGTAGTTTATCAAACTATCACAAATTTAGAAATCATTATTGAATATTGATTTTCTCTTTAAAATTAATTCAACATATAACCACATTTTAGTAATCTAAAACAATAAACAATTAAGAGTTCATGTAAATCATCATTTACACGGAAACCTTAAATCAGAATGATTGATCTTGTTGAATGTTTATGAGCCTTTCAGTTAATAGAATGAGTCTAATTTCAACATTTTTTATTATTAATTTTAGTGATATTTCTAGTGGGAAAGTGTACACCTTTAATCACAGTTCTATATTTCAATGCTGTAATCACTTACTATGGAATAAACTTACTCACTGTCTGTACAGATATTATAAATTTTCAGCTAGAAATATCACTAAAATAACTTTACCCAAAAATGTTCAATTGGAGTTAATCATTCGGTCAACTGAAAGGCACATATATTTCTATTAACAATATGAACTTGATATGTTTGTTAACTGTTATTCGTGGAAGCTCTTCAATATTTATTTAAAATATTGTAATATACACCTTTATTGGAAGATGTTAAAAATGGTTTAACAAATTAATGTTAAAAGGTTATTTTTTTTCTTTCTTACAAGTAAACTTTCTTCATTATAAAATTATTTCTTAATTTATTATTATTACTTCTATATTAAATTTTTAATAAAGTAATTACTAACCTGAACTCTTATAACTGCTCCTCTTGAATCTACTTCAATGCTGCTGATAATGCGAGCTCTGTAGTATTCAGGAGGTCCCTTCTTATCTTTATAGGGGGCAATACAAGGAGAACCATCATCGTAGGGGCCAGTATATAACGGCAGAGGTTCACTCAGTCTGAAATATAAAACAAATGATACAACAACTGTCAAACTTGGAGGCGGGGTGGCCGAACAGACTAACATATGTGCATAGTACTGCCGTTGCCCGGTAACCTGATATATACCATAACTGGATAAAAATAGTAACGAATTCGCATCCCAGTGGGGGGGGGGAAGGGGAGTCTGCCCGGAAAAACCCTGTATTGCCTTAGAGGCGAGCAAGGGGAGGACTCTCCCCCCCTCCCAAAAAAAACTACAGTCAAACAGTGAATCAAATAGACAAAAAAAATAATAATAAAATTATGATATATATATAATAATATACAACATTAGGAGGACCGGGAAGTAATTCAATTAAATGAAAATATATTTTATTATTCTGGGACTGTTATCTCTTTAGAACAAATTATAAGTACAGAATGCATGTCTGTCTGGTAATAAATAAATTAATTATTTACAATAATAGTTATTTAAAAGTAAAAATAAAGACGAAAGAGAGAGAAAAAGAAAAAGGAAAGAACAGCATATATATATATATATATATATATATAAGACAAACAAATGAAACTAAAGTAACGTAAATAAACAGAAATAGTCTCTGAGGTTACTTAAATAGTTCTCTTAGGTATATTTCGTAATCAGTCGGATTGAAAAAGGAGTAGATGTTTAAAGAGGTGCAGTTTGAAAAAGGAAAATGATTGTGAGTGTCGAATACCAACAGGGATGGAATTCCAAAGGAAGGCGGCTGGAATTAAAAAGGATTTGTCAAACGCAGCAGTTCGGATCAAGAGTCCCTCGGTATGCTGTGAAATATATAGGAGGGTCGATGAGTTCTGATGAACTGGTCCAGAAAGGTAGCTAGAAAATACTGACGGCGATAGGACAGATGGAGCCACTTCAATTCGGTATAACACTGAATAATATGCATATCTCTTAAGATTCAGAAAACAAAACGTATTGTGCAGTTCATTAGGCATTTAAGTTTGCCTTTGAAATCTCCCGAGAGTTTGCCGTACACCATATAGCTATAGTTGAAGTGAGGGAAAACAAGAGAGGAAACTAGGAGTTGAAGGGACTTATATGGAAGGAGATAACGTAGACGATTGAACTGTTTTAGGGTGGAGATAGTGCGACAAGAAATTTGGAAGATGTGTAGTTTCCAGGAGAGGGTTTGATGACACCTAAGTTTTTAACGGAAGTATGGAATAAGATATTTGAGTTATTCAGGAGAAGATTGGGGAATACCAGGAATGATTTGAGGAGAGAGGGATATCTGATCAAGATGGCTTACGTCTTCTCGGCGTTCAGAGTGAAGCTGTTGAGGTTTGCCCAAGCACTTATTCCATTAATATCTTCTTGGAGTTTTAGGATGGCATTCTGAGGGACCGGTCGGATTGAAGGAGAGGTAAATTTGAATGTCTCTGGGCAAGGGTAAAGATTCTGAGGGGGGGGGGCTATTAGGAATTACAACATACTGGGAGCGACCGGTAAGAAAGAATTGGAACCAATTAAGAAAACTAGAAGAAAAGGAGATATTTTTAAGTTTGGTTAGGATGATGTGGACTACTGAATCAAAAGCTTTGGAGAAGTCAAGGAGAATAAGGATGGTTAGTTTCTACTCATCTATGGCTGTATGAAGGTCTTGAGAAATTTTGATTAGACCAGACTGAGTATAATAGCCAGTCCTGAAACAGAACTGGTAGGGATTTAAGAGATTATTGTGGTCTAAAAAATGGGAAAGCTGGGATTCGACTAGTCGCTCTAAAGGTTTGGAAAAAGTGAAATTGGATGGAAATCATTAAGAGCTGATGGGTTAGAGGTCTTCTTCAAGGGACGTACAAGGGCGGTTTTCCAAGATTCAGGGAAGGTAGCATTTCAAAGAGAATAATTATAGAAATGATAAGATAAAGGATTGGAAGAATAAATGGATTAATCAGTCTGACTGAGATGTTATCGGGGCAATAATCATTGGTATGGGACTTCTGAATGAAGTTAAGGAGATCATCAGGGGTAATGTGGGAAAAAAAGAAGTGATCAGGATTAAAATAGGAAAACATAGGAACCGGACTGGATGCAGGAGATGTGGTTGCGAAAGGGCAGGAAACAGAGTGGGCGTTTAGATTATCAGCAGAAACGGAAATGGACTTGGACAGAGGAGTATTAAAATTGGTCAGCTTTCCAAGAATAACCCACGTGGCCTTGATATTAGGGGAGTTGGATAAGGAATGATAGTAATAATGGGATTTGGCACACAATACTGCTGATTGAGTACTGTTTCGAAGCTGTTTGATTAGAGAAAATCTTCTGGAAGTCGAGTTCGTTTAACCCGTTGCCTTGCAGCATCTCTTTCTCTCATACACTCTCTCAAAGTAGGAGTTAGCCAAGGAGCAGGGGGATGTCAAATGGTTTTTGTGATAAGAGGAGCATGTTGGTCGAGGATGGAGTGAAGATGAGTGGTAAAGGTTTCTACCATGGTGTCAATGGATTTTGAGGAGTGAACGGGATCCCACTGGATATCGTCAAGATCTTTTGACAATGTTTCATGAGTGAGAGAATTTATGTTTAGGAAGGATATGGTTTGGAGAGAAAAGGATGGGAGAGGGATATTGTAAGAAATCTGGATAAGATCGTGGGAAGATAGAAACTGGACCGGGTCCTGAGAAGGGGCAAAAAGTTTGTCTCAGGAATCTAGGGTAAACAGATCCACGACTCCGAGAACTGAGTATGATGGGTTGGGTTGTAGGGTATTATGTAAAGGCTGAGAGAACAGAGGAGGCTTATCACATCACATTATTATAGATAGAACATATAGTTTCACTGATATAAGCGAAAAACTGAAAAAAGTAAATTTTTTTAATCATAAATTAAATTTTTAGACTTGAAATCCACGGGTATGGAGTAAATGATTATTATTTCATGTCTTAAGACTGTAAATATTGTACATTGAAAGGATTCATCATCATCATCATCCGTGGCGCTACAACTCTTGTAGAGTCAAGGTCTCCCGCAGCTTGGTCCACCAGTCTTCTCTATTGGTTGCTGCTGCTCCTCACTTGCGGATTCTCAAGATGGACTTGGCATCTGCTGCCACTCAATCGATCCATCGGAGCTGAGGTCTTCCCACTCTTTTTGTCCCATAAATCCTTTCATCTAGGACCATGGTAGGAATCTGATCTTGGGTCATTCTAATTAAATGACCTGCCCGTCGAAGCTGGCCTGCTTTAATTACCTTTATGATACCTGAGCTCTTGTAGTCTTTTTAGCTCAGTATTCGTTCTTATCCTTCAGATTCCATTGATGCAAACTTGACCATAAATTTTCTTCAATATTCTCCTTTCGAACCTTAGGAGAAGGGCTTCCTGTATACTGGGCAATGTCCAGCATTCGGAGGCATAAATGAGAACAGGTCTTACCAGTTGTACAGTTGCACCTTTGTGTTTTGAGAGATAGCCCTGCTCCTCTCTATTTATTTATTTTGTTCCTAAATTTAATTTTTGTTGTGTTGCGGTTCTATAGACTTTAAATAGATTAAAACGTAAACAAAAAAGTTATTGTTTATTATTTTTTTACAATAGACTAAATCACAATAAAACAAATCTATTCGAAGTAAAATTGATTCTTGAAACAAAATCCTTATCCTTCCGACATTTATCTCATAGAAAAATAAAAAAAGAAATACTGCATAGTTAACAACTTAGTACTGCTGAGAAGATATTAAGGTCAGTAAAAATATAACTGATTTTGTGAAAAAACTGACAAGATCATTAGTAAAAAAATTTTGTAAATTGTTACATTGGATTGAGCAAAAAATGTTATCTTCTTGAATTAATACGTAAATAACATTTATTGATTAAGTTTTGTGCTATATTTTGGTTTTTCCGCAATATATAAGTTAAATAATATTGGATTTTTTTTTTTTATATCCTCCGTATTACCTGGCACTCCTGCTTAACCAGCAATGTTTCAGTCCCGACGAGAACAGATAAGCGGGAGTCTACTGTAATATAGAAACTGATTAGAAATTTAAATATCAATTGTTATGTGAAACAAAAGCAGAAAACCATTTGCAATAATAATAAAGAGAGAAACAAAATAAAAGATAAAACAGACCATTAATGAAAAACAGAACTATAAAACACAACAAAATATAATATATTCCAACCTTGACAAATAACATAAAAAATTTATCACCCAAGATCAACATAATATAAAACTATGAATGTATAATAGCAATAAATTGAAAAAAACAAAGTAAAAAACAGAAAAATTAGATGAACAGAGTGTTATTTATGAAATATAATACCTTAGGAGAGAACTGTAATAAAACATACATATGGGAGACCTCCAAAAAATTAAAAACATGAATTACCCCACATAAAAATAATTGTGAAAATGTGAAAAACGTAAATATAACAGCTCTGATACAACGTAGTATAATCAAAAACCATAGTTTCGATTTTGATAATACAAAAATTCTGAACATTGTCAAACACAAAAAACAGAAAAAGAGAAGAGGCAATAAATATCACTAAAAATGTAAAAAACGTGATAAATTTCAAAACAGATACAAAAAGTTTAAACAATCATTACGCATATTTCATAAATAATTTAAAATATAAATAAAAACAATAGTCCAGGTGCAGGAACGAATAAATGAATATAAGGGAGAGGGTGTTGATAAAAATAGATGGTATTAAGTTTTAGGAAGAAATGCATTTTAATTTAAAGTCATTTATTAAACTAAGGACATATTTTTTCAATATGCATTGTAAGTTAATGAGATGGATGAAATATCTATACTATTAGGTAAATTAAAATATTTCTTATTAGAATACTTTTAAATAAATATAGTCTTGATAAGAATTTGACATTATTGTAATGTTATTTCTAACAGATTAAATTGTCTTTGATGATGGGTGAGTAACTTGAAACATTAGACAGAAAGAATATAATAAAGAATTGCCATAGAAGAATAGAAACTTTTCCTCACATATACCTAGGAACGATTATAACTTTTTCTTTGAAAAATTTAATATGTCAAATAATAAATATCAAATGTTACGTGGAACTACAGCAGAAAACCATTTTTGTGTTTGTAAAAATTTTAATATTTTCAAGACAGAAGATACTAATGTTATTCGTGAAGCAAGGACAGACAATCTAACTGGCAACTTAAAAATTTAAAAAGGTACCTGTTAAGAGAAGAATGGATCCAATAAATCCTGTTAGAGTTGACGGGTTCATTTATATTTACCCAAAACTTGGAAGGATTTTCAATCTAAAAAAAAAAAAAATTAAATGAAGTTTCACCTCTTACCACATACGTTATTAATAGAGACCTGATTTTCGTGCAGTAAACAACTGAATAAATGTGCAGTATAGACTTAAAATGTACAAAATCCGCAAGTAAAAGCTAAAAAGTATAAGTGCAAAATTTTTGAAAAAAATGTCAAAAACATAGTTTTCTTTAATTTATAATAATGATAAATAAAGTGCTATTTAATTTTGAGCTGCAATCTTTAAATTAAAGTTAGTTAGACAAGTTATAACCTAAGAAAAACCTAATTATAATTTAACAATGAATGTGAATAAACATAAATCTAGACAAAAGAAAATATAAAGCATAACAATATATAAATTTAATAACAAAACATGCATTTTGAGTTCAAAGATCCTTAATCACAAGTGATATGATTGGGGTGAACCAAAATTAAAATCATATTTTGCTGCTCGTGAAATCCGGTGACGTTTCGTCAAATAACTTTTTGCTTATTGGCCATGAAACTTGTTTGTTTACGAATAAGTTCATACTTGTTTGTTTTTAAACTGGAGAATAAATAAATTATTTTAAAAATACGATATATACATACATGTTCTAAAATTTATTGTAATGTTTTCTTCTGGTGTTTTTTGTATTGTTTGTTTTTTGGCTCTAATTTTGTTATGGTTTAGAGTTGTATGTAATCGACTGTACCAAAGTTTGTTGATTAAGTTTATAGGGTAAAAGTTCTCGATAAGTATTTTGTATATTTCTGTTTTTACTTGTGTGATGTAAGGTTTGACAGTGAGTTCTATTGATTTGTGAATTAGGTTCTTGGCTGTGTTAATTATTTGACGTTTGGGATGGTTTGAGCTAAAGTTAAGAATTCTTTTACTCGTATTCTCTTTTTTTGTCCATTTAGTAAGTATCTGTCCTTTGTCCATAATTATGTCCATATCCAAAAATCTGAGTCTATTGTTTGTGGCTTTTTCTATTGTAAATTTGATCCTTTTGTTGTACTGGTTGAAGCTTTTCATTATTTCATTTTCCGAATCTTTTTTTATTATGAGTAATAAGTCATCTATGTATTTCTTAATTAACAGTGGTTTTTGTTATAAGTTAGTTAGTTGCGTTGTGATTAGTTTGTTTAAATATATGCCACTTAAATTCGTTGATAGAGTACTTCCCATCCCGACTCCCTAAAGTCGTTTATAGAATTCATTGTTGTATTTGAAATAATTATTTCTTGTACAGAGAATTATTCCCTCGATAAATATTCTTTTGTCTTTGATTTTGATTTCACTTTTTACACTGTCTCAGTTGTCGTCAATAATTTTTATACATTCATCTAACGGGATATTAGTGAAAAGTGACTCTGCATCTAAACTTATGATTTCTACATCTTTTAGCTCACACTGGAAATTTTTAATTATTTCTTTCAATTCTTTAGCATTTTTGATGTCAAAGTTATTATTATTATTGAGAGAGTTGAGGGATCGGTTTAGGAATTTGGAGAGAGCTTCAGTTGGTCCATCTTAATTAATTATTATTAAAACCAGGCTACAATATTATATTTCTCCCTATTAGGCTAATTCTCAATTGCGGATCAGGAATAATGAAACCGGTTAATATAGATAATAAAATATTTATTGATGAAATTCTAATAAAAAGCCATAGAGCTGATGACTATATATCCTCAGCCTATGGGCACTGATGAAGTAGAATCTATTTATCCCACAAATCCAGTGACCAGTTGACCCTCGGATCCTGCTGAAAAAATTATAGAAATCCCAAAATTACTTCGCACTAATCACATGAATCCAGAAGAAACAATAAAATAATTAATTTAGTTTTCCAATATCCGGAAATAATTAAAAAGAGATCAAGATATGCTCAGTAGTACCAATTTATTAAAGCACTAAATTATAACTAAGGACGAATTGCCAGTTTATATCTGAAATTTTTGTTATCCGGAATGTTTTAGAAAATTGATAAATTATTGGAAAATAAAATTATACAACCGAGTAATTCTAATAAGTTGTTCTTATTACCTTTCTAGACATTTTTTTTTATTGTAAAAAAATATTACATTGTAATATTACTTAATTATTAAAGAGATTTACTCGTGGTGTTTAATATCTTTACTCACATGTAAAATATTTAAATTATTCAACAATTAATTTAATTAGTAATACATTTTCCAAAAAATCTATGCATGCCAATTTGTAGAGATAAGGTTATTTAAATTTCTTATTTGCCCAATATTGTATTACATTTGTACCCAAGGTACTCTTTTTGATTTGTATTCGTTGACTTCTCTATAAGCTTCTAGAAGTTGTACATTGTCATTGTCGTCGAAGTCTGAGTCACTAACCATATTTTCACTCTCAATTTTCTGTAGGGATTAATTGAGTTTATCTTGTGATGCGAAAACTCACTCATTTCCTATTATAACAACTTTTCGATTCCCAACCAAGAGCAAATAAGTTGTTGTTAAACTCACACTTTAATTTTAGTAGTTCAAAAAGTTAATTAGTGAACCTATATCTTTTTGAAGAAAATTTTTTATCATTAAAGAATAAGAATAACTTTTATAGTGCGAACTTTTTCATAATAATTAAGCTAAATACTTTATAAATCAAACTTATTTAAAAAATCTGATGCACACAACACACAACTTTCACTTACCGATCTACTATGAATAGAAATTATTTTCTGGCAATGCATGGAAACAAATTAGAGACCATATCTTTCCTCCTAGTTGTCCGGTCTTAACGATTTTTTTCTGTTTTTTTAGGAAATTCCATTAACTTTCAAGAAACAATATACAATATCCCCAAAAAAGTGTATACTTTTGTAGGTTATTCGGAATTTAATTTTACCATCCCTCATAACTTTTTTTCCAGCTTCTTTTTGTTGAAGTATGTTATATAGATAAATTTAAAGAGTGTCGAGAACATGACTTTAGCGAAGTTTCATTGAAATCGGTACATTGGTTTAGGCACTACAGTCTATAGCAACGTAGGTTTTTCTGCATTTTTTTTCTCCGTTATATTTAGCATTTTTTCATTACTTTGAATAATGTGAAATGATTAACTTTTTAAAATAAACCATATTAAAGGTACTTTAGAGGAAGACCTGTATGAACATTGGACATTTAAGCCCTGTAAAGTTACATCAATGGGGATAAGACCTAATTCATATTAAAGACCACTTAATTATACAATGATACACCGAGTTTAATCAAAATCGTTAGAGCCGTTTTTGAGAAAAATGTGAAAATGTGTTTCAGTGTTGATATAAAGTGGCACTTCCGGTTAGCCGATTTTAAGCAAAAAGTTGCCGTCACATCCAAGGCATATACCTATCTTAAATACGTAATATCAGTTTCGTAGGACTTTTCGTTTTTGAGCTAGACTGCTAACATACAAACACACAGACCATTTTTCGGGACTTGGTCATTTCGACTCAGGGTACCTCAAAACGTCTATTTCCGTTGAAAACTCAGATTCAAAAATTTTCTCGATCGCAATACTTACCTTTACTATATATTACATATATATACGTAAGTGAAAGTAAAAAGTTTATGACTCTTTCGATCCTTGGTTCAAACATTTAATTTTTAGCTATTAAAATCGAACTTGCCCCATAAAGTGTAAAATATCCTATATCAAGCAACAAAAACTGAGCAATTTAGCACGAAAAGGCCAAAATGTGGAATATTAAAATTCGATGTATGTTATTCTCCAGATCACGAAATTCAGAAACGACCGAATTTGGTGTTTTTGCACACAAGTGAACAAAATGTGCAATCACATGGAATATATATTTAAAAATTTATAATACCAAATTAACATACATGAGTGATCACGACAGGAACGATGCTCGTACTGAGAGAGGGCACGTTTGTCTTCTTAACAGGCATTACTGCTTTCCTCTTGATGACATTGAAGAGGCTCGGAGTCAACCTATCACCAAAAACCTCAAATGCCCTTTTACGAGCTTCGTGAGGTCTATACCAAAAATAAAATTGTAAGAACATAAAAAAAAAATCTTATAATTGAAATTACATTTTAAAAAATACTAATAAATACTCTAAAATTGTGAAGCTAAAAGTTAATAGAGTTTAAAAAAATCTAAACATATAGTTTAAATATCAACTCAAACAGAAAACATGAGGTGCTATTCCATTACTAATTGTCAACTTAATTATTTATTTCCAAAGTGGAAATAAACACAAAAATATAGAAAAATATTAAATCATATTTTCTGTTTCGATTCCAATAGCAAAATCAATATTGTTTAAAAATAAATGAAGAAATTCTTTATTTATAAGACATATTTTCAAAATATTTTTGATATTTTAATAGTAATTAAAATCACTGAAACTTAAATAGGGCCACTTTTAGAACAGATTACACTTCAAGGTCTATTTTGGAACAAAAGAAAGGTTGATAGTGGTTCAGTTTGGAGAGAAAAAAAAAATTAATTGTACTACAAAAATTTAAGTTTATGTTAATAATAATGGTACAATAAAATGAATTTATGATTAATTATTTAAGAAATAAAAGTATTACTACATTATTGAAAAAAAAAGACCAGTTTTGGAAATAAACTTATTTCCACATAACTTTTTAAATATTTAGGTTTGTAAATATTTTTTAATTTTCATATTAGTGTGCAGATGGTTGACTGTGATTATAATTTGAAAATGAGTTGATCAGAGATGTGGTCAATATATAATACTATATTTATAAAGGTATTTTATTGTATATGCCGACTGAAGACAAAACGAAGATCTTCTACAGGACTAAAAAATAAAATTTAATATCAACTGATAATTTGTTTATTTTTTTTTACCTTGTACTAATTAATATTTATAGTTTGTATCTTTGTTAGCCCTGATGAAGACTTACAACATAGGTTGAAATGATGGCAAACCTGTAATTCAACCTCCACATTCTTCAGAAAGAATTAAATAAGATAAATATGCAAATAAATGTAGAAAAAAACGAAAACTATCAGGATTGGTAGAAAACGAGGAAGACAAAACAGAACAGTGCACTTGAGTGGAGTTTCATTGGAACAAGTGAAAAATTTTAAATACCTCAGTGCCCACATCAATGAACATGGATGGATCGACAGAGAAATAAAGAAAACAGTGAAGTCTGCAGGCAGGTGCTTCAACACCATCAACAAAGGATTCTTGAACAAGAGAGAAGTGAGCAATGAGACCTAAACGACAGTGTACAAAAATGCTTTCCTCCCAATAATGACCTACTACAGCAAGTCATGGACCCTTACCACAAAACATATGAGTCAGATTTAGGCCATGGAAATGCGATTCCTGAGCAGGGTCGAAAGAAAAACAAATAAGGAACTCCATAATACGGAAAAATCTAAACGTAAGATCAGCCGAAACTGTGATGGAGGAAAATCGTTTGAGATGGTTTGGTCATGTCTCTCGAATGCCAGAGAATCGAATGGCCAGGATAGCATTGGAAAGTAAAGTGGAGGGAAGAAGACCTCAGGGAAGGCCCAGGAAGACCTGGGAGGTCAGTGTCAAGGAGGCCTTTGACTTCTGTCAAGAAGGGATATTGACTGGAGGAGGAGGCGGCAGTTGGCTCAGGATCGAGAGTTGTGGATTCGGCTCTACAAGAAGGCTCCTCACACTGCTCAGCGATAGAAGAGGAAACGATTAAGAAGAAGAAGAAGATAAGAAGAAGAATTTTCATTTATAAAAACCAATAAAAAAGTTTTAAAAATACTTATAATAAGATTTATTTTTTAAAAATACTCAAAAAATTCAAATATCATTACATTTCATGAAAAAAGACCAATTTTGGAAATTAACTTATTTTTGTACCACTTTTTTAACTATATAGGTTCACTTTCGAAAAAAATTATTTACCAGCACTTTAAATTATTTTTATACTGAAATGGTTTGGGTCTTGTATCCAGTCACTCTGTTGATTGTGTGAACTCGGTTTTTGTATTGCAAAATAAATTTCGTCTAAGTTTCTATTTGAATCAAAAGGAATTTTTTCAAGGGTTTGTGATATTTTCTTTTCTTTTACATTGCTTTGATTTGAAAATAACACAAAACACATGTCGAGTAAATGTTGTTGGAAGCTTTGGTTTAATTCTTTTTTGTTATTGGTTAAGCCCTTTTCTCCTTTCTTAGCTTCACATTTTTCTAGAACGGTAAATATTTATTATGGATAATTCAATAGTTTTTAGTGAAAAAATAGTAGGAGAGGACGGTGGGAATTGAGGAAAGAGATAAATACTCAAAGGAACCACAAAATGAGAATTAATTAAAGAGAAAAAGTGAGATATTATTTCTTTTTAAATGATTACATTTTTGTGTAAATATTTTTGAAATTAAACCCATATCTTGTAGTCTATCCATAAAAAAAAAAAAAAATGCTAGGTTCCACTAATTTCTATTTTTGACCTGGTCTAATAAAAATATTAATTTTTTTAAACCGCATATTAAAAGAAGAAATATAAATTAAAGATTTTAAATTCTTACAAGCATTAATTAATATTTGTGAGAAGGAGTTCGTCGAGGGTGCGGTCAAATAAATAAAAAAAATTAAAATATATAAATTATTTTAATTTTTGCCGACGTTTCGACCCACTTTGCAGGTCGTCTTCAGGGCATAATTTGTGGTACTGCGGGAGGCAGTTGAAACACTGGCAGTCAACAGTCACACTGCCAGTGTTTCAACTGCCTCCCGCAGTACCACAAATTATGCCCTGAAGACGACCTGCAAAGTGGGTCGAAACGTCGGCAAAAATTAAAATAATTTATATATTTTAATTTTTTTATTTATTTGACCGCACCCTCGACGAACTCCTTCTCATATTATATTAACGGTCAACCATCTCTACATCATTATGAATTAATATTTGTATTTATGTTCTAATTTATCAATATCTTCAAAATAATTCAATCATTTATATGTAGGCATTATTGATACAAATCCGTCCTCATCACTCTAAAAAGATGTGGAAATATTGATTGAATACTATAAATCATACAAGTAAAATATTTTAAAACTCGTGTAGTCCAAACTTTTAAGTTGAATCCTTGGACATGTAACACTAAATTGATAAAATGATGAGCACATCTTATTAAAAGGACCACCACAAAACTGTACAGCTTTAATAAAGCTATCAGTATACCTTAGTTTTTGTTAAAGGACTTTTTTTCCAGAGCAGTTTTTTTTTTCAATTTTCCATGCTTACTTTACATCATATGCCTACCATTAATAAAATTACATATTTATTTGGGTTTTTTTCTTAATTCCAGAGATAAGAAATTTTTTTTTATCATGAAGTGATCTGAAGGATTTCATAGTATTCAAGAAATACGACATGCCCCCTAAGAAAATTTTACACTTTTTATTTACACTCTACATCATTATGAATACACTTTTTATAATTATATCTTAATATTGAATAAATTATTAATTAATATGCTTACAACAATACTGGTATTGTGATCGGAATCTGAAGCTGGCGTAGTTTAATGCTCCTGAAGACAGCCATGCTGATTTTTCCTGGCATCAGAGCTGATTTTTCAGGTTCATGGTTAGCCGATATACTACTCCCAAAAGTTAGGTAAATTTTGCTAAAAATGAACAGATACCTTTTATGATTAAATATAAAGAATAAAAATTAAGAACTTTAATTTTTTAATAAGATTTTTTTTTTAAGTCCAAATATACTACCCAATTACAGTGAAGCAAAAAAGAAAGCATAATGTGATTAGCCTAACTATTTATACAATTTTATGACTGGACAGGTCAACTGATTTTCAAGTTTGATAATTTAAATTATCCCGTGAGTCATTTGAAACAATTTGAGTCCAAACATTTAGAAATTATTGTATTAAAAGTGTTAAGTCTTATCTTTTTGCAGATACTTAACAATTCTATGAACAAACAGTTCAACTGAAAAGTTGAAGTTTTTAAGAAGTTGATACTCGACCGAACTATTCATTTTAAGATCGAAAAATGTTTGGAAGTTTATTGATAGACAGAAGTACAGTTAAGAAAATCAATACTTTATAAAAAAAATAAATAAATAACAGAGTGGCTAACAGATCGTTAAACTAAAATTTCCTGACTTTTCCCTATTTAATGATAGTTTTCTTTGACCAATATGTCTGGAGATACAAATATTAAAAATGTATAATTTATAAAAAATGTATTTATTATACATGAAAGACATTTATAATAAATAACAATGAAAACGGTTGTTCAGAGCATTCCGCTATCAGGGCTAAAGCAAATTTTATTCGAAAAGACTAACAAAAAAAAAAAAATGTCCATAGATGTATACATTACAAATAGTAAATAATATAGTTACGTTTTTCTTTTCAATAAAGTCCATTTTGCTTAAATTTTATTCATTACTGTTGTTTGATTTCAATATAACAACCAGTGCCTTTATTGACAGTCAAAGGTAAATGAATATAGCGACTGTAGTCATTTATAACAATGAAGTTTATCAATTCAAGATCATTATTATAAACGATATCCATTGTATATTATTTTCAAATTTGAAAATAAATATTTATGTAGTAAAAAAATTCCCTGACTTTTCCTATTTTTCCAGGTCAGTCGCCACCATGAATAAATATGTCTTAGGTATAAGTATATATTACAAATAGTAAATAGTATTTGTATATTTTTCTTTAAAAAAAACAAACAATGTTATAAATCCATTTTGCTTACATTTTAGTCACGATTTCAATACAAGTACCAGGTGGATGGATATAGCATACTGTGGCCATTTATATTGACGAAGTTTACCCCTTCAAGGTTGTTATAAATGATATCCACCGTATTTTATTTCCAATTTGAAAAAACTATTTATGTACTAAAAAAATTCTCTGATTTTAACATTTTTCACTGACTTCTCCCTGTTTCGCAAATTCCCTGACTTTTTCCAAGTCTTCAAGGTCGGCCCCCACCCTGTTTCAGCAGTTAATGATATAAATCAGACTGTAAATGAATATTAAAATTAATACCTGCTACCATCAAATGAAACTTCAATATTGGATCCACAATGAAGAAAATGGTTTCGTATCGCATGAGTGTAGAGAGGACCGGGTTGATTGTTAGGTAAACCTGTTAAATACACCGTTGTCAGTGGATCTCGACCACCGAGTAGTTTAACAGCATCCTTCTCATCAGACCCAAAAGGAATGAAATAATTTGGATAAAATGCCCCAGCAATCATTAACTAAAAACAAGAATACATTAAAAGGATAAGAGAGGAATTTAATTTAAAAAAAAAAATGAAAAATCAATATAAAACTATAATAATTTAAAGAGTTAAGCTAAATCTGTAATAATTTAGAGTTAGCCTAAATCAAAAAGTCCCATGGGATAGGTAACTTTCTGATAAATAAATAATAGCAATTGTAATGGTTTCAGCCTTAAAATAAATGGGTAGATTGCATTCTAAAGTTGAAGTAAGAGAAACAAACTTTCTAAGAGAATGGGATACATAGGTGAGGAAGGAATTCTAGGAATAATAATAGGCTCAGAATGTTAGTTTGAACACTGATCAACACTATACTGTTGGTTATGGTAGATATCAAAAGCTTTATATTTAAGCCCAATAATTATGCTCAAACTTAAGCATTAAGAAAACCTTCAACAATAATAAAGTCTTTATTCATTAATTAATTCACCATTTTCATCCTTATTCAAGATTTTTTTTTTTTTTTTTTATGATGTGCCATACTTTGTTTAATACTTCATAAAATTCAATGGTTGAGCTACCTTTTGTGAAGATTATTTTCACTTTCAATGTGAAAAAATAAGTATATTCCCCAAAAAAATAGAAGTAAAAAGTTATTAAGGAATGAAAACTTTATTAGTGCATAAATCAAAAAGCATACTATTTATGATTTATTATACATATGATGTTTTGACGGATTTTTAAATTACTTACCAAAATAAAAATAGTAAAAGCGGATCATTATTAGCAAGAATACAGCTTATTGAAATTAGTTCAAATATTTTGAAATATTATTTTCAATAAGGGAATAAGAATATAAAGTGCATTGAATGGATCAAACACACAACATACATACTACCCAACTTACGGTGGAAATGGGTATTTTCTTACGTAGAGAATTTACAGTAAAAATTATAGATACTATAACATAATAATTCAAACTGTTAATTTATCAGGGTTTTCCTCCTGTTTATTGGATAACATGTTTTTTTTTGTAACATTCCATTTCCTATATATCTGTAACGATATATTGTACTTTTGATTATAACCATTTCATGAATATACTTTTATTCTGACAATAGTGCCAATGAATGGCAGCAAAAAATGCTGCTATATTTATTAAAATTTCATCATATGTATTTTTATTTGTTTAAGCATACGTTTACTTTAATTTAAATTTATATATTGCCATAATCTATATAATTAAACCTTAATTATTACCACGGTTATCATTTATGAAAACTGTACATCGATTTGAATATAGTATTATCAGACTCGCAAGCTCATCTATGATTTAATTATGGAGGTATTACATTTGGTAGGTATCCTAATCTCTGGGCCAAGATTCAGCATGACGAGGGTTTTCATTGGTTCTTCGTTCAATTGTACCAGCTTTCTGCCTCAATTAATTATAAATTTCTTTGATACTTTACATTTATCCATTTTCTATTACTACTAATAATGTGAGATCGTTAATTATTTAAAATAAAAAGACTTAAAGCTACTTTAGAGAAAAAAAATTTGGTAGCTAGCTAAATATTTCATATGTAAGTGAAAATAAAAATAATTTTCTTCTTCCCATAATATAGAGTATTTATTTATTTTGATATTATACGGGATAAATTCAATTTTTCAAAATAGAATAAAACCAACTTTTTAAATATAATAATATTTTATAATATTTAGGTACCATGAGCCAACTTAGTAATTAAATAAAGCATTAGACAAATTAAACACTAGTATAAACATTGTATACATGAGGATTGAATAATGAAGTTTTCATTGTTTCCAATAAAAATAACGTAGCGCCCGGAATTGAAAATAAATTTTATTATTTATTTCATTGTATTATTATTGCCATTTAAGGTTTAATTTTTTATTTATTTTTGTTGAACATACACTATCTACGTGGTGTTACCCTCGATCAAAGCCTCTCCTGGAAACCACACATCTCCCAAATTTCCCGCCGTACTATATCCACCCTGAAACAGTTTAACCATCTACGTTATATTCTTCCATTCAAAACCCATCAACTCCTAGTCTCCTCTCTTGTTTTCTCCCACTTCGACTATGGCTGCATGGTGTACGGTGGACTCTCGGGAGAACTCGAAGCTAAACTTAAACGTTTAATGAATTGCTCAATCCGCTTTATCTTCGGGATCTCAAGGGATACGCAGATTACCCAGTTCTACACCAAGTTGAAGTGGCTTTACCCGTCCTACCGCCATCAATATTTCCTTGCTACCTTCCTATACCAAGCCATTAGAAGCTAAACTTAAATGTTTAATGAATTGCTCAAATCCGCTTTATCTTCGGGATCTCAAGGGATACGCATATTACCCAGTTCTACACCAAGTTGAAGTGGCTTTACCCGTCCTACCGCCGTCAATATTTCCTTGCTACCTTCCTATATCAAGCCATTAGAACACGGTGACCTGCCTATATTCTACAGAGCCTACAATTCAAATACTCCTTTCAATCCCGTCCCACCAGATCCCATGCGTCCGACCTCTATCCTCCTCCTTACCGAACTGCTGCGTTTGATAAATCCTTTTTAATACAAGTTGTCTCCCTCTGGAACTCTATACCTTCAGATATTCGACACACAAAATCCATATTCTTTTTCAAATCTCTCCTCTTCAAACACCTACTCCATTCCCAATCCGATTGATCAAAAAATGCACTTAAAAACCTCAAAGTACGCCTAGATACTCTGATTACTTTGTGATTCATCGATATTTCATTTACTTAATTGCTTTCTCAGTATATTTTATATTTACACGTATTTATATCTTTTTATTACTTATAACTTTATTGTATTCCTAATCAACCTATAAATATATTTTTTTTTATTGATGATATTTACAATTGTATTACTAGTAAAAATACATTCAGTAAATGTGAACAAAGGAATAAAATAGCATAAAATCACATGTTGAGAAACTACCCATTGGTAGCACTCTAACTATAAATATTAAACTGTATTTTATAGACACACCAAAATATTAATATATATTTTGTATTTGTAACTTGTTCTAAAGGGACACTAGTCCCAAAATAATAAAATTATTTTCATTCATCTAATCATAGTAAAAACTGGTTACTAGCTAGAATAATGAACACAATTTTAAAATACAATAAAAAATAGTTATCTACCTTAAGAATAATAGGTTTTTCAGCTGCAGACCATGTCATACTTGTTTCTCCTTTCATTTCTTCAACTCCTAATGTCCTTAAGCGTTGCACAATTTCATTTTCTAATCGAGATACCTTTAATTGACATAAAAAATGACGTCACAACATTACTAAATGAAATAAAATCATTTCCTGAAGAAACATGATCAAACAATTACCTCTTTGATAAGATTTCCTTGAATGAAGTATTTACGACACCAATCAATTTCACTTTCACCACCAGATCGTTTGAAGAAACCCATTTTTGATTTGAATTTCCAAAGCTATTACAAAAAAATAAATTGTCAGTTATGAATACAAAAGATTATTAGACTAAATGGTTTGACTTTATAAGTTAACATGGCAATTAATTCTAGAAGAATAGTCCAAAAAATTTAAAGCTGAATAAATTAAGAGATTGGCGTTTGTTATCATTGTAAGAAATAAAATGAAATTGAAAATAGAGTGAGAAATTCTTTATTGTTCTGGAACAAATTTTAATTAGAACGAAATTAAATGAACATTACAGAATGGCCAAAACAGTGTTGCCACTGTTTTTGTACTGAATGTAGATTCGTATTCATTAATACAAAAAAAAATTAAGTAATATATAGGGACAGAGAAAATTAGAATAATACATAAAGCAAAAAAATAAATATTTAGAAAATAAAAAAATAGATATATAAAAAGTATTCTGAGCAGCATTTGAAATAAAAAAAATAAGTAGTTTAACAAAAATAATATTAAATTTTCTAGTCACATCCTTTGGGTTTGGTGTCATTTTCTCATAATTTATCATATGTCTATTTTAGGCCAAAGGTCACCAAAAAAAACACAGTTTTTTTATCTTCTGTATGCTTAATTCAACGTTTCGGCTTCAGGAGCCATTTTCAAGAACCTGCAAAACTAATTTTAATTTATTTTTTACCATTCAAATACAGCCTCAGACACATATTACTTAACATCCACAAGTAATACATTTAGTTTAATTTTTTTTTTTAATAATTTTGAATAAACTTATATCATCCACCTACCATGCACTGCGCCATAAAATTTCTCATTGCGATATGATTCGTCCTAATTCATTCTTTTATTTCAAAGAATGTCGTTTTCCGTTTCTAAAGATTGTAATATATAAATAATAAATTAAAATAGATTGCTATAATTAATTTTAAAAAAATTAATTTTATAAAAAATTAATAATATTCTTTTTTAATGAAGAGAAGAATAGTTGGGGTGGTCAGTCAAAAAGGAAGGCAAAAATAAATGTTAATATTTATTTTTTACATATGCCGACGTTTCAACCTGAAGTTCAGGCCTTCATCAGGGCTAAGAAAATAACCAGATAACAAGGTATGAGAAACATAAGTAATGATGGTAAAAAAGATAATAAAAAATAAAAAAATTAGAAAAAATAAAATAGATAAATATAAAGTAAAATGAAATTGTTAGAATAATGACTAAGAGCTAAGAAATAAATAATAAAAACCGTTACAAAGTGTGGAATGATGAAGTAGGCATAATCAAAAAGGGTGACAAAAGTGTTACAATGCGAATCTTAGAATAAAATGTAAAACATAAAAAAGAAAAAGAAATTCGCATTGTAACACTTTACGCGATGCATGGTAGGTGGATGATATAAGTTTATTCAAAATTATAAAAAAAAAAATTTAAACTAAATGTATTACTTGTGGATGTTAAATAATATGTGTCTGAGGCTGTATTTGAATGGTAAAAAATAAATTAAAATTAGTTTTGCAGGTTCTTGAAAATGGCTCCTGAAGCCGAAACGTTGAATAAAGCATAAAGGAGATAAAAAACTGTGTTTTTTGGGTGACCTTTGGCCTAAAATAGACATATGATTAAAAAAAATAATATTAATCAAACTTTGCAAGAAAAAAGTGATTGAAAAAAAAAAGATTTGAACATGGAAACCACACAATGCATGACCTATGATGGGTGGGATAGAATTCAAAAGCGATGCCACTTAGATTAGAAAGGACTTGTCGAACATAGAAGTTCAGTGGGGTAGAAGAGGGTAGAAGTCACAAGCATGGGAATGTGTGAAACAGGATCAGATGGAAGATTTCAATTTTAGGCTCTACAGTATGTAATAGGAATGCTGAGTTTGGATAACTTAATATAGAAAGGAAGCAAAAAAATACTGACAACTGAAAGATGAGTGAAAGTATCTCTGGTGACCCCCCAAAAAATCTGAGGAAGCTGTTTCAAACGCCAAATAAAATAACATTCAAAATTTTAAAGCAGTCCATTCCCTTAACCTGATGTGCATTAATAAGGCAGGGTCAACATTTAAAAACTCATAAGTACAATCACAGTAGCTGAAATGAAATCCGAAATAAAATGAGAAAAATATTTTAGGGATGGAACGAACCAATGCATTAAAACATATTTTCCATAAATATCAACTCAGATAGCTAAAATATGTTTGAAGAATGAGTTAGGACCATGATGCAAGGAAGGCAATGGAAGTTTCGACTATAAGGAATCAAATAATATGTAACAACGAAGTTTACTTAAGTTAGGAATAGCAAGAGGTAAGATTCCTTCAACAAGTGAAAAAAAATAGTAAACAATACTTAAATGTAATAAAATTAGAAAACACAAAAAAGATTTACATCAACTATGAATAAATAATTTATAGTGAAAAAATTTATTTTACCGAATAGGCATGTAAATAAGCAATAGGATCGCTACAAGAGGAATCTGCCCAGGTGAGCTTTGAGTTGTAAGCTTCCAACTGCTGCCTAAAAGGTGAGCTGAAAATGCTCTTTACCGACATTGCACTAGCTGAAATAAACAAGAAAAAGAATAGTAAGATATTCACAAAATATTTTAATATATTTATAATTTATAAAAAAATATACTGACCCATAATTATGGCATCTGATAGGCAAGAAAACATATGACCAAGGATTATCAACTTGGAAAGATGGATGTCCAGAGGAAGTGATGCCATAATTTGTCCGATGAAAGTCAAGTCGCCATCGTTATCCTTGTATTGTCCATTAGCGGTTAGGAGAAGAGCCCCGGCCTGAACAAAAAAGTGAATTTAATAATTAGAGAGTGAAATTATAATTTAACCAACAGAAACAACCATTTACCATTAAAATTTTCTATTGGATCGAAATGGATAATATGTAAGATTTGGTCTTTTAGATAAAACCCTCATAGTAAGAAGCCATCTCTTGTTTACTAACAGTTACACAATGAGTTTACAGTTGAAGACTACAGACCTTTGAAGGGTCAGAGAGAAACAACATATGTCTTTCACTCTCTCTTGAAATTGATACAAAAACCAAGTGTCTCACCTCTTTTAAATGAAGAATGGTCTTATGGATGTTAGACAGATCGGGAGGATCAATAGCCAATCCTAACAGCGTAGCTGGGTTGCCCATCCTTAGCTGTTTAGCTTTCAAGACCAGCTGGTCGAGGGGACATCTCATAATTTCTGGAGTTATATCCTCTGGCAACTCCTAAAACAAGGTATAAACCACAACATTAATTTTATAATAGGGGCAACGATATACAACATGTTTGCTTTCACTTATTTATAAATGAAGTATATTTGAAGAAAAAGTATTGTGATTGTACAAAAATTTGAATCTGAATTTACAATGGAAATACATGTTCCAAGACCACTTTAGCCCAATTAACCAACTTTCACATAAGTTATTTTGTGTATAAGATTTTTATGTGTGTATGTAAACAATATAGGTCAAAAATAAAAAGATGTGGAACATTGAAATTATGCATTTAAGTTAGATATATACCTGATATTCTGATAATAGGCTTATGATTCCATTAACCGCCAGAAGCTGTATGTTTTAATTAAGTAGGGGAGAATAAATACGGATAAGACAAACTATATGCTTAGCTACAAAAATGATGACAGTTTCAGTGATGTATGTATAAAAGAGGTAATGTGTTAGAACAGTTTAGGTTTCTGGGGTCTATGATAACTAGAAATGGAAATGTTTGTTATTTCTGTAACAAAACTAATTAGCTCATGCCTCCTGTCCTGAAACTTAAAAATTATGATGAATAAAACCATTATTCTACCTATGGTTCTTTAATGATGTGAAATGTGGGCGCTTACATTAAGGAATGAGCAACATCTTAAGGTTTATGAAAATAAAGTATAGTGTAGAAACTTCAGATCGAAGAAGCCTACTGAAGAATTTAGACAGTTATACAATGCTGAATTTCATAACCTATTTTTTTCTCACCTGCCTCATCTATTATGCTATATGGGGTTTTTCCCAGTCCAGGGGAAAGGGCAGGGGAATTATGACGGAGTTAAAAATCCCCTCAGTACCAGGATTAGAGCTTGTAATCTTCGGTTTATCAAAATATATTTTACACACAAATTTTACACACATATACATATTTTACACTGTTTAATTTAGATTTTATTTATTTAAAAAGATTAAAGGAAAGGTTACTTTCCAGAAAATTCTAGCAGAAAAATATGTTAACTAAAATCGACTGTTCAAGAGAAACTTAAGCCTCTAAAAGGATCTGTTAAGTCTGTGATAATCGTCCCCTAGTGGTTGTAAACCTAAGTACTTAATTTTAAGTTCTAGGAAAAAGCTTTGGTTAAGAAACTTGACAGTGTAAAAGGGCCTTTAAAGCTGATCTAGTGGGACTAGGTTTGGATGGTGAGTGGTGCACGGAGGTGCATAGGCAATGATTGGTGGCATCAGCATCGAATCTTTGGATTCACTAAGCCTTTTATTATTATTTATATATCATAAACATTAGATCGGTGGTATATAAACATATATATCATATATTTAGTCGATGGTCCAACAATTGTTCAGACTAAACAATTGTCATGGCAACCTTATCAGACTAAAAATAATAATCATATATATATATATATATATATATATATATATATATATATATATATATATAAAACTAGAGTTCTGGTATCCTGGGGTACCACAAGCTTGTCAGATGTGTCGCTCGGCAAGGGTACTGTGCTGTAAGGTGAGGTGTATTGCACCAACGATATTTAATTTGAATATTTAAGGTTGAAATTGTCAAAAATACATATCAATATTTGGACAAAATTTTATTAGATTTATATATATATATATATTCATGTTTATATACTAATGAGGCTCAACAAACAAACAACATATTTGTTTATTTAATATATTTTCTTCCAAACTAAAATATAGGAAAGCATACTTGATAGTTTTGTTTTGCTACTCCATGTGTGTAAAATATACTTTGATAAACCGAAGATTACAAGCTCTAATCCTGGTACTGAGGGGATTTTTAACTCCGTCATAATTCCCCTGCCCTTTCCCCTGGACCGGGAAAAACCCCATATAGCATAATAGATGGGGCAGGTTAGAAAAAAAAGGTTATGAAATTCAGCATTGTATAACTGTCTAAATTCTTCAGTTGGCTTCTTCGATCTGAAGTTTCTACGCTATACTTTATTTTCATAAACCTTAAGATGTTGCTCATCCCTTAATGTAAGTGACAACCATATGTATATGTATATATATGTATATATATATATATATATATATATATATATATATATATATATATATATATATATATATATATCAACCTTAAATATTAAAATTAAATATCGTTGGTGCAATACACCTCACCTTACAGCACAGTACCCTTGCCTAGCGACACATCTGACAAGCTTGTGGTACCCCAGGATACCAGAACTCTAGTTTAAGAACCTTTGTCTTAGAAAAGTCCATCCCACTATTCCACTTTTCATCATATCTCGCCACTCTTACACATCTCTGTCTTTTCCAACTTTATAAAACAGATTTTTTCCCCTAATTTTCAACATTTTAGTTGACAAAGTAGTTAATTCTCTTTAGGAACGAATCAAACACAAAAACAGCATTTAACTATCAAGGAAGATATAACAACAATAAGATTAAAAGACCAAAAAATAATACTTACCATATAACAATCCTTCGGAATCAGGCGGTAAACACGACCTGGCATGACCCTTCCTACCCTACCACCTCTCTGAGTGCCTTGCGACTTAGAGATCCAAGTCAGCTGTAGGCAAGAGTAGCTCGTTTCAGGTTCTAGCACCTGTTGCTTGGCAAGGCAGAAATCTATTACTGAAAAATTTAAACAATCATTCAACTGACAATACCAACAACAGGAACTTCAAATCATACTCTAAAAACTTTTTATTCCAATATCTGAAGAGAATTTTTTCCCTGAGAATATCCTCAATTAACCAAAGAGAATTGTTAATTGAGCTTATTACTTTCACTTACCTATATATATGTAATATATAGATAGTAAGGGTAAGTATTGTGATCGTTAAAATTTTTGAATCTGAGTTTTCAACATAAATACACGTTTTGTGGTCCTATAAGTCCAAATAAGCAAGTATCACAAAATGGTCTGTGTGGGTATATGTATGTGAACAGCCTAGCCCAAAAAATGAAAAGTCGTAAAAAACTGAAATTTTTAGGAGTAGTGAATAGAATTTGATAAAATTCATACCTACTTGATTATCGGTTTACCAGTCCCTCACTTCCTTCCAAATTTGAGCCAAATCCAACATGCGGTTTTAGAGATATTGACTATCAAGGAAAACATGTTTGCACATATATAAGAGAAATTAGTGGACAGAATTGAATAAAATTGACATCATTTTTTCACAATTACCTACTTTTTATCCAACTTTGAGTCTAATCGAACGAGCCCTTTCTAAAATATTGGCATATCTAAAAAAGTACGTATGCGCGTGCGTAAGCGGAAGTACTGAATGGAATTTGATAAAATTGATATGGGACCATCGAGGCACCAATTCGCACAATCCCTAAAAATTTCATGAAAATCAGATGAAAGGTACTAGGTGATATACCCGTCACACCGATTTAACGACAGACAGACACCGAACAAAATTTGATCGTTGATGTCTGAAACGTAAAACGAGAGTGGAAATTTTTATTCTGAGCACAAAATTGTTTTTAATTTCTCGCACGAATACAATGCTTCTCTACCTTTGGTAGTGAGGAAGCAAAATTAAATTAATTTTTTCATTAGTGATATAAGAGTTTTATTAAACAACTCAGGAACTATTCGTTATATGAAGTTCAGATTAAGTATATATTTTAGTTTATAAAACAAGTATTAGTATGAATCATTTCCAGGACATTATATACAATTTAACATACCACTAAGAATCACTAAATATACAAAACAAAGTGTTAAATAAAAAATTCTAGATATTTAGCGAAGTATTCTTGAAAAAGTTTTATTATTACAACTATATCATTTTTACAATAGAGGCCTTCTTAAATGACTTCTGTTTGGAATAAAGGAAGTAATATTAAAAATAAAATTGTTTAATTTGTCTGGACAATTAAATTATTGCATTAATATTTGTTCGTTAATAAAATAAATATAATGTACCATAAACATTATTATAGCACTATAACTATGCTATTTATGGGTACTAAATGATGTGGAAAGAAGCCTGTAGGTACCTACGCCAGTAACGCTTAAGTGCATTTTCTACAAAACCGTTTCAAATATTTTGAAAAGTTATGAGTGTTTTAGAAAGAGAAATATATTCTCCAGATGTTTTATTTGCTGGTGGCCGTTTAATAAACGACGCTTGATTTTCAACTTGAAAATGTTTTTTGTAAAAGTTGACTTTACTGGTATTTTTTATTATTGTTTCATGGTTTGTTATTCTCTGACTATTCAGCTTTAGTAAATGGACAATTATGACGAAATTAAGCCAAATGCTGATTCTTAGTGACCAAAAAACTAACTTAAGACAAAGTTGTCAGTTCGCCATCTTTGAACACCATTTTGGGGCAGCGCGTTCACTTTTTTTTTTAGGGAACATTGGGTTTTTTTAAATAAATAGTTACATGGAACACAACGATATGCAATCTATAGGGATGTGGGAGGGGAGGAAGGGAAGAAGGAGTGCACGGTAGGGGGGTCTGGCCCACAGACTATAAAGCTTTCCGAAAACAATAGTTTAATTTTAATTTTTAAATTAAAATATCGAAGGGACAATATCGATAGCCAATAATACAGAAGTAGATACTATTGATGGTAAAATATTGAATATCAGAAGGAAAGTATCGATATTTCGATAATATCGACTATAAGATGGCCATCCCTAGTAAGGAGTGCATTCACATGATTTTATTTTTATTTTTTTCACTAAGGTTTGTGAAATGTTTTTCAACAGTTTATTTTAAGTTTCATACACTTTAAAGCATCTTTTAATCTAGATCTAGATTAATTTAAGATCTACAAATTACCATTCTATTTCTATTTCTAAGAGTTGGGTAAATTAAAATATTTCTGTAATAAATAAATACATTGTAGTTTTAAACTTGAAGTTCCTGGAAACTTTGTTCTGAATATCGATTTCATAATTAATTTTAGTACTGAAATTTCTTCAAATTTACTTATTAACAATTTAAAAACAGTAAACTTACCATACTTAATGTCAGGTACAGTAATGGAACTTTCGGCAATGTTTGTGGCAAGAATTATCTTCCTATGACCTTTAGGAGCGGCCTGAAAGACTTTCATCTGCTCATCATGAGTGATAGATGAATGAAGTGGGCATAACCACCACTTTTCAACAGATCTGAAACCAAGAGTGGCCAGGTAAATAATGCTTGCAGTAGGTGCTTTTTTACTAGTAATATTTTATAATTAACTATTTTAAATAATTTCCTGAATGATTAAGAGACTTGATAAACCTGAAGGATCAACTGTAATATAGTTTTGTAACAGTTTATTGGAAACAAAAACAATTCATTATCATAAGAAGATTGAATCTAATCTAAAATCAACTAAAGAAAACTAAAAAAAGGTTCTTGATAAACAGGGTTCTTCTGTATTACCTTTACTGCCAATTATTTATTTTAAATGTATTTAATAGTCATAGATCTTTTCTTATAACCTGCATTTTTTATTTTTACAGCACAAAAATAACATACAATGCAGACTACAAACCTTAGCTAGTTTTTTTTAGGTACACAAAAAGGCATATATTATAGACAATTCAAATTCATTTTATTATTTAAGGAAGCCTTTAAACAGAAAATCGCAGACGAAAGGGAAGTTTTGTATATTACTATTTTATAGATTTTAAACAGGTATATTGAATGAAGTTTCTGAAATTTTATTAAAGTCTGTCTTACTTTAATTGATGGTAAATAATATGTATTCTGTAAAAAAAGACTTTTAGTAGGAATATGTACCTGTAATATAATTATCATGTGACTTATGTTTAAAATTTTGAATTATTTAGGATAAAAATGATGGTTTCTCCTTTGCAAGGCATATTTTCAAGTTTAAATCAAAACCTTTTAGATCCTGAAAGTTAATAAGAATAATCCAATGATAGTAGAGAAAACAATAAAATAAAAATCACTTACCCTGTATAAGTGAAGAGTCTAGCATACATTGTTTCGATTTCAGCAATACCAGGTAAAAATATAAGTACAGATCCGACAAAATCGGTATCATGATGTTCATGCTCGTCAATCACTCGGAAAACCTCAATAAGGGCTCTAGCTAAGTCATAAGAATAAGTTGAAATTGAAGGACTATTAAGATTAATGTCAGGTATCTACAAAGGATAATAAATAAATAAACAAATCAATTTAAAAACAAATGAAGGAAATAAAGATGAAATAAAAAAAAAACTTACTTTTATACCAGGCAGCCTGTTATGAAGACTGTCAAGGTAGTAATACTGAACTGGATATTTGGCTATATGAGCCAGTTCAACAATAGGTGGTTCAATAGCAACCCCATTTACAGTTCTTGAAAAATAATCTGAAAATTGATTCACGTTCATAGTTGCCGACATCAGAATAACCTAAAATAATTTATTAAATGAAAATTATCCAATATTTTTTATATTTTAGCTCTTTTTTAAGTTTTTAACAAGCCACCAAAATTATTAAAATAAAAGTTGAAATGAGTACGTTCTCAGGAAATGTTTTACCTTAGTTCTGCACTGAGTATTCCTTAACAACTTTTTTAATAAAATCAGAATGAAGTCAGTTTCATTATCTCTTTCATGAACCTCATCAACAATGATATGAGTGTAATCTGAAAGAGATTGTTTTTTCACTAGCTGCTGAAGAAGAACACCTGTCGTACAATACAGCAGTCGGGTATCTTGAGAACAATTACGTTCCAAAGCAATCTACAATATAGAGACATACATATATATATAATAATAATTTATATATTTATTGTAGTGATTTGCAACGTTGCAAGTGTTAGTTGAAAATCGATTATTTGTAAATTGTTAAATAATAATAATTTTTTTTTAAATTTAATATTTTAATGATTTCATGTATATTGAAAGTTTTAAAAATAAGAAGGTTCTGGATAGATGGCAACTGAATTTCAACCATTGAGATTCGAGGAAATCGTCTAGTAGAGCCTAGACTATAGGCTATAAAAACTTTGCCAAGCTCACAGTCAACATAGTTTTTAAATTAGTATATAGATGTAGTTTAGTTGTTAACGTCAATTGTTGCACAGAAATGTTATTTTATTAATAACCAAAAGTTTAATATTTTCTGATTATCATAATGAATAAAAAAAAAGGATAATTTTTTTGGTTTAAAATGTTCCAAAAAATTCAGTAACAAATTCAGGTAGCGTAGGGAGGTGGCAGCCCCATCATCTGATCATTCTACCGCAATCAGCCACTGGTCCTCCAGATTGGGGGAACAATTGCACGAACACTCACCCAGTACACTAATATAGCATACTACACTATACAGACAAAGGTCACTAACAGTATACCCCCCAGGGCTACCTTCCCTAAGTAGCCATCCTGGACGGGGGAACAGGTCAGGAAGCTCAAAGGGGGCTGTCCCCCCACCTGACTCAGGGGAAGAGTTTGGGCTGATAACTATCTTCCCTTAAAACTCTATTATTATGAAACCTACAACTAGGAAAGGCGGACAGATTATTTGGAAACGACTCAATGTCTACCTAATGGAACTTACAATAGGACAGTGGAATGTTTTAATTCATTATAGACAGGGAGCTCAACATAAGTTCTAAAACAACTGGATCGTTATCAAGAGTCTTCAACAAGAAAAGTCTTATATAGCTTATATAGCAAGAAAGTGTCATATCATCTTATATAGCTGTAATGACAAGGAACAAACATTTGGAACTATATTCATTCCGAACAAGAAGATGAATCAGTTAGTCATTGGCTTTGAACCAATCAGCCTAACAATCTGTTATCTGCAAATAAAAGAAAAATTTCACAATTATAGTATGATTAGTGTCCATAACCCGACTAAACCATCAGGAGATGATGTAAAAGATGCCTTTTATAGTAGTCTAGAGCAACAGCTTGATTCCTGCCCAATAGCTGATGCTAAGATTATCCTGAGATACTATAATTCACAGGTAGGAAATGAGAAAGAGTTCTTGCCCACAATTGGTCTGCCTACATAGCATCCATGATCACATAAATGATAATGGGTTGAGGATAATAAATTTTGCTATCTCGAAAGGACTTTACACAAGAACACTATGTTCTCTCACAAAAGAATCCTTCTAGCGACATGACTTTCCAATTATGGATTCACATGTAATCAAATAAATCATGTGTTAATAAGTAGCCGTAACACCAGTTGTTTGATGGATGTGAGAGTTTTCAGAGGTGCCAACATTGATCATTACCTCACAATCGTCAAGTTCAGGGTAAGGATTTCAAACATCAGAAATCAAAGTAGAGCACGACTGCCAAAGATCAACACTGAATATATGAAAAATCTCGAGGTTAGGCAACTCTTTACTGACAGTATGAATACCAGAATTAAAAATCTACATCCGGCTGATAACATGGATCAACAGTGGTAAAAATGTAGAAAAAAACATGCAAGAATTTGCAGTTAGTATGACTAAATATCAAAAGCCAACTAAGTAAGAGCCCTGGTTTCACGAAGAATGCCAAAGAGTGATCAGCCAAAAGAACCTTCCTTAAAGAACAATGTTACAGTGAAGGCATACAAGAGGATCAGTGGAGGAATACACACCCTAAAAGAAGAAAAGAGAAACACCTATCAGAGGAAAAAAAGAGTTCGGCAGAGGGAATGCCTCCAGCAAATGGAAAACCTCTCTGGAACAATAATGAGGTGGGAAAATTCTTCCAAGAAATAAACCTCCCTTTGAATCCACTAGGCTAGGTCACTATTGGAAAATTCTTTTGAACATCAAATTATGTGATTTGAACAGACCAATGACACTTTTCAGGATTGTTAAATTAATAAAATGATTGTATATTAATAAATAATTTATTCTTAATTGGTAAAAATGACATTTATCAGCTGTTAAAGTTGTGGAATAAATATTAAAATATAAATTTATCACATCTAATGAAATTTGCGGATTTATTAGTTCCACCACAATTTCATAGAAATCAGTATAATACAATCCTTTTTATAAAAAATTTCGCATTTAATTTAGAGATGGTTATTTTTATACTTTTGAAAATTATATACGATAACAGAAAGTCAGGATTTTCAATACAAATTTATTTATTCTGGTTGTTAATATTCTAACCCATGTAAGTGGGTCGTGTCATCAAGAGTAAAAATTAATTCAGAAAATTAAGATATAGACAGAAGTACATAAATAAGCCAAGAGAATAAGACAGTGCATAATAGAAATATAAACATAATAGTACACCAAGAAAGAAAATATGAATAGTACCCACACATTAAATAAATAAGAAGTACAAATAAAATAACTAGAGCTAAGAATAAATTTTGCTTAATATTTGAATCAAAACATATAACAAAAATTCTGATAATGTATCATTCTAAATGTTATATTTTATGATGATGTAGAGTTGAACTTTGAGAGAGTTGAAATTGTTATATTTTATGTTTATACTTCCTAAGTATAATTTTATTTAAATTGAAAATTAATTTTATACACAAAACTTTTAAGAAATACCTGATATCCAACAATAGAACCTAGTGGCCATCCTCGTTCATTGGAGACCCTCTTCGCAACTGAAATAGCTGCAATTCGCCTTGGTTGAGTGACAACAATATTACAATGTATATTCATTTCTTCATGTTGATCCAGGATGAACTGAGGTACCTGGGTGGTTTTACCACATCCAGTAACTCCCTTTATTATCACAACTTGATTAGTATCAACATGTCCCAAAATCTGAAAATGAGAAAAAATAAATATAATTAACTAAAATAGATTAAACAATTTTTACTTTCAGTTACCTATATATGAAATATATAGTAAAGGAAAGTATTCTGATAGTAAACATTTTTGAACCTCAGTTTTCAACGGAAATACACGTTTTTAGGTCCTCTGAGTCTAAATAACCAAATCCCGCAAAATGTGTGTGTGAGTATGTGTTAACAGTCTAACTCAAAATGAAAAGTCTTACGAAAGTGAAATTGCATTTTTAAGGTTTTTATATAGTAGGAATGTAACAGCAACTTTTTTTTTCAAAATCGGCTAACCAGAAGTGACACTCTATATAATGGGCTAAATACATTTTTACGATTTTCTCGAAAACGAAAGCAATGTGACCCTTTTGAATCTATTGTGTGGCATGTATGCGGTCCGTTTTATTCATAAAATGTTAGTTTGGTCGCTTCCGCGTATCTTAATAGGCTTATCAGATTAACAGACTCATAGCTACTGGGGTGATCCACTCGTTCCTCCCTAATAGCTCTAGTCCCAGCCTTGCAAACCTATCACCCTGCTGTTTCATTCTCCTCCTGACAGAATCTGGTTCGTGATCACTCGAAGATTAAAAGTGATAATTTAACTTACAGTGGCCAGTGTAGATTACTGTAAGCTTTTTGAGAGGTGCTCTGTCCAAACTCAATAGCAGCTTACTTCTTTTATCACATGAAACTTAAAGGAACAGCTTCGAATGTCATAGTTTCTTCTCAATCCAGTGTTGTTTAAATTTTTTCACAATATATTTCCCTAATCCTTCTCCTGGCATTGATAAGACTGATTCCACAAACAGGTTCAGGAGTTATGGGAATAGTGCCTGAGCCTAATCTGGCTAGATTGTCTGCCTCTTTGTTGCCTAGAATGCCCGAATGATCAAGCACCTACTCAATTGCAACTCTATTACGCTCAGATTGTTAAGTGCAATACTGCATTCTTTAACAACCTTTCAGTAAACATAATAATTATTTTTTTTTAAAACTTTTATTATGATATTTACAACTGTATTAGTATGAATAATAATAATAATAATAATAAGGCTTAGCGAACCCGAAGGTTCGATGCCGACACCACCAATCGCTTGTTACACACCTCCCTCCAACGTTCGCCGTCCAAACCCAGTTCCTTCAGATCGGCTTTAATGCAATCTTCCCACCTTCGCTTCGGTCTACCCCTCGGACGCTTACCATTCGGCACAGCAAATATTAACCTTTTAGGAATTCTCTCGTTACTAAGCCCAACAACTTTACAAGCCCATTTGATTCGCAGCGATGAAATTACCTCAATTATATTACCCGGATACAGCTCACGCAATTCGGCGTTGTGTAACCGTCTGAACTCTCCGGTTAACTCATCCTTCTTCGGTCCGAATATTCTACGCAATACTTTATTTTCAAAAACCTTAAGACGCTACTCATCCCTTAATGTAAGCGGCCAAGTTTCGCATCCATAGTATTAGTATGAATACATCAAGTAAATGTGTACAGAGAAATATTATCACATGAAACACGGTTGTTGAGAAACTACCCACTGGTAGCACTCTAAATAATTATTTAGAGCACCTATTGCTGTCTAACTGTCAGTATAGATTATTATCTTTTTCACAGTAACTTTGCCTAGCAGTAGGTTTTTGAAATGAAATGAAAATATTTTTATTATCCTGGGACTGTTGTCTCTTTAGAATTCTTAATAATGAGAAAATTCTGTGTGGCCATACATTAAATTAAATATTTACAAAATAATATCTAATTAAAAATAAAAATATAGGAAGAAAAAAGAACAAAACAAAAACATATATATATATATATATAGGTTTTGAGAGCAATGGCAAATTGCTTCATCAGATTGAAATACCAAAACGTGTTTGCTAAGAGGCATTGAGACTTTTTCCTTATTTTTTCGATAGATGCCAGTTCCTGAGCCGTAGGCTGTAGAGAGTCATCTATATAACATTTTTTGGTTTATGTTGTCTGCTGATATCAATCTCGACCTCATATTTTCAGTCCAGATACTCACGAATTAACGTATCGCAGTGTATGCACTTCGACACATATAATCCTATTCATCAGATTATTGTGTCCCCCTTGGCAAGGGATATAGGAACAGCTCTTTAGCTTACTCAGCCTGTATAATGCATTTGTTGCCCGAGCCTCAACCTCCAATTGCATTGGTGGCATGTTCAACATTATCTCCATAGCAGCAGTTGGGGGAGGGGAGGGGGTGGAGCCCATTGCTCCTGTTATCATTAGGCAGGCTAATCTTTGAATTTTTGTTCTCCTTATAATAGGTTTTCTGAAAATCAATACAGAGGAGGTGCATGGTAACATTTTACTTTCTAGGATTGCTCTTATCGAGAACAGAGAGGGGTAGCTCAGTGGGTGAGCACTGACTTCCAGAGCTCAATGTCCCAGGTTCGAATCCGGCTGATAACTAATAATTTTTCATCAGCTGTGGGTCGACCCTGTGGCAAACCCAGCCTCTATAAAGTGGGTACTCTTAATTAAGGGGGAAAACCTGACGGTTGAGCGTGATATTGGCCCGTCACCTCTCTGCACAACTATTGGCCTTGTAACAGTACTTCCTCACATTGTACTGAACCCAAAACCCTTCATGGATTGTTTGTGGTACAGGTATGCTCTTATTGAGAAGATCTGATCCACAGTCCCTTGACCTCTCATGAATCCTGCCAGGTACAATCTAATTTCTCACTCGGCCACTGGGCAAAGTCTCTGATATAGCACCCTTAAGAATACTTTCATATTTTAGAAGTTCTTCGTGAATACCATCTGTCCTGGTACCTTATTATTTTTAAGGTAGCTTGTTGTTGCTTCTTGAATTGAATCGTTTTAGTACCTTCTTTTCAGCACTAAGCAGTGTGCCGTCAGTATCTCTACATACAGATATTCTTGGCCTAAATGGCTTCCCAGTGGTATTAATCCGCTGATAAAACTTCCTTGTTTAATTGAAATTTTTAAGGTGCTCAATGTCTTCCAATTGATTTCATTCCCATTTTCTCTTCTTCTTCCAAAGCAGAATGTTTTCCATTCTACGCTTTATACAATAGTTTTCTACGGAATGTCTTGTGCATCTTCTTTGTATCAAATTTTAAAATTGATTGTACTAAAATAATCTTAAAATTATTCATTTCATTTTCTTGGTGTATTCTATAATACGATTAGTGAGAATTATTAGAAAATTTCAAAATATATTAGGAGCAAGATTCCTATATAATTGCGATCCATCCTGCCAATATGTTATTACAATTTTTTAATAAATATAATTACAGTAAATACGAGAAGTGATATCAGAAGTAGGCTTTTTAAAAATAGAGGACACATTTAAAATAGGCAGCAATAAAGGAGACAAAATTTCAGACAATTTAGAAAATTCCAAAAAAGACAGAAGTAATTAAAAAAAGAGCTAATATGAAAGCAGTTTAAAATCTGAAGGCTGCATCTCCCTCACCAATGGTATAAACTGAATAATCAGTAAAAAAGAAAAAAAAAATACAATTTTAAATTAATTAACTAACCTCCTCTTTATAGTCATGAATAAGCAGATTTGTACTCAACTTTGTCTTGAAAGAATAACTTAGATAAACCTAAAAAAATAAAAACGTGACATCAATAAAACATGATAATTTAATATGTTAAATACAAATTAATTTTTATGCAACAAATATTTACTTACATTAGTTAAATTTTCCGGTTTTAAGTCATTTAGATTGGGTAATGTACCAACGGAAGTAAGGTCTTCACAACCATACATATTATTAGCACTCTTCAGTTCTTCATCCAACTAAAAAAAAGTCCAATATACTTTTATGTTAAAATTTATGTAATAATGTATTTATGCATACTTAAATATTAATGATTATATAACCTTCAACTGTTCAAGCTTATCTTGAGCTTTACTTTCTTCAGCATAATGTAGTCCCGACATTATAGTTCTTCCTTTGGGTTTTGGTTTTCGAACGTCCATAGCAATACGACCCTCTGTCTGACCACCTTCAATATGAATCTTTTTGAATCCTCCTTCTCTGTACATCTGAAGGATAGTCGCATAATCCATTTTGTTGCTGTAATAAAACATTCAGCATTAAGTCTCATTTATGATTACACAACAGATAAATGTATGAAATAATAATCAACAAGATTTCACACTCTTAATTTATTAAATTTTGTACTAATTTTTTTACTAAAGATGGATAGAAAAATTACAAGTTATTAGTAGGGACTGGATTTAAACATATGTTTTTAAGCCTTGTACACTCTCCTTCCAAATCTTTTGCACGTACTTCATATAATTTAAAAACTGATAAAACATACTTTATTTTACCTATTTGAAGGGTATTAACGAAAAAAAAAATGGCGAATAATAAAGATAACATATAAATAAAGCCCATTTCTTGTTTTTAAGTACAGGAAGGCTACCAGATAGCTAAAGTAAAATTTCCTGACTTTTCCCTATTTAATGATAGTTTTTCCTGACCAATATGTCGGGAGAAACAAGTATTTAAAATGTATAATTTATAACTACATTTATTTATTATATATGAAAGGAAAAAGACTACAAAATGGCTTGAGTAAAAAACAAAAATCTGGTGCGTGCAACACACAACTTTCACTTACTGCTCTACTTTGAATAGAAATTATTTTCTGGCAATGCTGGGCTATTGTAAAATTTTTAAAGTGCATTTTAAACAGAGCTAAAGCTTAAAGCTTACAGATAACAAATCATTAAGACCATTCGGTACTTATCTAATAGCGGGTAACGTCCGACTTCTATCTGCCAATGTTTATAACCTTAACACTGAAGAAATGAGCTCTTCGTATTCATATTTATTGTATTGTATTGATATTATTGAAATTGTGGACAAAAACAGAAACAAATGTAATAATAACAAAATGCTTTAATTTTACAAAGTATGTATTAAAATAGACCAACACATTATAAATATATAATTAAAAACATTACGAAAACATTGCAACATATATATAAAAATAAATGAAATAATAAAAATAGTCAAAAAAAGATGAAATAATAAAAAATTACATAAACAGCATATGTACATATGAAACAAACATTATGAAGAAACGATAGAAACATAATATGAACATTTTTATTTTGGTAGGGAAAATAATTTTATGGTATTTAAAACAGCGAGGAAGGGATCCTGATCTCTATGCGCCCACCACCACAAAAACTCATATAAATATGAATCCAGGTGATGTCTGGCAGTTCCTCTGTGTTTTTTATTTCTCCACTTAGCTGAGCCCCATAATCGTTCAATGTGTCGAGTATGGACTCCACTTGATGGATCAACAAAATTATACCTGTGATTCACCTGAAAATGATTGTAGTTTGCTTCATTGAGTTGTTTGGTGTTGCATCCTTTCCAACAGTCGGAATAAATGGTGCTTCCCTATTCTACATTGTTTTTAATGGCTTCTCATAATGTTGTTACTTTTCTATAGTTTATTTTAACAATAAAACACACGTCTGTTTCTCGGCAAACTCCACCAAACATCCATTGCTCAAGTAGGACTCTCCCCACATGATTTTTTCTTTTCGAAAAAAGACTCGCCTACTTCGACGACTTTGCCAGGCCCTCCAATTATTTTATTCTTCTTCTCTTAAAAGTTTGTTCCATGCTATGACAGTTCCAATGGATAGTTTGAGCTGCTCTTTTCCCCACTGTATTGTAGTTAAATTATGGGACCAACCATAAATGAATTTAAAAGCCGTTAAAAAAGAAATCCTCGACCTCTCTAACCATGTTCCTTTCCTTATAGAAACGGTTTTGTTACATCTACAAAAGCATCTCCATTTAATCTTCCCGTCGAACATTTTATGACCCTCATCACAATATTTCACCTTATCAAATATACCAGCGTCTTGAAAATATTTGATAGCCTCTTCTTCTGAATAAGGCAATTCCCACAATGTGACAAGATCCATAATTAAATAAACTCACACCTGGCACAAGAAACAAAAACTAAACAACAGAATAACTTAGGTTAGATGAGATAAGGGAGGTTATCTGAAATGATATTAGATAAGAAGGGAGGTTTTGATGCTACCCACTACTAGATAAGTACCGACCATTTTAATTACAAAAAGTCTATTTATTATATCAACGGTAGGCAATAAAAATTTAGTCACTCCATCTGCTTTTATAAACTACACAATTTCAATCTCTGAGCCTTTCAGTTGAAAGAATGACTAACTCTAATTTCAACAGTTTTGAATAATGTCATTTTAGTGATATTTTTAGTTGAAAAAGTTATCTGTTATCTGGACAGTAAGTAAGTTGATTCCGGAGTAGCTGATTGCAGTGTTGAAATATAGAAATGTGAATAAACGTATAAATTTTGCCACTAGAAACATCACTAAAATTAATAATAAGGAATGTTGAAATTGAAATTAGTCATTCTGTCAAACGAAAGGCTCATATATTCCTACAGAGGTTTAAAAGTATATCTGAATATTTAACCTATAAATGATTATGGATTGTATGAAAATTAGTTAATAATCTGTTATTTTCCATTGTAAAGTTTACTAAAATGAAATTATTACAAGATTTTCATTGCCTGCCATGGATAGGTCAAAAGTTGTCACACTAATTGTGAGTGAATAATCTTGAGATTTTACAAAAAAAATTCATCAAATTATTCAATAATTTAATTTTATAAGAGGTTACTTGATTAGTTTTTGGAATAAACGGTCGATAGATACCTAATTATTTAAATATAATATCTAATCTAGAGTTAATACTCTATACTAAATATATTTGAGGTTATAAAAATATTCATGAAATATTTTTGTACGTCTTTCACACAAATACAATGAAATAGTATTTTAAACAATGGCATTGGCTTGATTCGGTGGATTTTAAATACTTTTTTTTTCAATCTTAGGAAAACATTTAAAAGTTTACATATAGTAAGAAAACATGTGATTTACGTTAAATAATTTTAGTTTTCTGAAATTATTATTTATGATGTTTTCGAAACTCTGCTTTACCTTCCATATTAGATATTGTTTTTTCTAAAATTCTCTGCTTTTCAACAATATATTTTAAGTATACCTTCTGACTAGTAATTCCGGAGGTTTATTTTCGACCTGGATAAGCATTTTGATTTTTTTATCCTTTATTCAATAATCAAATTTTTCAAAAGTTATATTTAGCATTTTTTCGTAACTTTAAATAATGTGAGATGATTAATTATTTAAAACAAACCATATTAAAGGTACTTCAAAGAAGGACATATATGAACATTGGGCATTTAAACCCTGTTAAGTGACATCAATGAGGATAAGACCTGATTGGCATTAAATACCACTTAATTATACAATGATACACCGAGTTTAATCAAAATCGTTAAGAGCCGTTTTTTAAGAAAATTGTAAAAATGTGTAAAAATCTCCTGCTTCACAGAAGAATATCAAATGAACCCATTGCCAAGAAGCATACAACTTAGCTCAGTGTTCAAGATTTCAAGATCTTCTGCCCAGTAAGAGAGCAGAGCTTGAAAGGTCTCTCCACGTGTGCTTCAATTGTTTAAGGACAGGCCACTCGGTAACTCGTTGTTCCTCCAAATATAGGTGCAGACATTGTAAGAATAAACATCACACTCTCATTCACTCCAATACCAAGAATGCAACTAAACCCAACGATTAAAATCGTGATCAAACGGAGCCTGAGGTGTTCATAGGATTTGGATCGACCCGTCAGTCTCCCAACTCAACCAATAGTGTGGTTATGCTTGGGAACGCTCAGGTCCTTGTGATAAAGGAGATCTTCAAGCAACAAGGACGGTCCTCGACTAAGGAAGCCAGCACACATTCATAACTACATCTCTGGCAAACAAACTCAAATCGAACCTTCCTCTTCAAAGGCTGCATCACAAGCCTCAGCGAGTCAGCTTTCCCCAAGTCACAGCTTAGAGGCTCCATAGATTGTGACATCCGATCCTTGCTAGGCAATTATGAATATCAGGCAAGGCCCATCGTGATTGATCGAATAACGTCTGGTCTTCCAGATTGCAGTTTACTTATGAGTGTCACCAAAAAATTTTCCTTCATCTCCCCCTGGATGATTGCAATTTGTGGTGCTCAGAGCCAATTGATCTTTTGAATGGCAGTGACATTCATCCTAGAGTCATTTCTGGAGCTCCTTATCACTCTGAAGTCGAGAATTTATATCTAACTCCCACTGTAGGTGATGAGGTCCACCTAGATGCCAGTATTGGAATAGTGTCCTATCCATAACTCAAATTGGTACTTGTATAATATAAAAATATATAATATATATAAAAATAAATGAAATAATAAAAATAGGCAAAAATAAATGAAATAATGAAAAACTACTTAAAAAGCATATTTACACATATGAATTTTAAAGCCGTTAAAAAAGAAACCCTCGACCCCTCTAACCACGTTCCTTTCTTTATACCACTTATAGAAACGATTTTGTTACAACTACGAAAGCATCTCCATTTAATCTTCCCGTCGAACTTAATTTGATGACCATTACAATATTTCACCTTTGCAAATAACCCGGTGTCTTGAAAATATTTGATAGCCTCTTCTTCTGAAGACGGTAATTCCAACAATGTGACAACATCCATAATTAAATAAGACTAACTCACAGCTTACACAAGGAACAAAAATAAACAAGGGAATAACTTAGGTTAGAGGAGATAAGAGAGGTTATGTGAAATAAGATTAGATAACAAGGGAGGTTTTGGCGCTACCCGCTATTAAACAAGTACCCTCAAATTTTCCAAGACTTCCCATTTTATAGTTGTAAATCAAATGATTTAGAGATATCACAAAATTTATCAATAGCATGGAAAACGACAGCAATAGACCTGACAAAATAATAGCATTTTTAATAAGGATAAATTTAATAAAAGAGTTATAATGATAATTATATATTTCCTTTATTTAATTTTTTTTTGCTTTATATGTATTTTGTATTTTATTTTATTTGTTTCTCCATTAAATCTACCAGCTAAATATTTTAATAATAATACTTTTATAGATAAGCTCCTGATGACCTAGAT